TTAATTAGGAAAGATAATCCTTCTGGCAAAGTGATCTGTGCCAGATACATCCTCCAAGGATTATTCATGTCATTTATGGGGAACGACATATTATGACTAAACACTGTAGGCCAAGAAAGGATAGATTTTTGATTCTGGCTTCAACTTGACACCTCATGTCCAATATGTTGCCACATCCTGCCATTTTCACCTTAAAAACATTGCCTGCTGTTAATGAGCTTGTTCATGCATTGATTGCTGTCATTCTCTCCTTATTGGTCTCCCTTGAAGCTGTACTGCTTTGCTACAGTCTAAAAAGAATGCTGCCACAGGTTGATGGTTCTCTCTAGTCAGTCCTCTCACACCTCACCCCTCTCTCAGTTTTTAACTAGCTTTCTGTACCCTATAGGAGTCTATTCAAAATACTAACCCTTACCTATAGAGCTTTAAACAACTTAAGACCCTATATATTTCTTCACTAATTTGTAGATATGCCCCTGCTTCGTCTTTACACTCTGCCAGAGATTTTCTCTTGTCTGCTGCTTGTACCCTAACTGCTAACTTGCACTTGCAGGCAGGGCCACCATCAGGGGGTGACAACCGTGACTGCTGTCACGGGCCCGGTGGCCCTGGGGGGCCCGGACTGCTCTGGCAGTCCTGGGCCCCACTTTCTTTCTCTGCACACATAGATAGCGAATATCGCTATGTGTGCAGCCGCGGGCCGCCGGCTCCCTTTTACCGCAGAGGGGGCCCAGGCAGCACACAGCTTCTCCTCTCTTCTAATAACTCTCGCGAGACCCGCGGAGCGTTGCCATGGTAACCGGGTCTCGCAAGAGTTATTAGAAGAGAGAAGAGAGGAGAAGCTGTGTGCTGCCTGGGCCCCCTCTGCGGTAACAGGGAGCCGGGGGGCCCCCCAACCGACCACAACAGATGGAATCTCCCCCCTCCCTGGGCACAGGTAAGCAGGGAGGGGGGAGAAACATTTAATTAATTTAATAAAAAATGTATGTGAAAATGCCCCTTTCCCCCCCCCCAGATCACACATTTACACACACACACTGCATACACTAACACAACACACATTGCATACACTAACACAGCACACACACTGCATACACTAACACAACACACACTGCATACACTAACACAACACACACACACTGCATACACTAACAAAACACACACACTGCATACACTAACACAACACAACACACACACTGCATACACTAACACAACACACACTGCATACACTAACACAACACACACACTGCATACACTAACACAACACACACACACACTGCATACACTAACACAACACACACTGCATACATTAACACAACACACACACTGCATACACTAACAAAACACACACACTGCATACACTAACAAAACACACACACACACACTGCATATACTAACACAACACACACTGCATACACTAACATAACACAGACACACACTGCATACACTAACACAACACACACACTGCATACACTAACACAACACACTCTGCATACACTAACACAACACACACTCTGCATCCGCTACACTAACACACACTCTGCATCCGCTACACACTAACACACTCTCTGCATTAACTACACATTAACACTGTATTCACTACACTAACACACACTCTGCATCCGCTACACACTAACACACTCTTTGCATTCACTACACATTAACACACACTCTGCATTCACTACAAATTTACACACACTCTGCATTCACTGCACTAACACACACACTACATTCATTACACTGACACATTCTGCATTCACTACACACTAACACACACTCTGCATTCATTACACACTAGCACACACTCTGCATTCACTAAACTATGCACACACTCTGGATTCACTATACTGACACACACTCTGCATTCACTACACTAACATACACTCTGCATTAACTGTACACACAGCATCCACTACACAAACATCCTGTATTCACAGTACACACACTACATCCACCACAAATTGAAACACTCTGCATTCACTATACACAGACACTGCGTCTAATACACACACTACAGACACTGCATCCACTAAACACATTTCATCTAGTACATACAAACACTACATCCACTACACAAACACACACTACATCCACTACTCAAATACACTCTGCGTTCTCTTTACAAACTGCATCATTGTGAGCAGACTAGGTAGGGCGTGGGCGGGCCGGAAGGGAAGGAGGGAGGGAGTGGGGGGGAGGGGGCAGACCTTGTGCTTTGTCATGGGCCCCAAAATTTCTGATGGCGGCCCAGGACTTCATGCAGGCAGCTCCTTTCCTTTGGAACAGCTTGCCTACCCCCATCAGACTCTCCTTGTCACGGCTTACCTGAGGTGAGAGTATGGTAGGCAGAGATATATGCTCAACCTTGCAAATAGGCCAAGGTGGTCAGGTAAGAATTCGCCTGGCCTGTGAGTCTGTGCACGGGGGCTGTGCAGGGATATACTCCAAGTTGCAGTACAGACAAGGACAAACCGAAGAGTAGAGATGTCGCAAACCGTTCGCGAACTTCCCGCGAACGGCTCGCCACGGTTCGCCACAAACCGTTCGCGGCGAGCTCCGGTCAGCTGACACATCCCGGCCAATCTCCAGCAGACCCTCCCTCCCAAACTCTCCCATCTCCTGGACAGCATCCATGTTGAAGGCAGCTTCAACATGGATGCTGTCCAGGAGGTGGGAGGGACCTGACTCCATTTGAGACATCCTGTACTTCTGGTAATAGAATGCAGCGACCCTTATCACTTTTCTATTCACTGATAAAAAGCCCTGAGAACACTTCCCCTTCATACTGGGCAAAATGGTGCTCTATTCTAAGGATACAGATAACCCACAAGGACTGGGAATACATTATGGGATGCATAATGAAATATTCTATTAGTTTTGCCCACCGGGAAATGTTCTACAAAAGGGAAGCCATGTGGTACAGAACACCTTCATTTCTCCATGCGCACTTCCCTACTGTGAGTGACAGGTGCTGGAGATGTCTGAGGAAGAAGGGCATGGTCTACCACATATGGTGGCACTGTTCGATTATACACCCCTTCTGGATGCAGGTGTTGGAGGTAGTTAATGGAATTTTCCCAAGTATGCCAACACTATCCCCCTCCCAGGTGCTGCTAGGTTGGCCCAACTCCACAAGAAATATGAATAAACAGAAACTCCTATGGTTCCTGATAGGGGAGGCGAATGCCCTGATACCAGTTCTATGGTGGAAAATTGAGCCACCGTCCATCGCTTAATGGATAAACCAGGTGGAAGATGTGTGGGGCATGTCCATTAGAGGCCTCTATAGGGAAGTCCCAATCACGTTTTATTTCTATAGAGACCCCTTTCCTCGGATGGTGGAAAGGGGTTGGCAGTGACCTGTCTACCTTCCATTAGTGAATGTCATGCCACCCCCGCAGTATTTTGCAAGTCCCTTCTTAGACAGCCTTTCTTAAGGACTAGGCAGCAACATTCCTTAGTTGTTTTGCATTTACAAAATATGTTTAAACAGAAAGATCACTTAGACGAAATCCAGTCTATCTAAACTGAAGGATTCAGAAAAGCAGATGACTACCTCTCATAGAGATGGAATGGACAGATAGTCGAGATAGTGTAGATAATCCTTTTGGAAAAGTGAATTGGACAATTTTTTTTTTATTATTGTGCATGAGTCTAGTATCCTTGGCCCTATAGCCACCCATCTATCTAAATGAACCTATCTATCTCTTCACAGTTATAATAATGAGGGGGCCTAAAATATCTTAAATAACTGTTAAAAAATAAATATGCAATACCTTCAGAAGGGTTCTTTTTTTCAAATGTTCTTTTTTCAGCCCTCAAAATAATCCATAGTGCATTACCAGGCACGTCTCTTGAGAGTTTGGTCAGCTGCCACATAACTATTAAGGGTTATTTAACTATTTCTCACTGGCTTCTGCCAGAGGGCAAAGAGTCCAGATTTTTATCATTTGCTGGCAAGTGAGTAATAATTCATGAATGTGCAACCTAATGGATGCATTTGATCACAATGTGAGTTAAATTGGTGCTTTAAAAATTCAAATGTGAAAAGTACTAATTTCAAACCAGACATTGAATGGATCCAAGCAGTTGTTGTGCATGTGCCTGGAATGACCGAATGAATGACATCTTCCCAGTGTCTATAGGTGGAGGAAGAAATGTATGCTGATGTAAGTTGATTTTAGCCACCACAAACTGCCCTTGGGTGTAGGTCAAGGAAGAGAACAATGGCATGCACGCCTGCGCATATTATTTTTGGGCCCCATCCGACACCCTGGAGTGATGGCAAAGGGTATGACAGTGATATGTCCCCCGGTCCAGTTTTTGTCAGTACTCCCACTGGAAGTGAACTGGAAAATAACTAAATTCTGGACTATTGGTGTGCCTTGAGGATTGAGCTGGAAAACACCATTTAGGTGCTCGCTAATGTGGGTTTCATTGCAGTGAAGATCTGTGATATGCTTGCCTGAATATTCCGATATTCTGAGCTCTTAGAGAAAATTAAAACTCATGTAAACGTTTTTAATTCAGTATTTTCAGTTTGTTGTTTTTTTTCTGGAGGATTGACAGCTGCTTTTCTGCATTTGTACATATTGCATATAACCAGCATGTTGATAATAATAGAGAATTTGCCCTGTCATGTTCTATCAAACTACAAAAGAACACTATTTCAACAAACTGTATATAAAAAAAAATTGAGTTGTTCAGTGCTTTAATATAATCAGGAGGCTATATGGAGCAGTAAGAATGAATGAGTGACATTTACTGGAGTCCCTTTTTTAACTGGAGTGAAGGAACAGTTATAAATGCCTGCACTTAAAAAAAGAGATGAAAAAATGACTGTCCAAAAAATATGACTTATTTCTGTAGAAAAAGTGCCAAATAGTCAAACAGCATACATAACTTGGTGTTAGTCTTACACAAAGCTAACAGAGAAGTCGTTGTTTTGTATGGATCCCAGGAGAAGGGGAAAAGGCAGAGGGGAGGAGGAGGTGGGCAGAATGAAGGAGTGGGGGGAGATGATGGGAGTGGAGGAGAATGAGCTCAAGAGGTCGGGGGTGGAGACTGGCATAGCCGGGGACAGGAGAGGTACAGTATAGCAGAGGGAGGGAGGTGGGGGGATGACTAGTGGTGTGAGAGGGGGAGAGATCTTTTTTTAAGACTCCACCTCCAGACAGACACAGTCCTTTCTGAGATGATGCACTCCAGGCTCCTGCCGGGACTAGCTGAACACTCACCAACTTCTCACCCAGGTCCTAACTCCATCCACGAGTCCTACAAGGGTTACAATCAACTGGACCAACTCTTGGAGAGAAAGAGAGAGAGGAGAAGACTTGGTCAGCTCAGAGTGGTATGGAACGTTCAGCCACTGTAACACTGCCTAGGAGATCCCGTCTTTTCTTACCATTCTAAAGCTTATCAAGAAGACTTTGAAGCGAGCAGAGGGAGAGAGTTTGGCATTGGGTAAGCTCTATGCTACTTCTGTCTTGTAGTTTGTACTTACTCTCCAGGAAAGGACTCACTGAGCTCAGTCTGTTTTCACTGCTGCTGACAGTATGCCGGTGTCTTGCTACAGTATACAAGTTACCTTATCTCTCAACACATTGTGGCACTGAAATGGTTGAAAAGAAACAGAATATACATACACCATATATATGTCTACATGTGGGTATATACACCATATTTATTTATATATAGATATATATATCCGTATGTAGGTATATGTTACCACTTTTCAGTACCTGGAGTTGGTGAAATTTGATTTCTGTGGATATTAAACAGTTAATATCATTGAATGTGGGTTATTATTAACCCTTTCAGTCAAGGAGATGACATTGTCAAAGTATATATGTTAAATTCAGTCACATTAGTTGGAAAAATATAGTGCTTCCTGTGATCTCAAAGGGTTAATAATATCATTTTTTTCGAGTAGGAATATGTTAACCCGGTGAGTCAGAGGTGGGTGGTAAAATGGCATTACTAGTGGTTAATAGATACACATATAATTGAAAGTGGGTATATGTTAACCCTCTCGGCCCCATGGTTAGGTAAAATGTGATGAATATAGTGGAACTTAAAAGGTTAATAAATACACGTATCGTTTTCGTTGTGAAAGTGTGCATGTATTATTTCACCCAACATATGACTTTTACAGTGGATATATGTTAACTTTTGGTTAACTTAAAATGTGGTGATTGCTACAGAACTGAACGAGTTAATAAATACAGATTATAGAGTCAGAATCTATTAGGATAAAAAAAAATTATGAGCAGGTGGACATAAGAAAATGGAGCAAATAGCTAATTATGTTTGAAAAACTTTAAAATTGCTATTAAATTATAAAAAGGAAAATGAAAGGATGATGTGCTTTGTAGTGGGAGAAAGGGTTAAGATTTGCAGAGCCAGAGATATAAGCACAGTTCATGTGTTGCTCTGACTGTATTTCACTCTGCCTTTCTCAGCTTGAATGCTCTAACTGTGAGTGTGCATGTTCTGAGAAATAAGGTAACAGATCTAGTCAGTGACACACTTTTGCAGAACACCCACACCAGCCGTACCTCTGCCTGGAAGAATTTTAGCTATACACGTCCACAGCTGCAACTGAAGAAACATGCAGGCAGCAAGCAGGACAAACAGACTGAAGTGTGAAACTGGACATTCTGACATCACATTTTGTTAGAGCACATTTTTTTTCTCGAGGGTTGGGGGAGATTTCTTTTCTAGAGGGTTGGGGGGGCGGGAGGGGTTGAGGATCTTTGAGGATTGCTGTGATGGAAAAATGGTTTAGAATTTTACATTAAATGACCTTTAACAATGTTTCAGCTCAATATTTTTTTTAGAGCCAGAACATTTAACATGATACAATTAAAACTCTGTTCAAAGTAATTTATTACATGATATACAACAATGAGTTTGGAATGACATGCACTATTAATAATTAATCATTAATTGCTTGAATATATCCACTGAATACCACGTTTTAGGGGAGATTATTATTATTATTATTATTATTATTTATGTTATTTTCAATAAGTACTTTTCAGTTATTTTACAATACTAGGTGGATGAGACCAAATGGGTTGCCCCAGCCCAGGCTATTGTTCCTTGTTCTGTGGGGTGCTTAGTTTTTATAAAACTCTTTATTTGGTCCCAGAAAAAGTGTTGCTTGATCTTATACAACTCATGTTCCTGTAATGAGATTATTGAAAATAACAAAGCAAGTTCACAGGTCACACTAATTTGGATGGGATTTCTATATTAGTAATTGAAGGGGTAGCTTCTGGAACTGCAGCTGTCTCAGACCAAATTTCCCACATAAACAGGGAGACCAGATGGGTCCACTGGTTATCTTGAGCTGTCATAACATATTATTCTGTGTTTGTAGAAATGCTCAGTTACAAATAGACTGCATTTAGAACTATAATGAGTAAGGCCTGTTTCTAAATGATTTTGGGATTGTAAGAGAGTCCAAGTTAGACACCATGTGATTTTATACCATGCATATCATAGAGAGATCTATTAAGGTAGAGTGGCCAAAAGGTAGACCTCCAGTAGATAGTACTGCTGTTACACACTCTGATGTACATGTAGAAAGTCAATTTATTTATATGGAGATTGAAGTGTGGAGTGTTTGGGGGATATAACACATAATATATTAACAATTATTTGTACAACAAAAAGAAAAGTGTTGTTTCTTTTCCTTTTTGACACTAGATACGCCATTCGGGTGTGGAGAAATGATTGTTATGGTTACATACATATTACCCCTCTGGCTATAAAGAGGTGACACATGAGATCGAAACTTGATTGCATTGGTAGAGTCTGTTAAATTAGTGAAAATGACAGTGCCTAGAGCAGGCTTCCCCAAACTCCGGCCCTCCAGATGTTGCTGAACTACAACTCCCATGATTCTCAGCCTAGCTATTTTATTCATAGAATCATGGGAGTTGTAGTTCAGCAACATCTGGAGGGCCGGAGTTTGGGGAAGCCTGGCCAAGAGCTTATCTGAGGACTGTGGTAGCAACCTGGAAAGACTATCTCAGTAAACCTAGAACAGGATAGCAGCATAAAGTATGAATTGGCATTAAGATACCAAAGGCTAAAGTGTTTTTACCAAACCTCCTTCTTCTAGCAAGCCGATCTCTCGCACCTTGCATGTTATTTACTTAGAAACCCAACTAAGGAATGTTTTACATGATTAATGTAATAGTAGCAATTTCTATGTATATATAGAAGGGTATATCAGTTTTATAATTCATAAATATACTTAAAAATAAAATTCATAATATTTTGATAATGACGTAGCCTTAGACGGTAAACAGCATTAGATACTTTAATTGTTCATGTTTTGGGTATTAAATCATAAGTCTCTATATGGGAGCAGTGCTATATAAAGAATTCACATCAAAATTCAGCAGAACTAAAATGATGCATAATGTGTGTACAAAACATACTTACACGTATATATACAATTGATAAACAAATGATTTTGAATCACACAAAAAAAACTTTGGTTATTCCAGCTTATATAAATAAACTTTAGGATTCAACCCATTGAGTATTCTTTTTCCCAACTGACAATGCAATGGGACAGGAGATTGTCTTAGCATGTCCATGTAGGAACTAATAACAGCCCCATAAAATAATCACTGACACTGAGAGATATGTTCCATTTCTTATTCAATATATAATATTATTCAGTGTTCAACATTTTTGCTTGCTCACTAGTCAAGTGGCAAGTAAAAATACAAATCTGGCAAGTAGATGTTTAGCCGTTGTGAGTGCGCCATGAACCCCTCAGGCTTACAGTGTCAAGTAACTTTTAAACCAGTCTGGTTTTGGAGATATGCTATTGTTCATCTATACTAGTAACCCCTGGAGTCCATATGTTTTGGACTATGTTGCCTCGATGTACGTGGTGGGAAAAGTCACTAAAACTAACGTGTTCTGTTGTTCTGTTGGTTAGTTGGGTGGACATATGACCAGTAATGGCTCGAGCTCTTTGGATTGTCATTTTTATGGATGGTGAACATTATCCAGAATTAACTTTTTCTAATTTCTCTTCTCACAAAGAAATATTAGCTGTTCCTCCATAACTATTTATATATTTCTCATTTGATGGATATATTATTATCTGTATTTATGACTCTTTGTCAAATCTCATTTGATAATAATTGCAGGCTTTCATCTGATCTCTGCTTAAAGGAAACTGTCATCGAAAAAGAGGTTTCCTATAGTCATTTAGTAAAGTGACACCTTGCTGATGTGGTAGAGGGTAGGACCACTCACTAACATTAACATACATTTGCAGTGTATGTTCTTATAGAAAGGTAAGAATCCCATATGAGAACATACTCTGAATGTTTCAAAGCCACATTCCTCCCCTAAGTGTCCCGATTTAGGACAGACAATCCTTATTTTGGGCACAAATCAGTCTGTCACTCATTTTTAGGTACACATATTTTTTTGTGTGTTTGAGTGTATAACAGAGCTCTACAGCAATAATACTCACAGTAATGTGCTTTTAAGCTACAAAAAATGTGTTTAGAAATCAGTCTGTGTATGAAGCATACATTTTTATTTTTTAATCAAATACAATTTCTGAGAACTTTCTCCTGGCACCCCCTCCTCCCATTGTCCTATTTGAAATATTGGAAGGTATGATAATCATCTGGGGAAAAGGTGCCACCCGCTAGCACATGGGCATCTACGTCACACTCTGAGGGGCCCATGAAAAATTTGCAGAGGAGGCACTTCTGCTGATCACAATTTCCTCAAAGCAGGACATCTGCGTGCTAAAATCTAGTGAATACAAGTTTAGTCACATGACATCTCAATGGAACACGCTATAACCAAATTTAAGTAAAATTTTATTGAATTATATAATACTTCAGCAATTTACAACCTCACAAACACTGTTTCAAAATTCAACCAGAATCCAAATCTAAGCTTCTTTTATGAAGCAGATATATTAATTTGTGTTCTTTGCAAAGAAAAAAAGTTTTCCAAAATCTCTTTAGTCATATAAATTCTGAATGACAGAGCATCATGCTTTATCTACAGCTCAAAATGTATACTTCATATGGAGATGAAAGAGGGGGGCATGCGCTGCTACATTTTATTGGTGATTAGTTCATTGTTGAAGTCTGTTCTAGTGTGCTCCCTTTTTTGTATAGAAAAAGTGGATCCTCAGAGTAGTCTGGGCATGAATGGAGCTCAGGAACCTGAAGATGTTTGTTAAGCATTAAAGCCTTGTGCTAACTACTTACATTCACTTAAGACATGCCAAAAGGAAAAGAAACTTCAAAGCCCCAGGCAAGGAATCAGGGGCGGATTTCTATTCCTTTGTGTGCATGTACATGTGTTTGGAAGATTCTCAGAGTAGAAGCCATGAACAAAAAAATTAAACTGCTGCTTATAACCACAAGAGAGATGCAATGTTTCCTAGTGTGTGTTGTACAAGTGTCATCAGATATAGTATGGTCTACTTACAAAATCAAGATTTGAATCAACATTTCTAATTAGCAAGCATCAACATTTTTGTCCACAACCGGATTTTTGTTAATATATCATGATTTCAGGCTAAAACATGTATTTGTATTTTTTTATGCCTACATACTAAAGTAAAAATATGTTTTTCTTAAGGTTTTATGTTCTGAAAATGCTTGTTTGTGAACGTGTTTACTTTATAGTTTTGCTAAGTTGAGTGTGTGAGTTGTGTGATTAAATATTGTTCTGAAGAGCTTACAATCTAATTGTTACTATATGATTTTAACATACTAATGGATAAATGTAGCGCATATATATATATATATATATATATATATATAGTATCTCACAAAAGTGAGTACACCCCTCACATTTTTGTAAATATTTTATTATATCTTTTCATGTGACAACACTAAAAAAATGGAACTCTGCTACAATGTAAAGTTGTAAGTGTACAGCCTGTATAACAGTGTAAATTTGCTGTCCCCTCAAAATAACTCAACACACAGCCATTGTTGGCAACAATAATGAGTACACCCCTAAGTGGAAATGTCCAAATTGGGCCAAAAGTGTCAATATTTTGTGTGGCCACCAATATTTTCCAGCACTGCCTTAACCCTCATGGGCATGGAGTTTACCAGAGCTTCACAGGTTGCCACTGTAGTCCTCTTCGATGATGACATCATTGAGTTGGTAGATGTTAGGGAGCTTGCTCTCCCCCACCTTCCGTTTGAGGATGCCCCACAGATGCTCAATAGGGTTTAGGTCTGGAGACGTGCTTGGCCAGTCCATTACCTTTATCTTCAGCTTTTTTAGCAAGGCAGTGGTTGTCTCAGAGGTGTGTTTGGCATCGTTATCATGTTGGAATACTGCCCTGCGGCCCTCAATGAACTATAGCTTCCCAGTACTCATGCAGGCCCAGACCATGACACTCCCACCACCATGCTTGACTGTAGGCAAGACACACTTGTCTTTGTACTCCTTACCTGGTTGCCGCCACACATGCTTGACCCCATCTGAACCAAATAAGTTTATCTTGGTCTCATTGGACTCCATGACATGGTTCCAGTAATCCATGTCCTTACATGTATACAAATAGGAATAAGAGATCCTACGCGTACTAGTAGATCACCTTAGAGATTTCTTAATGCAGTGTATATATCACTAAATAATTCAAGAATCCCCACTTTTGGTGGACACAAAACTGCTAGTATTTAAATACTGCCAAGAATTTACATATAAATCTGAAAGTGCAAATAGTGCACCTTGGGCTAGATCTGTACGTACAAATAAAATTATTGTGGTCCCCCTACTAATATACATAGATTAATACAGAAAAAAACAACAACAAGCAAAAATCAGCAAAAATTGGGAAAAGTAAGGGGTCTGTTGACTAAGTAGTGGGTTAGTAAAAAGATTATAGTAACAAAAAATGTGCTCACATAGAAGCTGCGGGCTAATGAACATAGGGTGTAATAATGAATATTGTCCAGTATAAAGTCTGTAGATAAAGAGTTTGTGAGGTGCAACTCAGTAAAGTCTATTCGTAATAATATTACAGCTATCACAATGCACTGCTGTTATGAGGGAGTAACAGAAGCTGTATTGTATTAAAAGCTATTATAATATAACCAATATGGTATAAGATGGTCTGATACAGAAATATCTGTTTCCCCAAGTATGATGGTATAACAATTTCTCCTAGATCACAGACACAGATCTATAGTGATAGGATCTTCTCTGTGATCTGAAATATAGGACGGACAGCCATAGTGCTCTCCATTAAAAACTTAGACATTTATTGTAAAAAGGTATAAAATAACACTCACAAAAGTGCAGTTGAGTGGAGCAAATATAGGGTCCTTAGGAATCTACAGGATCGATTGGTCGCTGGAGATGTAGTGGTAAACCTCCCTCCGGCCGGCTGGGAGGTGTCGATGTTAGAGAAGAGATGAATAACCCTTTGCGTGCATTCGCGTGCATGGTGAAATTTGGGTATGCTGATGTCAAAGGTCAGCAGATGGTGGTCAGATAAATGAAATTGAACAGTGGAGAGATTAGAGGTTGTACAGAGATTGGTGAAGATGAGGTCAAGAGTATTCCCTGCTGTATGAGTTGCAAATGTAGACCACTGTGTGAGGCCGAAGGAGGAGGTTACAGAGAGCAGTCGGGAGGCAGACGGGCAGTTGAGGTTGTTGATTGGGATGTTAAAGTCCCCAAGTATGAGGGAAGGAGTACTAGAGGAGAGAAACGGGTATAGCCAGGAAGAAAAGTGTTCAATGAATAGCCTAGGATAACCGGGGCGGGGGGCGATAAATGATGGCAATTCTTAAAGGAGTGGGCTTAAATATGCGGACAGTGTGAACTTCAAAGGAAGTAAAGGATAGGGCAGGTAGAATAGGTTGAAAAGTACATTGAGGGGATAGAAGGATGCCTACACCGCCACATTTACAGTTGAGTCTGGGAGTGTGGGAGAATTGTAGTCCACCGAATCATAAAGAAGCTGGAGTAGCGGTATCAAAGGGGAACAGCCAGGTCTCACTGAGTGCAAGAAGTTTGAGGGAATTAGAAATGAAGTGGTTGTGTATGGCTGTTGATTTAATATTGCTGCAGATGGAACGGATGTTCCAGAGTGCACATTGAATGATGGTAGAGAAGGATAAACTGCAGGGTATTTGGATGAGGTTTGCATGGTTTCTGGTTGCTTTAGTGGGAGCAGGTGAAGGGCCCTGGGTTGGGAGAGATTTCACAGGCTGCTAAAAGTAGGAGGAGAGATAGTGATAGTGAAGAGGTGTGAATGGGTTTTACAATCCAGCGCATTCACTTATTCACTAAACAATGATTTCAAATCTCATAGATTGTAATAGTTTTATTTAAAAACACCTCACCTAGGGAAAACATAATGGGGGTTTAGTTACATTATATGATCATATATTGCATAAGCCTGCCACAATGTCAATGTACCCCATTCTTGGCAGGTCCTACACTATATATATATATATAGAGAGAGAGAGAGAGAAGAGCGAAGAGCGAAGGAGAGAGTGTGTGGGTTTTTTTTTGTGAATATGTTTTTATTGAACATTTTTTTTTCCAACATAAAAAAAAAAAACCATATTAACGTGGACTCGCAGGTCCCTTTGTTTACATGTAGTCGCTTATACATCGTGAGGTACAGTCTGTCAGACGTGCATTGGCGATTCGCAGGTCGCATTATCGAATAAATGGCATGTGTATAGTGGACTCGCAGGTCCTGTAGTACATAGTTGTAGATAGTACTCTTTTATGTCTGATGGGTACCATTTCTACATTGGGTAGGTTTGTGAAAGAGTGTGTTTTAAAGGTTGAACTCAAAGGGTTTTTTGAGTCTATTTCAACCTAGATTACTATGTAACACACAGCTATTACTACATGAATAAAAGTAATTGAATGCTTATACTGTATCCTTAATCTCAGTAAAACACAGAAATTGATTTTCTGTTCTATATTATTATTATCAGTATTAGTAGTTATATAGCGCCAGATTTTTCTGTTGCACTCTATGGATTATTTGGCTCACATATTGTAATTCAAACATTCCTTTTGGTTAAAATATATTCACTTTACTTCTTTAACCCCTTAAGGACACATGACATGTGTGACATGTCATGATTCCCTTTTATTCCAGAAGTTTGGTCCTTAAGGGGTTAAAGGCTTCTTTTAATAAACCAAATATTTGACACTTCAGTGGCATATTCTGCAGTCTGTTGACAAATATAAATAGAATATAATAAATACAATTTGTATAACAAACTGCTTTGTAGCTCATAAATGAACCCTAAATATAATATTTCGCTTTTTAAAATGTTTTTGTTTTAGTTTTTTAACGCAAAATTAGGTTTTCAGTCGATACTTTCCATCCTTTATATCTAGAAGAACACAGAACCAGTGTTGCTTATTTAATAAAACAATGACGATCTATCTATTGACTCCCTTACAGAAAATCATTGGATTACTCACCTACCAAGCACTGAAAGAGTTAACATGAGACCCTTTTTCCTAACATTATTCAGACTAACAGTTGACATCAGTGAACACAGAATGAATGTCTGAATCTCTCCTGGCAATGTAACACATAGGTATCACCTGATGGTGTTCTATGTGTTAATATTCATTATCACTTCTATGTCAGGCTACAAATGTGATACAATTTAATGAGCTGCTGACATCATTAAGGAAGTTGCTGTTCATGATTTTCTATTGTAACTTCCAGGGAAAGTTCAGACTGAAGTTATATGGTTGAGTGATATGACAGAAAGATTAATTGGCATGATGTCTTAAAGACCTAAAACATCCTCTGAAATTTTTCCGCAACTTTACTGCTAGCGGAACACATCAATTTCTTATGGGCAGGTCTCAGTGGAGGCATTAAATATACGTTCTTGCAGTGTTTGAGGTTTAAGGCCACATTATGTAATCCCTGAGTGGGGTGTTGTGGATATAGATACAACTTCTGACCCTTTGCACACTTGTGAAGACTATAAGTGATAATAATGAATTATTTCTCCATATAAAATCCTTCAATTAAAAGCAACCAAAAATAAATCCTTCCTTTGTGTAAGTTTAAAAAACACCCAGAAATTAAAGCTGTATTTTCTAAACTTGCCCGTGTATCGAAAATGTTGAAATTATTTTGTAACATATAGTATGCAAACAACTGAAGTTCAAGTCTTTGTGTTTTAGTAGTAACCTTAATTTACTTTTACATTAAATACATATATTAAATTAACATGCCCAGGAGTTATGGATCATCCTAACATCAACATATTTTAGTGAAGATCACAAAAAATAATGCACTGGTTTGTAATATTGCATGTACTTGCTTGTACTCCCCTAACTATACACTTTAACTATACTTTAAGCATTTTTTTAAATAAAAAGAGGATTAAAAAAGTCTTGCATTTTACACATCTTACATATATGACTTTCAAAGGAAATTATATGAAAGAAGTACAAAGTGTAGAACTTATGTACACATTTACATCTCTTTTTAAGCAATACTTCACAAAAGTCTTTTTGTAATAGCTTGTTTTTGACTAGGTGTCATTAGTGTTGTTTTTGTTTGTGTCTTTAGCACATTACATAAATTGGTCTTCTCATTCTGTAGGTAAGCTATGAAAGAGGCACAGAAAATGTGAGCTACACCGCCAGTCATTTTACATCGTGTACGGACATACAATCACTCGTTTATGCCTTTACTGTGTGTGTGTTTTCTCCAACTAGTCACTTTGCAGTACAATTAAGTCATTTCTGATTACTGTTTTCATGGTTCCTAGCAGGGCTGTTTCTAAAGATTTGCCATAGATGAGCACAGTTTACCTTGTCATGGAAATTATATCACATTTCATTATTTAGGTACATATTTGAGTGATGGACTTTAAACTCCTTTACTACCACATAATTCTTACATAAAGTGCTAGAAAGCACAGACTAACCATACATTTACAATAGTTGATAGGTTGGAATCACTTAGTACACAATTATAATCCAAAAAAAAGTCTGAAGAATGCAAACAGGGTGGCTGTATATCGGAATAATACCTAAATATATTGCAACGTTCATTGCAGTGTGCTATTGCAGCCTGCAAATTTACCCCAGATTGCTCGTTGAACCTTTTTTTACAATATCCTCACTCCCTGGATGTTTATGAGGAATTCAAAGTAAATTTAAAATTTTAGACAAAATAACTGAATTTGACAAAATCTCCATGTCAGCTAACTTTACATGACTGAAAATTCACACTTTAGTGAATAACCATGAAAGTTTTTGGGGTGCCCCTTTAAGTGTTTTTGGAAATGGGTCTTAGTGATATCTATACAAGAAAGCGAAAATACACTGGGAGTCAGCTTGCAAGGTACTTGAAAAATCCAAATGTGACAAACTAACCTGTTCACTTATGGCATGTTTAAATATTTATTCACCAAGGCCTCGCAAACGATGAAAAACACATGTTAATGTATATTATGAAATCAGATGAAAGGATCATTACAGTGTATTGACTGGTGAATCAAGTCTAAGAGTAAGAACGTTTGTGAATCCTTTTAGTGGACAAAACTAAAAGCTCTTCACAAATGCATTTCAGTGAATTTGAATTCTCAGAGGACCATGTTTTCAAGCAAATGTTAAGAAGGAAAAGTGCCTGGAAACAAAATGTCTGTTGAGCCATTATGTTTGTCCATTAAGATCTGTTATTAAGAATAATTATAGGAAATAGATGCAGAATTAGCAGATAATTCTAGTTTATGGATGCTATGCACCTTAACCCTTGTTGTACACTGACAGTATACATCCTCATGCCTCCAACAATTGGGCTATTACTATCATACTTGTCTGCCATGTATTTTGCATAAAGTAGCAAAATAAATAAACACAAATTGTGGTTTCCAAGAACCTCTTGTTAATCAGAGAACTATGTGGTGTACCCTTCCTTCCCACAAACCATGCATGAGTGAAGTGCTGGGCAATATCCTTTCCTATTTTGTGGTATAGTGTTTAGTGAAATTAATGCAGGGGTCTCGAGATGTGGTATCTCATTTTTACATTCTTTCTTCTCACTGGACAAGAGATGGGAGAAGGCAAAAAGGGGAGACACAATGACCTCACGTTATTACCTTACTCACTTATTGACTTAAGATCAATGGGAAAATGAGCCATATCAACATACCTTCTAGTTAATGGGGGTTCCCTTAAACCCTTTAACCCATTAACCCATAGTAACAACACCCATATTTTGTTCATGTTGGTCTGTCTTGATTAATAGATGGTTCTATTAAAAACTCACACTGTTTTGTATCTTCTCCTGCACATTGGAACATGAGATAAACAAGTAGAATCATACCAATATCATATAATATGGTTATTAGAAGAACCTCGTGTAGTGAATGTAATATCTTGAATGCTGTCTGTAAGTGATAAACTGTTTGTCTATTTGCTGTGAAATATGCAGGGAAACTAAATTAATGGAATCTGCCCACAATGGCAAAATTTTGATCAGTTCTTATGCAATTCTGATAGTTTGGATGGAATACGGACATTTTCAGGGATATAGAAGGTACCGAATGGCTTAAGTTAGCCACTGAACGTAGCACAATTGATACAAATATTTGAATCTGAAAATTTCCTTATACACATTGCATTTTGGGTCAAGTTTGCATAGTCCTCGGTCTTCCTATTCAGATTAATGTATATGGCTCTCTTGCTTTTTACTTAGATCACTAGATTGCTTGGGTTGTGCATTGACTTTGCGCCAGTTGTTGCAAACTATTAGCCTATACTTTCTATTATTCTAATTATCTATACTTTCCTATTAAACTTCTTTCAAGAAGTGTAGCCACAATGTGAACATCCAGTTGTGCTAACATTACATCACCCATTACTATCACCTCGTCTTTAGCTGGCCTAAAAAAACAAAAGATGGTAAAGAATAAAAAGAACAGCTGAATACATATAATATTTTGCATGCATTCCACTGAGTAGTCCCGATTTCGGTGACCGATCTCAGGGGCCTGCAGAGAGCACTGCTAAAACACATGTAGGTGGCTGGACAGACATTCTGTCAGTCAGCCTGGCTCACTTGGCACCAAGCTGACACAATCTTTCAGTGTGCGGGACGGCCCTTTTTCCAGAATGTATCGATCTTTGTAAGCATTGTCAATGATAAGAGTCTCCCTACGGCCCACCCCCGTCATGATCTCAATTTTGGGAATGTTAGCTCTTAAGAAGACAGACATTACTTTTACAGTTAAAAGATTTTATCACTCCAACAAAAATTGCACAAATTCACATCCTTTTTGTTGAAGGATCTAAGAGAGGAAACTATTTAACAATTTTTACAATTTAAATTATATACTTGTAGTGTGTAATGTCCATTAAATGTTAATGAAGTTTGATCAATTCAATTTTTAAAATTGTATTTATATTTTTATTGCATGTTCAATCCATGAAATGGTAAATGAATGTTTAAAAATTCTATTAGTAAATTGTATAATGGATTGAGCTACTCCTTACAGCGAAGTCTGGATTGTATACCAATCTATGTACTGATAAGATGAGCAGAGGTAGGAGTGGTTGCTTTTTCCAGGAAATGAAAAACAGTTAAGAAAAAAATAAAAATAAACTATGTATGTCAGTAATAAAATAGTTTAATTACTGTTCAATTTAGTTTTTTGCATTTTTCACACACAAACAAATATGTAAACGTTTACTTTGGCCAGTGTTTGTGACTAAGTGGCTACTAAAAAGACTAGACATACCCCATTTGTAGTACCTCGAGTTGTCTACTTTTGCAAATGGTATGCCGTTGTGGGGGTTATTTTCATTCTGGGCTACCATTTGGTCTTAAAGGCAACATAACCAGTCAGGCGAATTTCAATGTGAAAAAAATGAAAAATGTAATGTGCTATATTTCACCCTGTAACTTTCCAAAACACCATAAAACCTGTACATTGGGGGGTACTGTTTTACCCGTGAGACATCGCTGAATACAAATATGTGTACTTTATTGCAGTAACAGCTAACAGTATTGTGACATTCTCAGTTAAATACTTTTATTAGTAATTAAAAACAAATGTCAAAAGTTTCTTTTGGGCATCATGGCGTACACTTTATATCTTGCACACGTCTAAATAGTGTTAGTTTACTGCATGTATTTACACCAAGAATAAAAAATAAGGCAGTTGATAGATATCATGTTACTTTTTCAAGACACAAAGAATGATCTTTTTTTTATACAAGAAATTTCCAGATGTAAGCAGCTTGGCTTCCTTTCTGACATCATACTTAAAGTTCTAAATGGTATACGTTTGCTACAAACACAGATAATATTTTGTGCAACTTACAGGAAACTTGAATGCCACCATAGATATTTTATAAACCAGGCACTATGTTTCTGCATTTATTCATCCCTGTGCACCAATAGATAAGCAGGAAATGTCAGAATGATGTCAGAAACATTCCTCTCCAATCGAAGTTGCACAAATGACACAGCATGAAGCTTGCAAATGGCATAGCATTGTTGGCAGTGGAGTCTCGTTCATAGTTAGTAGCTGGGGCAGTGCCCCACCAGTTTTTCTTGTGAAAAAATAAATAAATATGTTTTTATATATATATGTAAACTTAATTCTTTAAATTACTTCCTCCCTCGGCCTTTGTCAGTGGGCTAATTCTCCCACCCGTATAGATGACAATACCCTTGATCTGTTTTTTTCAGAGGCATGCACAGTCTCTAATCTCTGTCCACGTTATTTCCTTTGTCAGATCACCACCTCTTATCTTTTGTTCTTGAGTGTTCCCTCACCCAGCATTCTCAGTCTAACCCTCCTCAACTAATGAGAAAACTGAATTCTCTTAACCTCCAGCAACTGTCAGCTGGTGGGCATTCTTAACTCTCATCAATACCTTCTCCTGTCCCTCTGTGGCTATCTCCTCATAATGCTACTCTCACCTCTGCACTGGACATTGCAGTCCCACTTCAAAAAGGAGTATGCGCCTCCAACTATGGCACACTAAGTCACCATGCTGTGTGCAGAGATGTTCCCATTCAAATGAACGCTGCTGGAGGAAGTCTTGCAACTTTCTCCATTACAGATTCAACTTACGCTTGTACAGTACATCCTTCACCATTGCTAAACAGTCGCACTTTTCCTCTGTCATTAGTTGATACTAACAGGCATGTCTTTGATACCTTTAATCCTCTTCTTCACCCGGCTGTTGCCACCCCCCCAGACTAACCTTTGATCTGATAGTTGTACATGCTGTTTTACTGACAAGATTAACCAGTTAAAGTCACCCCCTCTTCACTCCTCACCCACCCTGCTCCTCTCTCTCTCAACCACACTTGAACTGTGCCTTTCCAGCCTTTCCAGCCTTTCCTATTACAGGCATTTTTCCTAGCTACTAAACAGGAGGTGGCTGCGCTTCTCCTTTCCTCTTTCATCCCATCCTATCCTACCAGATCTTCCTGCCTATATTCAACTTCTCTCTTTATTTTGGCATTGTCCCCACTCCCCTTAAACATGCTACTGTTCTAACAGAAGGATTATCTGTGGCATTGGGTTTCAGCAAGTATTTATGCAGGGAGGGTTTTTATATGTTGGTATGGTTGTGTTTTCTTAATTTCTTCATGCAAGTGGTACACTCCTTGAATATGCCACAAGTCCCTCATCCATTCACTAGCCTAATACCATTATAGACCATTATGCTGCTAGCCTACCAAACTTCATGTGTCTTTATCACGCCAATGTCATTTCCAATTGTCCCATGACCTTTGCACATTGATACCCCCAACCCTCTGTGTATCACTTCCAACCATGCTTTACTTACATCATTGCCAGCCATCATTCCTATTCCATTATGCACACTCATTTCCTTCATCATGTCATTAACATTCAACTCTTCCACATGTCATTCGTCTCCCCTCTGTTTTATGTATAATCATTAGACCTCCTTCCATTTGTTTACTGTAGTAAAGCTTCATCCCTAGTGTCTAGTGGTGCAAACGCAGCAAGATGTTATTAGCTCTAAATAGATCATCGCTGCTTCCAAGTGTCTCGTTACTGTGTGACCCACCTCACCGAACAGTGCTCAATTGGACATAGCTCTACACATCTGCATAGCTCTCACCAGCAGACACTCTATTCCTGGAGTCTCCAAGAACATAGAAGCTGCTGTCAACCTTCCTCCACCCCAGCAGTCATGAAAATGAAAGGAATTTATTCATCTTGGTCCATTCAGTGGGGCTCAATTTCTATTTCCACTTATATATTTATAATGTGCATCATGGTTCCTGTTAGAGATGTTATTTCTCTCTCAGTACTATGATAGACTCAGGACTAACAATAAAATGGTGCCAAATTGGCCCCACTCACAGTTCCACCTGCTGTTAGCCTCACCTAGCAATTTTTTTAATAAAAATATCCCTCTACATCTTTTTGCTGGTGTCGAAAACATTGAACTATGCTTAAAAGAGGAAATGATGAATTTATAGCTGATACTTTGTTCTCAGTATTTTTCAAGATGTCCGGTATTTCAATACATGAAATGTGCTATCTTATTTCTTGCATACACCCCTATGCCAAAAAACTAAATGCAATGCATTCTACTAGTGATACATTTGCTTTTTACTTGGGAATTTTGACATCCATATGAAAAATTCCAAGGGAGTGACATAATCTTTACAAATAAACAAGTGCTGCTTTGAAATATTTTCCTTTTTTTTTAAATCTTATCTGTGCCGCAGAAGCATTGTTCCATTCCATAGTTGCAGCACATGTACCCCAGCAATAATAGTTGCCGTCACCATGACTAAAAGAGTGTGTTTATCCATTTTTCTTCTATCAAAGCACAAAGCCCATTAAAATCTCATTAACGTTATCAAGAATTGTTTAGTTTAAAGTCAAATGGAAATAATGTTCTTTTTTTTAAATCTCCTTTAACTGGTGTTTGACATGTTTGACATGTCATGATTCCCTTTTATTCCAGAAGTTTGGTCCTTAAGGGGTTAAGTCTCGGTTACTTTACCAAAAATATTTCACTGACATGAACATCAAGTTAGACAATTCATTATGTTAAACAGGGAAAGTAACTGTTGCAATGGCTTTCCAGACAATATGTTTGTTAAGCAGTAAACCTACAGTAGTAAATGCTAAAAAATAGTACAAAGATAATTGTTTAGTGAAATTTAAAAAAGGAACATAAATTAAAACCCAAACAAATACAAACATTGGTTGTCAACACGTTGGGTTGTAGTTTACAGATATACAGACTTAATAAATATTTGTGATAATGAGTTGATTTAAGCTAGCAGTTGTGGGTACAGAGTTCCCAGTTACTCTCTTTCCATGGAGACCGATGTTTGTTTGGTAAACATGTCAGATGCATGGGAAGTATTGCATAATTATGAGACATATACACCCATGACATAATTGTGGTATTATAGTGGTATTGCAGTAGTTTGGTATTCGAATTTGGAATCATTTTTGGGATTGTGGGAGTATTCCTTAATCTCTGAATTTCCTTCTTCAATGTCAGACATTTATAAATGTTTATCGATTTGGGACTATGGTTAGGTATGTTAGGGGGTAGTGTAGGGTGTTGAAAGAAGATGCTGATATTTTTCCATAAATTAATTTGACTGCCCCCCCCAAAAACACTGAATATCAATGGACGTTACACAATAGTCACTCAATGCTTTTTGGAGTTTATACATTAAACTAAAAAGGTATGAGCATCACTTTATATGATAATTTTTTTACATTAACTCACAATGTTCTCAGAAAATGTAACTACTTGAAGACAGCGTTTGCCTCTTCCAAGATGGCTTAAGGAATTTAAGTTGAGAGGATGTGCATATTGGGGCACAGCATATCACCTCTTATATAAGATTGTCAACATCTCACAATTGCATAGATAGTGTGGAGACTAATTGCAAGAAATTGACAGAGTCTTTCCACATCTCATTGACTATCATATCATCAAGATCTCACAGTTAGAGATACAGGTTGCAAACCCTTAACAGAATCCAGAAATATATTTAAAGTGGCAAGAGGCAATGAAGCAATATGCATGGTGGCATGAACTAATTTAAAGGCAAAGAAAGATTAACCATAAGGTCACGCTATGCAGCTGCCAAGGGCCTAGGGATTAAACAAGGTCCCAGGAACCATTAATTTGTTTGGCCTCATCATCATCGTCCTTTTTTGAAGAATAAAGGAGGGGCCCCAAACTATTAACCTAGTTATCTTAATCCTTCTCTGCCTGACCTGCAGCTCCCACATGACCAGATGACATGATTCTCCACCAGTCTCAATGTCAATAAATGAGAACATAATTTTGTTACTGCCTCATAAGCATGGAGGTGGCAGCCTAAGACATCTGAACATGTCAGAAACTAGTGCAGCCCATTAGTCATGCTACATAGTAACATTGACACTTGACAGACGACTATTCATCCCTTTTCTCTTGAGTTTTGCACCATTTGTAAAACAATCATTAAATTAAGGAAGAGACGCAAGGTTAATGATGGCCAATATGTTCAAAGTACAAAGACAGGTTGTGGTGGAGGTTATGTGCTATTAAAATATGTTTATTTAGTGAACCCGTGTACAAATGTGAACAAAATAAAAAGAGAATAATTTGAATGCTTTATAATCAATTCTAATGTGTTTTATTATAAATGACATCCAATCTCTTTCTGATGTATCAGAGTCGTGCCTTCACTAAGCAGGTTTGCAATTTCACGCAAGCATGTCAGCAATGAAGGTGTTGAAAGCTCAAATTCTACTTCTCGTCTTTTCATCTGTAATCTTCACACATGCAGACAGCCAGCAGCTGTCTTAATTTTATGTTGAAAGATGCTGTATTGACAAGATTTGATTCAAGTGCATTCTGTGACAGATGTTAATTGTCGGTCTCGGTGAAGGAGCAGTTACTTTGTGTCGATGCCATTTGGTGAATTGTTATGGTCTGTAAATAAAATTGCCTTCAGTCGATATTTTGCAGAGGATTGCATTCTGTGTTTCTGATTTTGGCAGACATATAACTGCAAAGTTACTGCTTATGTATGTCACTTTGTAGCCAGCTAGCGAATAAAGTTAATGCTTTAATCAATGTTTTTTAATAACTATTTATTTAGAATTTCACTAAGAGGAAGTAGAAACAAGTAGACAGACACAATAAGCAATAAAATAATACCATTAATGCGGTCCCAGTCTGGGGATTTTGCAGAATTTGGGGGGCAGGCAAAGGTGAGTTCTACTTACCTGAACCTGTCCCTCACGGATGCTGCCATCTTCTCCCAGCGGGTCCTTTTCAGCAGCACCAGAAGACGGCGTCACTGCTGTACTCTTGAGCATGCGCAAGAGTACAGCATTGAGGTCTATGGAGGATCCCATGAGACCACGGATTGACGTCTAAACGGCATTAGCTGCTCCCAGTGTCTACAAGTGTCAGGCGTAGAAAATATACACAGACAAAGTAGTCCTTATAAAAATGAACAATGTTTTTGTACAGCCATTCACCTTCTTTGTAAATTATGTGTGATGTTGCTGATATTCATAATTGTCTTTGGGATATATTCTATTAGTACCACCATGCTGTGGTTCATTTCATATGTAGACTTATCTGTAATGCTGAATGAATGAACTGATGAATGGACTCATTGTTCTTCAAGGGTCTAAGAAAACAGACAAAATGGAATGCCAGTGAACACAATTGTTTGTAAAACAGCTGTATGTTATTATCACAGTACTGGTAAATTTGGCCCTACTGTTTATTGTCCCAGAGGAACTGTGGGATATGCTTATCCAAATCAAGGCAAAGAACAATGTTTATACTAATGCATAAGAACAGCCTTTATTAGTCTGTTAGGGGTTATGCAGGACTTAGTATAGAAACGTATTTAACCCCTTAGGGACACAACTTCTGGAGTAAAAGGGAATCATGACGGAATATTTCCATCATGTGTCATTAAGGGGTTAAAATTGGTCTTTGTGAATGCATTTTTCTTCCTCTGTGAATAGATCTCCACATTTATCCATGATTAGTTCATTATATATAGTTATTCATGAAAAAGTGCTCCTTAAATAGTGAAATTTCTTGAACTGAAATCAGGCTTGCCCTGTTTAGGACCAAAGTGAAGATTTACAATTAGCTAAATTGGAGAATTTCCAAAGCTTGGTTGTTTGGCGCAAAGTTCGCAATTCATTATTTGAATTATCCCATATCAGCCTTTAATTTAATAAATCTCTTCACGTAAACATGGTAGGACAGAAGTCATTGCAAATCTTACATCTGCCACAATACATTACAGAGATTTTATGATAAAAGTGTTTTGCTGCAAGTAATTCAATTTGAAAGTCTCTATTAATATTAGCAAGAGTTCTGCTTCTAGAATGTCACTTTCACGCAGAGTAAACAGGTCTAAATAGTGAATGCCATAAAGCATGTTAAATCTGAATATTGTTTAGACTGGGAGATTACAAACAAAATAACATTCAGGAGGCCCTCAGGACAGGTGTCTAGTATTAGGCTAAACATTCAGAATATTCCTTGCTAATGCTAGGTAGCTTTAAAATTATGAAGAACCAAAAGAAAAATAATACCAGAGTATGCAGAAAATAAAAAAAAAGCCCGCAACATAACGGCATCAGAGGGGTATTAAAACCAGCCAACAGGTATCCAGTGGCGGATCCGGGAGGGAGAGGGGGGCAACGGCTAATGCAGGGCTGGCATTGTCCAAGTGCCAGCCCTGCAATGTGCCTTCACGGACCGGAGGGGAAATCGGAGATCTCCCTCCCCAGTCCGCAGGCACTATGCTGGCAGCCGGCAGGGGAGGGAGGGATAGAGGACTCGGGAGCTCAGTCTGCAGCTCCTCCGGGTCCTACTCTCGCGAGCACGGAGCGCTGCCGCGGTTACCACGGCAACGCTCCAAATCTCGCGAGAGTGAACTCTAGCCCTGGAGCTGTGGGCTAGAGTTCACCTCACCACCACTGGGACCACCAGGGATTCCCACTGGACCACCAGGGATCAAGAAATGTCCCCCCTCCTCCTCCAGAAAAGGCAGGAAGGGAGGGGGGCATAAAGAATATTTGTTTTAATTAAATTAAATTGAAAAAAAACATATAAGAAGGGTTGGGGGCTTTTTTTAATAATATGTGTTGGTTTTTTGAAATTTTATTATTATGTGTATATGGGGACAGTGTATGTGTGTGTGGGGGGGAGCAATGTGTGTGATAAGAAGGGTAGGGGGCTTTTTTAATAATCACACACACACATTGTCTCCCCCCTCCCCCACACACACACATACACTGCCCCATACACACATTGCCCCCATACACACACACTGCCCCCATACACACACACTGCTCCCTATACACATATTGACCTACACATACACTGCCCCCCCCACACTCACACATACACTGCAATCCTCACACACACACACTGCATATGTCACACACAAATACTGACCCACACATACACTGCCCCCCTAACACACACACACTGCACCCCTGACATATACTGCCACCCTCACTCACACACTGCAACCTTCACACACACACACACACACACACACTTGTATCCGCCACTGCAGGTATCTCAGTCTAAAGTCATGCCACACCTCTCTGGGGCAAGTCCGTGGTACATCTCAGTAAGGCTGGGGGTAACGGGGCTCTAGCTTAAGAGTAGTTGCTTTAGCGTGTCAGCGCACCTCTGGTACAGGAGAGCGCCCGCTTCTCCTGTCCGGTGTGTACCAGGCTGCATCTGCCACATTGGGTTTTAGAAGCTCCTGACAAATCACTGGGTGCAGCTCAATGTGCTAAGTATGTTGGGGAACCAAACAGTTGCAGTGACTTATCTTGTCGATCCAGTAAAAGTTGCTAGAAGTAGTTATTATCAGAACAGTGGAGGAGCTCACTCAATATGCGACTCTCCTCCATTGCAGTCAGGCCCCGCGCCCGCTAATACACTTTTAATAGTGTTTATTCATTAGTAAGTAACACCAGAGAGTCAAAGAGTTGTTAAATAATCAATTAATAGAAATTGGTTGTTTAGCTATTTTTTTTTTGTGCTTTCGAATTAGAATTTTCATTTGCACATCTTGCAAATCTTTTCGTGCGTCTGTGGCTCTTGTTATAAACAAATCCAATGAAGAAAAATCAACAGTTCTGTTTTTATTTATTTTTTGCCAAACATTAAATGCAACATTTCAAATATGTTTAGAGCATCAGCTTTCTTTAGTCAGTTAACAGATCAGGACCAAGAAGCATACCTCCCAAGTGTCCCTATTTAGGAAGGACAGTCCCTGTTTTGCACTTAAATCCCTCTGCCCCTCTTTTCTGTCCTAATGTCTCTATTCTCTAGGAACTTTATATTTTTATTGTGTCTGAATGTATAATAGATCTCCACGGCAATAATACTCACAGTAATGTGTGTTTAATCTACAATATATGTGGTTTAGAAATCAGTTTGTGTAAAAAATATATATCTTGTTCTAATTACATTTTAGTTGCATAAATTGTTATTAGTAATCACCTAAACTTTCACCACCACCACCCCCACATATCACACCCCTAAAATTAAAGTGTCCCTCGTTGTCCATTTGAAATGTTGGTCGGTATGGACATGTAATTTCCCATTTTAGTGGTTTATTCGCTAAATAGAGAAATGTGGTGTCCTAAGGGTCAGCCTGCAACTTTTAGACCAGAAATGACAAAAATAGTGGGAAAAGTGAATCTGATAGCTGTAGAGGGGTGAAAAGTGCACATGAAAAGAGATTGTAAGAGCATTCCATGCTAAGACTGACATGATCCAAAAGGGAAAAAAAGCCAGTTGAATCCACAAGGAGTGTTTTACTGTATTGTGTTTGCTTTTCTCAGTTCATGGGAGGTTCATCATGCTTTCCTTGTTTATATTGCTCAGGGATTTGTATCCAGCTGTCTTTTACCATTCTTCTGTTTACAAGCACAATTCATTTGTTTCCTTTGTTTAGAAGAAAAAGTCACAGAGAACTCTGTGGGCAGAAAGACATTATGATTAATTACATTCTTCTCTACTATCCGAGTATGAGTAGACAAATGTCAAGTGTGACCAAGTCAGTTAAAGGGATACTGTAGCCACTGTAATGGTTTCATCTCATTGAAGTGGTTATAGTATCTGGCGTTGCCTAGTAAAATCATTCCATTCAGCATTAACATATTTTTAGTGTTTTAATGCTAAACAAGAGTCCCTAGCAGCCCATCCCCTCACGATTGCTTGGACTAACGAGAAAGCATTAACCTAAGCATTAATGGGCTCTGTGATTGGCTGAGAGTGTTAGCTGATCACTTTCAGCCAAACACAGCACCCATTGCTGGTATGAATTGGTAAGGTTAGAAGGAAGTGTGTAATCTCTGCCTTAGCCATACGTCCAGTGTGTCCTCTTTTTTCATTTTAAAAAATTTGGATATTTTAATAAAAATTCACACTTTTATAAATTAAGCTTTTTTCACCCCCTGGCTGTGAATTGGACAAATGGTCCTGTTACTTTCTGGTTGGTTAGCTCAGTGGAGAAAAACACAAAAGGCAGCAATTGCCCAGAGCACCTGCCTTACAAAGACTTGTCATTGAATTGTATTGGGAAGCCTATGATTGGACAGCCACAGAAATTATGAGCTGGGTTAGAAGGGGGGAGCTTGCAAAGGCTTCAGACAAGAGAACTGCACCTTTTCAAGCTGTTTTTACATATACCCCTAATGAAAAAATGCATACTTAACTACATGCATGTTTTCATTTGGGATATATCTACTAAAGAGTGATATTTTTGTAATTTAAAAAAAAATTTGGACAGTGGAGTGTCCTCTTAAAAAAGTTGAGATATAGTCTGTTCTTTAGATTGATGATCATCAATGTTGATTAGATACTTAAGATCCTTGAAATTGTGCCTCTGCTTATTGAGTAGTGCTGAACTTTTTCTTTCAGGATGTCAACTTGGTACTGTAAGCTCGTTTGAGCAGGGTCCTCTTCAACCGATCGTTTCTGTAAGTTTTCTTGTAATTGTCCTATTTATAGTTAAATCCTCCCGCTCATAATATTGTAAAGCGCTAAGGAATATGTTGCTATATAAATGGCAATAATAATAATGGGAGAAATGTACTCTTTAGTTGGCGCTGGTGGAGTTGTCAAAGCACTTTGCATTACCTTGCATTGCAAATTCCACTGGCTCAAAAAAACACTATATATAAAATATAATAATATATAATATATAAAAAGTTTGTCGAGAGCCACGTTGGACCAGGAATCAATAGGAATCAATGTTCCTAACATCCTATTAATGTTTGTTTGCTCTGAAACTGTTAATTCATTAAGTTACTTCACTTAATTTTCATTAACTTCCAAATTATTGCCATGATTTAATATTTGTGGAGAAGCTTTTCAGATGATTTTATATTTTTGGAGAAACTTTTAAAATGATTTAATATTTTGAATTTTTTTTTAAATATTTTAATATGTTGATTTTTTATATATATATATATATATTGATATATATTTTATGTATGATATATTTTGGATATTTTAATATTGTTAATAAAGAATTTTAAAAGTGTATCCAAAAATATGAAATGATTAAAAAAATATGGAGTTGAGGTCTGGACTAGAAGACTATATTATTATTATTATTATTTTATTATTTATATAGCGCCAACAAATTCCGTAGCGCTGTACAATGGGTGGACTAACAGACACATAATTGAGATCAGACCACTGACGTACAGGAACAGAGGGGGTTGAGGGCCCTGCTCGATGAGCTTACATGCTAGAGGATCTATTTAAAGGTGAATATTAGTCCCCCCCCCCCCCCCCAGCAAGACTGAAGTGAGAATTCATAGTGAATTTCAAATTTAAAGTCAAAATAGCCAAAAAGGAAAAATGGACTAAATCAGCAGTTGCTCCTAGTTCTATTACTTTGGCCTGACATTTTGAATCTTCTGACTGAGCCTGCGAGTTTAAAAAAACTCTCAAAATAGGTCTATACAGCAGTACCCACAACTTTCAAAAAATTAAACGTTAATGGAAGCTTCTATATTACTTGAAGGCAACAAAAAAAGTCACTGTGGCCACATTTGTTCCTTCACAACCTTTCATTAGAAAGAAGCTTCTCCAAATAGAAACATTCTGTAGGAGTTTCCTAGAATGTTCATCTTTCAGTCGGGAAGATGATGGGGGTTGTGCCGTGTTTTATCTGTTTTTTTTGTTGTTGTTTTTTAAGTTGTCGACATGTCAAAATATCATGATTATTTGGGCATTATCTTCCATCACACACATTCTTTATTGAAAGTGTAGACATATACATTTACGGGACAAAAATATTTATGGAACATATCTATTTTTTTTTAATTTATTTTTTTATAGATGATGCATTAAAAATAACTAACAATCAATAAATAATGCATTTTATAGGTATCTAATGCTACTGACAGCAAGTGGCAGCGGCAGAATGGTTCCTCCCTAACTAGGCAGTAGCTCACCAATTAGATGCCTCATATTTTGGTCTATTCATATTCCATGAACTCTGTATAGCAAGTGTTTATGGGATCAGCAGATTATCTCCCAAGTGTAGAATAAGTGTAACTGCTAAAACTGATAGCACCCATGCCACTCTGTTTGGTGAATGGAACTGTGTGCAGTAATCTGCAGAACTGTATATGTCTTTGCCCTTTTTCCAGAGAGGAGTTTGAGATTTGTCCTAGTTGTCCTAGTTGATTGATAGTTCCATCTACCTGACTGGCAGCTCCGAGTCTCTGCAGTTGTAAGTCACTTTCACAGCTGAGGGTGGACACAGAATGCTCAATGCAGCATCAAGTTTGCAACAATGTAAAGTTGTTATGGTGCTTAAAAGAACAATCGTTCTAAGGTAGTAATTCAGAAATAAAATGATAACTTTTGCAGGACTAGTATCGTTGAATGAAAATAACAGAATGTATTCTGTCCTCTTTTGAACTTACAGAAGTAAACTTTGGGAATTTGGAGATGGAGACGGAAATGTACTCCTTTTTTATTTCGGCACAGTTCAGGGATTATGGGATAAAAGCTAGAAGCAGGCAGGTGGCCAAATTCTGTTGTTCTGGATGACTAGACTCTCCCAGTGCAGTTTCAGTCTCAGTGACAATATGTGGTATGCTCCCTTTCCTGCAGCTATTAAAGACATGGGTAAAGAATGCTCAACAAGAGAGTTTGGTTATTTATGCAAGTAGCAAGCCAGAAGCTTATTGTTACGCATAAGGCAAAACATATTGACATTCCGGTTTGATCAATGAAAATCACTACTTTGCATTACAATCAGAACAACAGATTTCAGCATAATTTCTTTGCTGTCTCATTATAATATGTTTTTATAAAGGTGTGTGTCTCCTGTATGCTGTGTTTTCATCAAAAAAATTCAACAAAAAAGTTATGAGCAATAAGGGCAGTTGCTTGTTGTTTCCTGAAATAAAATTGTTTATTAACCTCAGCTTTTCAAATTTTGTTAATAAATTCAGTGGAAAACAAAAATTGATAGAATCCAAAGGTTGTATAACACAAGTTCATTTGGCAATGAGGGATAGTAACATTATTCGCTAGCACATAAAGAGTTATATAACCTTTGATATATAAAGAAAAAAAATCTAAAGGTATTCTAGATATCAATCTCATATACAGGAATTACACATACAGCTTTTCCAGATATAGGTAGCATATTTGTATAAATACAATAATGAAAACAATTAATTACAATTTTTATAGCATAGCTGCAAGAGAAAGTTTATGCTTGCCCTTTTTAAAATGTATGCATGACATCATTTTATAGATGAATAACTATATCATCTTAAATTTTATCTAGTAAAATAAAATAAGCATAAATTCAAAGAGATAAAATGGGATATTAGATAGACATATCTGTAAATATACACATACTACAAATGTAATAGATACACTTAATAGCAAAAAGTATGATCAGATTAAAGGGACACTCCAGGCACCCAGACCACTTCTGCGGATTGGAGTGGTCTGGGTGCCAACTCCCACTACCCTTAACCCTGCAAGTGTAATTATTGTAGTTTTAATAAACTGCAATAATTACATTGCAGGGTTAACTCCTCCTCTAGAGGCCACTAGAGGGCATTTCTGGGATTCTAGCATAGGTTTTCTGTGCTATAGCGTCGCTGGACGTCCTCACGCTGTGTGAGGACCTCCAGCATCGCTTAAATCCCCATAGGAAAGCATTGAAAGCATTTTCAATGCTTTACTATGGAGCGGTCTAATGCCATTGCCGTGCATGCGCATAAGGTCTCCCCCGCCGGTGGGCATGATCGGTCTCCCCCTGACGTGGTGACGGGGAGGAGCGTGGGCGGACCTAGAAGCAGTGCCGAGGGACATCAGCGCTGCCTCATGTAAGTCACTGAAGGGGTTTTGACCCCTTCAGCAACCGGGAATGGGAGGTGGGAGGGAGAGGGGACCTGCAGTGCCAGGAAAACGATTTGTCTTCCTGGCACTGGAGAGTCCCTTTAACTGAGGATGGCTTTTGGAGTGACAGCCCTAGACCCATTATAGGGACCAAAATACACACAAAACAGCTATAAAATAAATGTTAAGGGATATTATAGTGCCAGGAATACAAAACTGGATTCACTGCCTCTCCCCTCCCTCGCACTCCCCCTGCTCCGGTGAATAAAGTGTTAACAACCCTTTATTTCCTTACATGATCCCAGCACCCATGTCCCTTGGCACTGGGTGGTGGCTCTGCTGCATCCGTCGCTCAATGATGGGGCGCTAATGTGCATGCGCAGCAAGTGCCCTGCGCCCATTAGGCCCTTCCTATAGGAAAACATTCAATCAATGCTTTCCTATGGTGAAATTGCTGCTGCTGAATGTGCTCATGCACAGTGTGAGGACATCCAGAGTCAGTTAGCGGAGCAAAAGTCCGATAATGTTCCAGAAGCACCTCTATGTAGGGTTAAGATGATAAAACAATCATGGCCATTCTTTCAGGTCAACATGTGTCTGTTTCCTACTAATACATTTTTTTCATATACCAAGTTTAACAACAATCTTCAGCTTGCAAATAGACTACTGTATAACTAATAAAATAAGCTATAATCTCATGCTTAATGTGAATAAACAGTTGTAAAGTACATTTACAAAAATGAAACAATGCTTTAATGCCTTAAAATATTAACAGTTAATGTTTATGTGCTACTGTAAATAGTTTGTAAGGCTTTCAAGTATTGCTCTGAGTTGTAAAGAAGCGTAATGAAAACACAGAGTAGTGGAGCGGTAATATACACTTAGGGAGCTGCAGACTTTGTTGTTTTGTTAAGAGACAGAACAGTAAAAAAAAAAGCAATTACACACTGTTTAACCCCTTAAGGACCAAGCTTCTGGAATAAAAGGGAATCATGACATGTCACACATGTCATGTGCCCTTAAGGGGTTAAAGATGAGCTATTTTATTTTACACAGCATTGTCTTTATGTATCAAACCACTCATACAGATTTTTTTTGTGTTCCTATTTGTCGTTTCAGATTGTAAACCTGATCTACCTACTATTCATGTCAAATTTCGTAATAGTTTGTCTCATTTATTGTTAAAGCCACACGTTTATAACATTGTAAATCGCTGCAGAATAAGTTGGCTGTATATAAATTGCAATAATAATAATAATAATTACAAATCAGTGATGGCCCAAAAGTCCATCTCTGGTTGGACATGCCAAGCAATTGACATGTTTACTCTGCTCAAATGGTGTGGAGAGAGTTCACACATATACTCAACTGCTAGTGTAGCTGAGACAAAGCAGAAGGCTATGCTTGTATTAAGAGAAACCTTATTCAAGGCTCCCATGAGGTTCAGTGCTGTGCAGTAACTTAATAATGCCATGTATGCAGGGTATGCCAGGATATGCCTTGAATGACCCACCTCAAGAAGGTTCTTCTAGTTAACAAAGACATTTTACACGGGGGAAGGCACAGAACCTTGTTCTCTTGTAACAACACAGCATGAATGTCATGCTCCAGTTGAAAAAGTATGCACACTGAAGGAAGTCTCATTACATATTCCATTAACCGTTGTTTTTTGTTTGAAGGAGAGGTGACTCAGGACTCCTCAGGAGGGGACCTGAACTTACTGCTCTACACCATTGTCTGCACAAGGGTTCCTGTAACCCTTGACATATGTTTTGACCTCTCATTATCCTCATCAATCAAGTACACTAGTATATCTCTTGACGCATGGAAAAAAGGGTCCATGTCTGGATTACTCATTGCTCTTTACGAGACCTGTTTCATACATTCAGTATTCAAATGCAAAATATATACATATGTAATCAATACTTAGTTTAAAATATAGATCTGTGAATGATCTTCAGTTTGGTCCACATGAAGCCACATGAAAAAAATAATGTGCCATAGGTATGGTGTGGCTATAATTCTGCGGTTAAAATGTAAAAATAAATTGCTAATAATAAAAAAAAAAAAAATACAATTGAATGCTTTTTGTATAGCCTGCACAGATACATTTGTTCATTTAATGTGTTTTTCAGTATACAAGGTGAGGTTTCAGTTGCCATTCTGTGAAATGTTAGATTATTAATAGAATGGATTGCAAATTAACCCTTACAAGTGCTTGTGCCTCCAAGCATTTCCCTCTCCACGTGTGATGTTTTTTTTTCTTCACTTATGACTCATCCATAGAAGAATGTTTTAACCCTTTTATTTTTTTCATATACACATTTTAAAATGTGATTTAAGTCTGGATTAGTGAAGTGTAACACCATTGTTTCGTGGAAGCTTGTTGTATGACGTATTACAATGATTCTGCTGGCTGGACCTGCTAATGATTATACCAGGCAAATCGTTTGACGTCTACTTCTTCAACATTTTCCATTTTCCTGTGACCTCTTCAGGCATTAGAGTCTCCATGTGGGAATTCTTTGCCATTGTAGGTTTTTGGGAAATGCCCTACTTATTTAAAAGGGCAAGAGGTCAAATTGCTGTAAATTGTGTTTTTTTGCCTGAATCAATCTGCAACCTCATTTTATACATTACATGAAATGACGGTCTTTCAACCTTCTACTTACATTCATAATTAATGTATTGGGCAATCTCAATGTGTTAAACACAATCATTCTTTATTCATGAAACTAAGGTGAATATGGGGGTAGGAGGGTTCCTGTATACATGCACTTAACATCTGGGAATGCAAGAAGTTTTAGGAAATTGAAAATTTTAAGTTAAAAGTATCATCCTTCTTTAAGATATCTCAGTGTAGCAGTGTGTACAGCATGTGACCAAAAATGCACTTGCACAGCATTATGGGTAAAAAAGGGCTATACATCAACAGGATAACCCAGGCAAACAGCAGCGATAAGCATGTTTTAAATGCACCTCTATTGCGCACCTTAATCCAGTGTTCAATGGAATTTACTGGGGTGAGGAAAATGAATTTGAAAATAAATTGGAAAAGTCCTTTTTAGTAGACCTGTGTTTTCAAACCTTTTTTAAACTATTACTAGTAAATAATGAATCTATTCACGCATACCTCATAGGTAAGTCACATGCTATCAATTCACCTTGCAACTTCCAGATAAAAAGCAAAATCACTTTTTAACTTAAAGGACCACTCTAGGCACCCAGACCACTTCAGCTTAATGAAGTGGTCTGGGTGCCGGGTCCAGCTAGGGTTAACCCATTTTTTCATAAACATAGCAGCATCAGAGAAACTGCTATGTTTATGAATGGGTTAAGCCTTCCCCTATTTCCTCTAGCGGCTGTCTCATTGACAGCCGCTAGAGGCGCTTGCGTGCTTCTCACTGTGATTTTCACAGTGAGAGCACGCCAGTGTCCATAGGAAAGCATTATGAATGCTTTCCTATGTGACCGGCTGAATGCGCGCGCAGCTCTCCGCCCAGCGCTGGAAAAAGGTAAGTTTTAACCCCTTTCCAGAACCGGGCGGGAGGGGGACCCTGAGGGTGGGGGCACCCTCAGGGCACTATAGTGGCAGGAAAACGAGTATGTTTTCCTGGAACTATAGTGGTCCTTTAAAGCACCAATTTGTTTTGTTAGTGTGGGAATCCCAATGAATTGTTAGTAAAGGGCTCAAGTTTGTCTTGATTTTGGCAGGTGAGTTTACACTTTAATTGAAACATATTTTACTTATAATTTTTTTTGCTTTTTGTCATATATTTTAGCTGATTAATACTAGAAGCTTTTTTTCCTTTCAATAGTAGTGGAAGTTTGAGTGCATGGCTTATTTCTCTATGTATGAAAGAAAAACTAGTTAAAGTTTCCTGGGGACAAAGTTGAATTGGCGATCTATACCAAGTCTGTGGTAGACGTTACCAGCAAAACTATTAACACAATTTATAGACATGTCTCTCCATGATTGTTTCTTATAATGGCTACTTGGAACAGTTTGGAACAACCTTCATTCTTCAGCTGCAGAAATGGCCTCTGTAGCTAATAAAGATCGCTCCCCTCCTGTTTTTCACCCAGCACTTACTTCCTTTTTCATGCTGGGCATTGCCAAATCAATGCTTCTCCAAAAAAAAAATAACAATAATAATTATATTTATGGTTATATCAATTCAAGTGACATTTTTTAAGATTTGTTTTAACATGACTATTAAAATGGAGACTTACTTTATAAAGCTACTGTGGGCTAACATACTTATCAGACCGAGCCAACTATTGAATGTGGTTGATTCAGGGGCGTACCTAGAGCATTTGGCACCCGGGGCGGATCCTGTGCTTGGCACCCCCCCCGCCCCCTCCCAAAAAAAAAAACCCTGTAAAAAATGTTAAAGGTTTTATTTCTTTTATTTTTACAATTTGTAAACTTTGCAAAACCGCTGTCAGCCCCTCCTACAAAACCCTTGTCCTGCCCTGCCCCTCCTACAAAACCTCTGTCCTGCCCCTTCTACAAATCCTGTACTGCCCCATCTACAAAACCCCCGCAACCCCCTTCCACAAATCCCCTGCTTATCCCCCCTTATAAAGACTCCTGTCCCAATACAAAACCCCCACCCCCTTCTACAAAATCCCTGCAGCCCCACACACACATTTACAGGCAGACAGTCACACACTCAGTTACAGACACAGTCACACACTCAGTTACAGACACAGTCACACACTCAGTTACAGGCAGACAGTCACACACAGTCACAGGCAGACAGTCACACACAGTCACAGGCAGACAGTCACACATACACATTTCCTCCGTGCGGCCAGTTTATCAGCTGTTTGCTTGAGTGAGCTGTACTGGCCGCACGGCACCCTAACTACCATGGGACACTGTGCGGCCACAGCTCACACAGCCCCCTCCAGCCAGGGCCGGTACAAGGATTTTTGCCGCCCAAGGCAAAAGTAAAGTTTGCCGCCCCCCATGTGACATCACAATGCCCCAGCCATATGATTTGCCATGTTAACTAACACTGTATTCACTGTATTTAATTTTCCACCAGTTGTACTTTTCTTTATAGGAGTTTGCATCATTTATAATGAGACATCCAGAGCAGCTTGTATTTTTCTTTTTCTGCCCTCTACATCCAGGAAGAGCAGAAATCAAAACTCAGAACTGATTTATGTTTTTAGTTAGAGAGTTAAAGAGTTAGAGAGTTAAATCACCCAGAGCAGCGGGAGTTTGGACGCTGTCAGAGTTATTTACTAAAGTGAGAATTCAAAATGAAGTCAAAGTGAATCTCAAATTCAGGGTCAGAGTAGCAAAACTCAAAACTTTGGTGACTTAGAAAATGTATACATTTTGGCAATTTTGACCATTCATTTCAAATTCACTTTGAAATCATTTAGAATTTTAATTTTAGTGAATAACTCTTACTGTGTGTAAATCACCCATCCATAAGCAGTTTGTCCAAGGCATCTGGAGTTGGCATACTGTGTGTGCTGAAACCAGATGCAAAAGTTTCACAATCTTCATATTGTCAGCCAGACAGAGTGTATTCCAGCTGGCTGACTGACAGCAGATCGAGGCAACATTACAAACAACAACAACAAAAAGAGTTAAAAGTATGTAGCTCCTGAATGAAACATTTCTAAAAAGAAAGGCTTCAGGTACAGAATATTTGCTCCATAACAATGTGAGTAAGGTAAAATTTTTACGGTGCTATGATATCCCTTTAAGGATGTGCAAAACCTTTTTTTCTATAAATTTTAACTCAATGTTACAATTTTATGGGATGATGTTTGGGCAATTTCCTTCTTTGCTAGACAGTTCTACAATTTTCTTTGATGCTCCGTATTTTTTGTTTTACCTTGTAAAATGTGTTTTACATTTTCAAGTATTTCATAAAACATGTACATCATAAAACATTGTCAGTTATGAAATACACTGAATTGTACCATAGTTTGCTCTTCATGAAAATAATATAAATATATAAATCAGTATATCTAGAAATAATCTTATGTGGACTGTGTCACATTATCATATATACATTTTAGTATTACTTTAATAGTAATAGCTTATCATTATTTGTAATAGCTCCCAGATTTTTAAGAAAATGCCAATACATCTCTAAATAAAAGCTGGAACAAATTTTAATAAATTTTAATATGCAAGGAGAGCGTAATCTAAGGTCCAAGAAAGTTAAGTGTATGGAATTGGGGAACCTGTATAATTTTAAACTTGGTTTCCAAGCCTGATATCACATAGGAATTAGCTCAACAGAAAAACAAACAAACATCATTCTGTAGAGCAGCTTATCACATATCCTCCTTGTAAACAGAAGTCATCAAATGCAGCCTCTTAAAATAGCACACAGCTGCACTAACTGCTTCCTCCCCATCCAGTATTCACACTTAACTTGTTTTCTCCATCCCCCACTTCCACAGAACATGCTTCCTTCACTGTACCAAAATACCCTCTACTGTGCTGCCTGACTGGGTTCTCTTGACAAAAGATCCCATTCTAACATTCCGTAAGACTAGCAGACTTATCCTGTGTCCTCATCCTCCCCTTTTTCCTTAATTCTACAGTAGTTTTGAGGGACTGAAAGCTCAGAAAACAGACATCATCTCATGAATACACAGTTCCAAGCAGTAGCGGCTGGTGAAGTTTTAAGATGGTGGGACTCCTCCTAGGCACCAGACTCCTCTCCCAGAATTTTACTCCTCTCTATCCAGTACAGAGATACTCATACAATAGAGAGATGAGCATAATACAGAGATGCTCATACAATAAAACAGGCTGGGCATGACATAACGATAAAACACATAGAGCTGAGTACAAAACTGGGGTAGGAGAGGGGAGTAAGGACCACTGGGGGAGCAAGGGGGGGGAGTAAGGACCACTGGGGTAGGAGGGGGAGTAAGGACCACTGGGGGAGGAGGGGGGCGTAAGGACCACTGGGGAGGAGGGGGGGAGTAAGAACCACTGGGGGAGGAAAGGGTGGAGTAATAACTACTGGGGGAGGAGGGGGAGTAAGGACCACTGAGGGAGGGGAGGTAAGGACCACTGAGGGAGGAGGGGTAGGTCCACTAAGGGGTTTGGGAGAGGGAGGACCACTAAGGGGGGAAAGGACCACCAAAGGGGGGTAAGTAGGGAGGACCACTAAGGAGAGGGGAGGAGGGTAAGGACCACTAAGGGGGTGGGGGAAGGAGGGGAATGTCTACTAAGGGGTTTGGGAGAGGGAGGTCCACTAAGGGTAGGGATGGAGGACCACTAAGGGGGAGTGAGAAGACCACCAAGGGGGGGACTACAGGGGGCCAAGGGAGAGCACTAAGGGACAGGAGGGAATGGGAAATCAATAATTGACAGGAGGGTGAGCACTATCAAAAAATTAAAAAAATAAAGAGCTGCTCCCCTCTCAGTCCCTATCCTACCCCACAAACCCTCTCTTTTACACTACACACATACACAATGCATCCCCCCCCCACAAACACACACACAGAAACATACAATGCATTCCTACTCACACACAGACACACCCGAAACACACAATGCATCCCTTACATTCACACAAACACACACTGCATCCCCTATAAACACACTACATCCCTTACAGAAATTGGTATCCCTATACACTACATTCTATAAGAACACACACACGTTGCATCCTCTACAATAACACATAAAACATCACATACACTCCACTTCCTGTGAGAGGTGGATTTATGGGTGGGCATTGTAGGCATACTCACGGTCAAGCCCTGGGGGCCCAGACCTTGAGCTGTGTAAGGGGCCCTAAAAAATGGAGCTGCTTCCTGTTCGTTAATTGTTGTGAGCACTGTTAAAAACAGTCTCCAGAGAGCCTCTTCTACACCAGACCTGTGGAGCCAGACAGAGCCCATCATCATCCTCTTGTCCTCATCTGGTGGTAAGTAGGCAATCCAATATATTATTAGTGGCACTAATCTCTAATTTACCTCACATTAAATGGATACTATAGTCACCAGAAGCACTACAGCATAATGTAGTGGTTCTGGTGTCTATAGCCTGTGCCTGTAGGCTTTTTAATGTAAACACTGTCTTTTCAGATAAAAGACACTTTGTGAAGAATGGCAGAGCATATGGGCAGGGCATTGTGATGTCACATGGTGGGCAGGACATATGGGGGGGGGGGGCGGCAAAATTTTTTTTGCCTAGGGCGGCAAAATTCCTTGCACCGGCCCTGCCTAAGACCCAGATGGAAGAGCGTCCACTGGTTACATGTTTCAGGGATAAGGAACAGAAACCAATATTAAATACTAGCGTAACTGGCATTTGAAAATTATGTTGGGTAACCGTGTGTGATTTTAAACCCAATCTACTGCACTATTTACAGGTCTTACACTCAGATTCTGCTACTTACCCAAAACTCACATTGCACACACACACACACACACACACACACACATGCTCACAACACTATCTTTGGGAGGAGGGAGTGTTCCTTTGTAGTGATTTTTTTTGTCTGCCCTTGCTTTGTCCTCTTAGCCCTATTTATCTTTGTTATTCTTTCATGTTCAAACATTGTAGCCAAGACTTTATTGCTGTATAGATTGTATTCATTTGTTTGAATCTCTGTTTCTCTTTCTCAGGGCTTATTGTTGTGCTTGTCATGTTAACATAGAATGACTTCTGATTCCATTAGTGTCTGCCGATGAGTATACATGTGTAAGGCATATCCTCTTCCCCTTCGTTTAGACTTACAAAAAAAATTATATATAATTATCTCAAATTTCCATTCACCATTCATCTTTGGTTAGTGACTTGTAGCCTCGGTAAGTATAAATTTACTTCTGGTGACCATGCTATGGTTAACATTTATGGTCTGGCCAATAGAATAGGACTTCAAATTTTTAGTATCTCTCTCTTTTATGTATATATTCAGGGTTCAAAATTTGAAGAAAACACAGAATATGAGAACTCTGAGAATGGTCAAAAACATACAGAAACCTCAGTAGCTTGCCCTTTGGTTAGTCCCCACTCAGGTCTCAATAATGTCTTTGCTCACTTGTGCCATTACATAGAAAGACAATAGCATTTGTATATCAGACTGATCTTAGCCATAAGGGCAGTCCAGAGATACAGCAAGTAAAAACAAAATACAGGTAGTGCCAAAGAGAACAAGCAGGGTAAGAGGTCTAAAAGATTTCTAAAAACACAATATAAAATAGTCCTTGATATAGTTCAACAGTAAAAGAATACAAAAATACCAGTTAGTAAGACACAGTCTAAAAGTAGTAACATTGAGCAGTGAGTGAGCAAAGCAGCAGAAGCTCCTGGCCCCTGCCAAATATACTCCTACAGATGACCGTACAAAGAATCCTAGGTGGGGATTATACCATGTTCAGGTTGTATACTCCGACTGAGTATATCCGCTGTAGTACTCCCAAATCCCAAGTGAAGGAGTGATTAAAGCTCTGACCTACCCAAACATCAGCATAGAGCTGATGAAGGGTACAACAGGAATAATTTATTCTGGCTGCTTTTATACACATCAGGGTTACAGTCACATACACCCATAACACTCCCACAACACACCCATAACACTCCCACAACACGCCCATGAATTTCTGAGTCAGGATGACTAAGCATAAAAGCATAAAATACATAAAATATTAAAAATACATATAAGACATATAGGAACCCCCACAAATTTTAAATTGTTAAATAGCCCTGATCTGAACTAAGTTCTCCAAATAGCGCTCAGATCCATACAGTGGACTTCCGAACAGGGTCTTTGTATATGGCCCATAGTCAGTGGGCAGGAGGCCAGCTTCTACACTCCTCCATGAATTTGTGGCAAACGTCCAGGGAAAGGAGCGCTTGTCACACAAATGAGCTGCCTCTTCTATTTATTCATTGTTCAGTTATTCAGCGTTGTTCCATCCCTCCTTGGTTGCTTTGTATCCATAGAGACAGCAACCCCGGATGATAATTTTTTGGCCTTCTTTGGTCCTCTTCACGAAGGTACAGTAAATACCCTTCAAGACACAGTGAGCACAAATTCCATGTCTGGATTACCCGTTTAACTTTGGGAGAGCCTAAGTAAATGAATTGCAACAAATTGAGAATATGAGAAAAATTTAAAGTACTACACTACTAACCAGACGGAAACCTGGGGACTACCGGCATGATAAACACAGTAGGCTGTAGTAGTTATAATACTTTGAATGTCCCTTTCAAGCACAACTAAAATGATTGCATTTTGTTGAAATTAATCGCAACATGTTTGACATTTTGTCTTGACTGGGTGTGAACGTGTTAAATGTTGTACTGTTAAAATTGGCGTAGCTTAAGAATCAAGACACAGAAGTGAAAAATATAGGATTTGTTGCAACTTAGAGAACAATAACTGGTATTGAATTGTGGAACGTGTAATGTAAACCGTGCAGTAGATATCATTTTTAGGGAACCTCATTTGGTGCCAATGTTTGAGACTGTGTTTATATAAAGTAAATTTTCTCCAGTGTATGTTTACCTAATGCATACTGAAATAATATTAGTGAATAATGTCTGAGGGTTCAATAACCTGCCAAGTTTATTAATAACATCTGTACTTGAATAACATTAAATATTTCATACAAAGTTTGAGATCCCCCACACATCCCCCCACCCCTAAAAGGTACAAGTATATGCACTACCAATCAGAGATGGCACACCATCATTTACTCTCACTTTTCAATGGCTGATCTCAAAATAATGTCCTTAAATGCTAGGGGACTCAACACTCTGGAGAAAAACACAGTACTAATCCACGAAATGGACAGGCAACAGGCTGATATTGTTTTCTTGCAGGAAACACACTTTAGATGGAACCAAGCCCCCAAGCTATGGGCTAACATGATAGGGCAAGCATTCTATAGTAACTACCACGGGGGCAAAGCAAGAGGGGTAGCTATTCTAATATCACCACGTATAGTCTTTACCCTAAGTGAAACCAAAACTGACCCCTTGGGAAGGTATTTATTCCTTAAAGGTACAGTAAATGACACATCACTAACATTGACAACTGTATATGCCCCATATACCAAACAAGTATCCTTTATCAACTCCTGTCTTAGGAAACTAAACACATTTGCAGAAGGGGTAACAGTGTTGGGGCGGGGGGCTGGAACATGGTCCTAGATCACTCCACAGACAGTTCTACAACTAGTTAAGACACACAGAAACACCAAAGGGCTTTGTTTCAGAGAACCCTCCATGCCCACCAACTGGTAGACTGCTGGAGAATATCCCACCCACAAGAGAAGGACTACAGTTACCATTCATAGGTTGCACATAGCTATTTTGGGTAGGGGTTAGAGAGTGAGGCATCTTTAGGATAGCATTAATTTAGGATATTACTGCTGTCCAATAATTTTGTATTTGTGGACAAAATCACCATAAGTGCCCCATACTGCCCACGTCTCCTTCACATCGCCAGCATTTATCACTAACTGTTGGCCAGTACAAATGGAGTAAGTCTGGTGTCCTATACCACCGTGTGATGCGTTTGTAGAAAGACTCGGGTCTTGATAAGCTAATGGAGGCTTGCATGGGTTTTGTGAAGATGTATGCCCAGTCCTGGTGTGTCATATGTATGTGTAGTTCTTTCATCCATTTTCGTTGGTATGCCAGGGACCCCTGGTCATTGTCGGATGCTTGGATGAGATTGTAGATTTGGGATAGGGTGCTTTTCTGTGTTTTTGTGTTTGTGCACATTTTCTCAAAGGGGGTCAGACCTCTTGGAGTCCAGTGTGGTAGGACCTCTTGAGTCAGGGAATGTCTCAGCTGTGCATATCTCATTGCTTCTATTACCCCCCTGGGTTTTGTAGATGCCAAAGTTTAGGGGGTGTATCCTCCGTCAGTCGATCGCCAAGTTGTGGGTTTGGCGTCCCTAATAGTTTTATTATAGTCTGTGCCCTCTTACCCCCTAGTATATCCGGGTTTTGGCTTAATGGATATAGTGGAGAGATACCTGGTGACAAGTCCCATGTGGTTTTGTGTAATCTCCATTTCTTTAGGATGTGGTGTATAAGCGGGTGGGTTGAGTTTGCTATCTGCTGTAGTTGGCATGTTTGCCATGGGAGAGAAGTCAGAGGGACTTGTGCAAAGCTTTGTTCTATGTCATACCACGCTTTTTTGTGTGTTGTATCTGTCCATTCCCTTATTCTGGTGAAAAGAACTGCTATGTAATAGTTGTAAATGTGGGGCAATCCCATACCTCCCTTCCTTTTGTCCTGTGTGAGTGTTTCATATGCCAGTCGGGATTTTTTATTTCCCCAAATAAACGAGAGGAAGGATGTTTTCAGCGTGTGAAAAAACGAGCTCGATGGGCAGTGTTTGGAATATGTAGAGGATTTTTGGTAGTATCATCATCTTAATGATGTTGACCCTTCCAAGTAGGGAGAAGTGTGGCTTGTCCCATTGTTTCAGTTGTGATTCATTGTTAGTTAATAGAGGGGCATAATTCATTCTGTATAGGCCTGTAGTTGTGGATATTAGTTTAATGCCTAAATATGTGAGGCCTGTGTTTGTCCATTTCTAAGTATAAGTGTGGCTTATGTTTTTATATTGGGTCGAGTTTTTTATTCCCATTAGTTCACACTTATCAGCGTTTATCTTGAAGTTCGAGTATGTACTGAAGTATTCTATTACTTTTTGGAGTTGTGGGAGGGATTGTTCTGGGTGTGTGAGGGTTAGAAGCATGTCATCCGCAAAGGCAGATACTTTTACTTCCTGCCCACCTGCATGGAAGCCTTTTATGTCGTTATTTGCCCTGATGGCATTTAGGAATGGTTCCACCGCTAGAACAAATAGAAGTGGCGACAGAGGGCACCCCTGTCTCGTACCATTGCCTATGGTAAAGGGGGGGAGTTTTGTCCATTGACTCCAACTGTGGCTGATGGACCCTTATATAATGTTCTCACCCACTGTATATAGTTGGGGCCTAGTCCTACAGCTTCTAGGTTGGCAAAGAGGAAGGTCCAGTCTACTCGGTCGAACGCCTTTTTGGCATCAACCGAGAGTAGTATTGTTGATCTCTTGGTGGTTGAGGCACCGTGAATAATATTAAGAACGCGGGTGGTATTGTCTCTTGCCTCTCTGCCTGGTATAAATCCTGCTTGGTCTGTATGGACCAAGTCGGGCAAAAGTGTCTTGAGTCGGTTGGCAAGGATTTTTACGAGAAGTTTAATGTCGAGATTAATCAGAGAAATGGGTCTATAGCTACTACATATGCTCTGGTCTTTGCCGGGTTTTGGTAGGATTGTGATCGATGCTTTCAGCATCAGGGGTGGCAATTCTGGAGTGGTTAGCAGGTTGTTAAGGACTTCTAGGTAATGGGGGTCAAGATGTGTTGGAAAGATTGGTAGTATCTGGCTGTTAGGCCATCAGGTCTTGGGCTTTTACCTTTAGGGAGTGTTTTTATCACATTTTGTAATTCCTCCAGTTGGATATTTGAGTCCAAAAGGGTTAACTGGTGGGGGTCTATAGTTTTTTGGGTATGGGAAGAGATATATGTTTTAATGTCATGAAGGGAGCTTCTCGGTTGGTCTAGGTTAAAGAGATTACTGTAGTAGCCTCGGAAGGTTTTGGCTATGTCCTCGGTTTTGTCTTTGCGTGTACCGTCATGTGCCTTTATGTGGGATATGTATGTTTTTTGGTGCTTTTCTTTTAGGGCTCTAGCTAGATATTTCCCACTCCTGTTGCCGTGTGCGTAATCTGTCCCCCTGGTTAGGTGTACTGCTCTGTGTGCCTTCATCTTAAGGATGTTGCGTAGTTCAATTCTTAGTGCTGTTAGGGTGTTGTATGCTTCTACTGAGGGGTCGGCTTTATGTTTCGTTTCTGCCAAAGATATTGCTTCTGTGAGCGATTTGACCTTCGCCTGGCATTCTTTCTTTATGCCTGCTCCCCACTTAATCAATATACCTCGTGTAATACCTTTGTGTGCCTCCCATACCCAGGTGTCTGCTGTGCCTTTATTATTATTTTCCAGAAAATATCTAGGTAGGGATTCATTGAGGACATTAGTTACTCTAGGGTTGTCTAGTATCGATTAATTTATTCGCCACAAGTTGACCGGTGTGCACCTTCCTGTAATAGATAGCGTCAGGAATACCGGGGCATGATCTGACCATGTAATATGACCTATTGATGCCTCCTTCAGCAATTGTAGATGTCTATGTCCTAAAAAGAGCATATCTAGTCTGGGTAGGGGTTAGAGAGTGCGGCATCTTTAGGATACCATTAATTTGGGATATTACTGCTGTCCAATAATTTTGTTGGGATGGCCGCAATCTTTCCAACGTATGAGAAGTCAGCGCCTACTATGGCTGCTACTAGGAGAAGCTAACAACCTCATACCGATCTATTGGAAACAAACTGTAACACCCACAGTTAACCAATGGATAGAAAGGGTAGAACACATGAGAGAAATGGAAATGCTACATTGGTCCACATTGGGCAAATATAATACTTACCTAAGCATATGAAAACCCTGGCTAAAACATTGGGCACAGACACGGAATTGACCTCAACTGACTGAAAAGCGATAGTAGGAAACACTTTGTACCTTACTCCCCCCTTAAGTACACAAGTAGGCATTTTTTTATTTTGGTTTCTAAAAGCTAAATATTTTGTGTGGGCATTCTTAAAGGGGCCATTCTAGATATAATAGCCACTACAGCCCATTGTACTGAGAATATTATTAGCAGGTTGTTATAACTGTTCTCCATTGGTTTGACACAAATCAGTAATCCCCTGGGACCCAAGTTATCCAGCTCACTGCAATTTATAAACATTGTTTGAACTTTGAAAATCCAGATTTTTTTAAGTTGCTTGGTCAGTCATGTGTCATAGGTTATCCATATTGCCACTTATGTTTTGGACCCTGGCATAATCCATGGAGCAGCGTACCGACTGAGAATCCTGAAATATTTGAGGTCATCTGCTAGATCATGGGAATTCAAGTTTGTGTTCTTTAAAAAGTCAATCTTGTGTAAATTATAGTTAATTTAGTTAAATGCATCAGTGATGACAGGTAAACATCACCTTGTCATTAATCTATGCTTCTTGCTAGCTTACTGTTCTCTGCAAAACATTGTACATAATTGATATGTGAGAACATTGGCTGCTTTGGAGTTTGACTTTCTTCACAGAGATGTTTTCCTGATCTTAGCAATATAATAACAGTAGAACTAGTGGTTCATGCACTAAATTATTTGACTGCTATAAATAGTGTTATTTATCAGGGACCCAACCTGCTAGTACAGTTGTCAACTGCTTCAGAAAGCATTTAAAAGAGCACTACAGTGTTAGGTTCAGCATTTGTGTGCCCCCCCCCCACCACCACCACCACCGTAATTAGTCCCTTGGTGCTGCCTCCGACATCCACCGACTCTTGAGTCGATGACAAGTTCAACTGATGTGCATGCGAGGCGAGTGCATCCAAATGTTTTTAAATGAGTTGCAACAACACATGAGCGAGTTTTACTTTTTTTGTCTGTGTGTAGGGTCGCCTCTACGGGCTGTCAGTCAGCTCGAATACTCTTTTCCTGGCCATAATGATCAGTTTTGTGAAACTTTTGCATCAATCAGTACACATAGCGTGATAAACCCAGATGCATTGGACAAGATCCCCATGGCTGGTCACATTACACACACTGCCAAAGCTCCTGCTGTCTGCTCTAAGGCAAGTTAACTATCTAACTACCATAAATTGTCAGGGAAAAAAACACAAAACACTCTTTTGGGAATTTATGTCCAATCAAATTGAGTGTAAGAGATTGGTGGACTATAGCCAGGGGTTGGCAGAATCCGATAAGGATTTTAATTTAATTTAATATAAAAATAGTCACCATTTTAATGGATGCATAAAAATTAATACTAAAATGCCATTTGAACTAATACAGACCTAAAATATAATTTATTTTATATGAATGCTTACATTTCAGTAAACCACCTATTTTTATAATATTTTTTGGACTAGAGATTTGTCCTTAATGGTTCTCTTTTATTATAATTATGATTAATATTAGTATTATTAATATTATTATTATATTATTAGAATTTTTAAAGTGCCAGCTTAATCTGCAGCTCTTTACAATTAGAAAGTTGGAATAGACAGTCAAACAGTTACTGATTAAAATAAAGCTGACATATTCAAAAGGTGAACAAGAGGACAATGAATATATGAGACACGTAATTAAATAGAAACTAATATGAGAGACAATACAAATCTTTAAAGGCTTACTCCAAACACCATGACCACTTCAGTGATTTAAAGTGGTCCTGGTACCTGCAGTCTGTATGTACAGTGTTTGCTACAGAGTGTAACCACTCTGCTGCAAGATGTGTATCTCCACCTCTGGTCTGTCATTGGGGCATCATAAGCCATATTAGCTAATGTCAATTCTGTGCATACAGGATGCCTGTTGACAGCACGTGTAGTGGCAGCATGGCACCCCACTCTGTTCTTCCCATGTCCTCCCCTTAGCCCATCCTACTCATACATCCTTCCCCCAGCAGCTACGGCATGCTGTGGCAGCAGTGGAAAATTGGGCTGAGGGGCGAACTTTACGTTATGGAATATACTGTCTACTTAGGTACCTTAAATTATTTCATTAATCATTATTGATCTTCACATAACAGTAGTTGTAATACAAATAATAATGCTCGAAAGTATAAAATACAAACAAAAATAAACATGATCATTCACAGATAGACAATAGACAAATAGCCTTGTATTTTTGGACTACAATATTAGGGCTGTGTACTCGAAGAGGAGAACAAAAGATGCTCTATCTCTGTAAAATCTAAATCAAAAAGGAACATTGGAATAACAAAATAAAGTAACAATAGAGGTGTGAATTCTCCCCCATTCCACTTAATAGGGTGTTAATGTCAAGTTTTACTTGTGACTGGTTAAATATTTGCACTATTAAACAGTTAGACAAACACAGTCTGCCAGACTGAATCACTGAAATTTAATGGCCTTTATAAGACCAGAGGCAAACTTCCTAGAAATTATTTGTCCTCGCCTTACTGTTCTGCTCTGTTAAGCAAATAGTGCTTTAATGGATGGTGATAAAGGACTTTTCATCGTTTATGTCTCAATAAGCGGTGTATTTATTTTTTTACTATTAACTTTTAACACATTTATTGAAGTATTTAATGAAGTCTACACAAAACTATGCAATCAGAATTTACCATGTACAGCACTAAAAAAATAAGTTATGTTGTCCATACATAAAATAAAATATATATAATATATAAAATATGTGTGCCATTTTCATGTATCTAAGATTAAATGCTAATTTGCCAGGTTTCTGTTTTCTCTAAAGTAACTCATTGTTACACAAATAGCGTTTAAAGTATAATTTAATAACGGGTCTATTGCTATCGACACGTGAATTAGGGACAGGTTTAAACTCTTATTGTGTCTTACCATAAAAATTCCTAATGATGTCTCTCCAAACATTTCGTTATTGTTGCACTTGGGTGTCTTTGTTATTGATGTGTGTTTGTAATATGTCAACAAACATTGTCATTTTGGAATGTTCTAGTAATCAAACTTGAATTTTAGCTGCCAATTTAATGGTGGCTTAGGTACACTCCAGCTAATCTTGGCAGATATAACCTGGCAAAGTGTCTGTTTGTTGAAATCTTCAAATAACAAATTGTGCCCTAATTGACTTAAAGCATAACAACAGCCTAGAAAGCCAGTAGCTGCCAGTTTTTGCAAAGTTTGTCTTGCTCTGCATTTCTCTCAGTTGAGATAACATTGAACAAGCTCCTCAAGGCTTGGGCTGTTGAGGAAATTCTGCTCTAATATGGAATCTAAGCAAGCCGTCTCTGAGTTCCGTCCTTGGTTTATACAGTCTTGCATGATCTTTTTAAATTAATGTTTGTTCTTGCTTTGCTCCAATAGTTGTTACATTCATGAGTGGTCTTGGATGGTTGCACATGTCTACAATATTAATATGTCTTTTGACCATGTTTCTAGGTTCACCTAAAGTGGAGGAGTGAATAGTCAGGGCAACTTGGACTTATTATGCATTGTTAGTCTTTAAAAAAAAAAAAAAAAAATACATTATGACCTATAGTGGTGTATGCCATCAAATGAAACTGGTCTTTAAGGATACCTCTCCAGAATATGATATTCTACTCTTTAAGTTCTAAACGTTAATCATTAAGGGGTTAAAGGTCCATTGACCTGCAGAGGAATGTCTGTTACAAATTTACTGTAATGTTTAATCATAAACTTTTGTGTTACTCTAAGAGTCCATAGATACATTTTGGTTGGCTTTATCATGCATCCTGATGTAACTATGTGATACATGCATTTTGTCCTGGCCATGGAACATACATTTTCAGTGTCAGATGGTAAGAGAGTGGTTAAAGCTGCTGCTGTACATTGAAAAAGTGATTTTAGCCAATAAAAATAACTATGCATAGCGTTTCATCTCCAGCTATTTTCATTGTGCGAACAATGAAGGAATGATCGGTTACCTGGATCATTTCTATAAAAAGCAGGAGTGGGTCATGCAGTATTTGCCTAATTGAAATATTATTTCAGTTTAACAATAAAGCAAATGTTCCACTTCACTGTACAATGAGCATTTGATGAGTATTTCAGATCAAATACATAAACTGGGGTTAGCAAAGGGGCAGACTATTGAATTTATTTTTTCAACTTTTTTTTATCAATCACCCATCATTTTCTAACTTTATGTGTTCTATTGAAAATTTTTATATATTGCACAGCTTTACTATTTCCTAAGCTATTGTTGACATGTTGGGTCATGCTGTGTTCAATAGCTAGTTGCCAAATTTAAGAGCATTTGAAGTGTGTGTACGCATGTCCTGCTGATGCTTATGCACTGCCTTTGCAGCTGGGTTCCTGACTAATGGGGTAAATAGGTCGGAGCGATTACCATTTTTCCCATGGAAAATCTGTTTAGAACTCTGGAAGAATAGACAATTGGAAGGTTACCAGTTGTATATTTATTTATTGGCTTACTGTCCAAAGAACTGAACTGTTGGAATTGGCGTAATATGTTTTCCAAGATTTCATCTAGTCGATCATTCCAAATAATCAGCTATTAGAGTGAAAACTTTATATAATCCCTTGGAGGGTGGGGGGAATAAATGACATTAAGAAAGCAATAGCAACAAATTTCTAAATACGTTAACTGGCAAAATAATAAAAAATCTAAATAAATTCTGCCTTTTGGAACAGCTGACTTTCCATATGTACAAAATCTGCAATAAATAGGTTAAAGTACAAATATCTAGATTTTTCTATCGGCAGTTTACTGTCCCCATTGTGCCAATGCCAACTCCTCGATCATTTCCCATTTTTTTTTATATATTACGTTCACTTACCCTTATATTTAATGAGTATATGTCCGTGAGCTGTGAGTCAATAATAATAATTGAATAAAATGAAATGTAGAAATCGCACCTTTTTATCCTGCAACTGTACGCCTCAATTTTAGCTGTCAGCTATTGTAATAAATTATCTCATTTGCATCTTGCAGTCAACATTGAGAGAGTTTGCAGAAAAGAGAGAAACGTAAAATAATGTTTTCTATTTTTCATTCTCATCAGCTATTTTGCCAGGGCATCGTCTTGTTTGAAATAGATTATATTTGCAAAATTATTAATATAAATGTAAAAAAAAAAAACAGAACATCTCATGCATAAAGATTAAAACAAGTGTTTTACAATGTTTTATTCAATTGTGTAAATTATTTTGCTTAATTTGATCTATAATGCAATAAAAGTGATTGTTAAAACCACTCTAGGGCAGAAGTTTTTAAACAGTCAACCATGGGGATCTGGTATGCCTCAAACCACTTCAAAGTGTGCCAGGAACACAGTGACTTCACAGCTGTAATAGAATGTATACACTCCCTAAAATGTGTGTGGTTTTTTTAACAAGGTTATTTACTGCTTGAAATTTGAAATTCACTTTGAATTCTCACAACTCTGTAAGTTTCACTATTAAACTTGGATATGCATCTGAATATAAATTAAAACAAATTAGTCAGTGTGGTTTAACCTAAGCATATTTCTCAAGTCAATGTAACATTTACAAGTTGCTGATGAAAGTAAAAAAAAAATATATATATATATATATATATATATATATATATATATGTGTGCACATTGGAAATGTGTCCCTCATTGACATGTGCCTTGGTCCAAAAAAAGATTGGGAAACAGAATTCTACAGGGTTATGCAATAAAGTGAGGATTTCAGGGAATTCAACGTCAATTTCAAATTGAAGGCAAAAATAGCCAAACTGAAAGCAATCCAGCTATTTTAATCTTAAATTTGAAATTCAATTTAAAAGGGGCATCAAAACAGCTTTAGCTTAATGAAGCAGTTTAGGTGTATAGACCATGCCCCTGCAGTCTAACTTCTCAAATTTTCATTTAGGAGTTAAATCACAATAAGAAAATAGCGCAGTCCAGCAACAAATTCTTCTCTTAGAACAGTAGCGTATTGCATTTTCACTGATCCAACCACCTGTCTTTTAGAAGGTTCTAACTTTCTCAGTACTAATAATAATGCAGTAATATTCACTGGCAGGATGAGAAGACCTCAGCTAACTATTAATGTTCTGGGTGGCCTACAGTTTTAAAGCCATGACAGAACAAAACTATAGTACATTTGACTAGGAAACCTTGTTGGTTTTTATTTTGTTGTTTTTTTTCTTCTGTTCAGAAAAACATAAACTGCTCATATTAAAGGATTTGCGCTGGTTTAGTAAATGGAAGACAAGGCAGGTTTTGTCTGCATTTTTAGAAAGTATTTAATTTTGCAGTTTTGGCAGGATGTAGCGTTTACAGTTCACAAACCTGCTTTCTTTAAAATCTGATTAAAATCAAGCCAGTCAGGAGTAAGAGAGAGAGATCGAGAGTGTGTGTGTGTGCGGCTGTGTGTCTGTGTGTTTGTGGCATCACATAGCAGAGGTTTTGCAGAGCACAGATGGTGGATTCCCTATAGTTTATTGGAAATCCTATACCTGGAATGAGGAAAGCATTGGTTTTCACGCACCATCCACTGAGCCAGTAATGACTAACTTTGGCACAACAGAGATTTCTAGATAATATTTTTAATCTGAAAATCTAACAGCTGTCTGAGAGTGATGGTAGTTGCATTTCACAATATATTAAAAACTGAAAGCCACTAACCCAAAGATCCCTTAAATCTTAGCTCTCTAACCCAAATTTCATCCAAAAACCCTAAACACCTCTCACCTTTAGTCCGTCTATTCCCGAAGTAATGATATAGAATTGCTGGAAGGGATACACTGCAGTGTCATTAAAGAAATGTACAGTAGAAAGGTTGCAGATGGATTGATGCTTAACAGATAATACATATAATTTAAAATATTATACACAGGGCAGTATTTACACCACAAGCATCCGTAGGCACAAAATTCTCAGCGCCCCCAATCCCTACTTCAAACTAAAAAAAATAAAATTGAATGTTTAAATAAGATAAACACTGTTGTATACACATGCACAAATAGAGTGAATGTGTGTGTAGTGTGTGTACATGTCTATGTGTGTATGTATTTCTGTGAATGTCTTTCAGTGTGTACAACAGTGTGTGTTTGTTACATATTTACATAGTAATATAGGCTAAAAAAGAATGTGTCCATTCTCACAGAGAGTAACTGTGTGGGTAGCAGTATGTTTAGTAGTGCTATGATGTGGGTAGCAGTATGTGTAGTAGTAGTATGATGTGGGTAGCAGTATGTGTGTGTTTATATATGTGTGTAACTGTTTGGCTAGCAACATGTGTTTGTGTAGTAGTGTATATTGCTATGTGTGGGTAACAGTGTGGGTAGTTATAATATGTGCAACAATGTGTGTAGTAGTGTGTGGACAGTAGCAGTGTGTGTACTAGTGTGGGAAACACTATGAGTCTGTAACAGTTTGTGTCTGTAACAGTTTGGGGAGAAGTGTGTGTACCGGTCATTTCTGAGTTGGCCATTATAGTCCCAGTCCTGTCCATTCTCATGACCAGTTCTCTTATTCCAGGAGATCACCGTGTTCAGTCTGAGGGGGCGGGGCCATGCAAGGTTCCTGTGTTCAGTCTGAGAGGCGGGGCATGTCCAGGTCACTGTGTTTAGTCTGCACAGTTCACTGTGTTGAGTTTAACCCCTTAAGGACACATGACATGTGTGACATGTCATGATTCCCTTTTATTCCAGAGGTTTGGTCCTTAAGGGATTAAAGGGGGTAGAGCCATGCACATGTCACTGTGTTCAATCTAAGGGGGCGGGATCATGAACAAGTCACTTTGCTCAGTCTGAGGGGGTGGCGCCATGACCATGTCACGGTTTTCAGTCTAAGGGGCGGGATCATGAACAGGTCACTGTGCTCAATCTGAGGGGGTGGGGCTATGACCAGGTCACCGTGCTCAGTCATAAGGGGGGCAGGACCATGCACAGATAGAATAGAGCGATCCCAGAATGCAGTAGCCTTTGTTCCAGTCAGAAAAAAGCAGACATTGACTTTTAACAGGCAGAATAGGCACCCTCATAAGTCATGCACCAGTAGGCAGGTGCCTTATTTGCCGAATGGCAAATTACACGCATGCTTAATAATGGTATAACATTGTACAAGGACCTTCTCGTGTGAGTTTACATATTTACATGGGGTACAGTTGTGCACCCCATGCATTTATTCTGACTTGCTTTCACTTGTTCTTATGAGTGAAATGCCCCAAACAGATCTGTGTGAAACATTCACCAATGCTACACAAATCCTGGTTACTTCATGAAATCCTACAGCTGTCTTATTAAATGTCAGGGACAAGGATTGGCTCAGAGATATATGTTTCTGCTGAAGCAGTAGATACTGAAGGTTTCTGGCAATATATAAACTATCAAATAACCTGGCTAAGCATTTGGTGCGCAAAGAAATAAAAAAAATTGTCAATGCAGATCTTTCGTATTGTACAACAGGGCATTCTGGAATATAGGTGCTCAGTCTTTCCCTCTGAAGACTTTAAAACAACAACAATTTGTATTCAGATCCTCTAAATGTGGTATAGCTCCAAATCATGCAATGACAAGCTTGAAGTGCATTAAGTGTTTTCTAAGTAACTATATTGTTTATGGTCAAGTCCTATATTTTTATAGGTTTTCTTTGGGACAGTCCTGAAAATGATTTAATATTTTTATACATTTTATTATCATTAGAAAACACAACAAATAAGGTGTCATATCAAACACGATTGTGTCCATTTAACATGTTCCCTAATTGTATATTATAACAATTGATTATAAATATATACTATTACAGTAAACTGCCAACTACTTTTAAAAACACACAAATGAATTGTTTTAGCATAACTTTAATGCTGTGTATACTGAACAACAGTTTGCATAGGAAGTAGAAACCAAAAGTTCTAAAACTGTTTTTGTGGTAACTGCACAGTTTTGTCGTGTTTCCAAGCAAACACTACCGCATTAACTCAATGACTCTGTGTGAATGCTGACAGTTGTGTGGACTTTCCTCTCATCATATTTATCAAAATATTCTATTCCAGATATCTTCTACTCCATAGGAAATCGGCAAACAGAGAATTAACAGCTTGTTTCCAGGTACATGTTTTAATATTTGCATTGTTACAATTCTCATGTTACCATAAATTCAGTAAAAAAAAAAAATTATAATACAATTTTCTTCCAATAAAAGTTTCTACTTAGCCATTTTAGAATAGTTTGACTTCTTAAATGGAGTCTACTGGGTGATGCTCCCCACCTCCTTACAGATGGAAGTTAGAGCTGAAGCTCTTACAAGGAGATTCTGTTACCTCTCCTAAGTTAAGCCCTGCAGTGCAAGGTCATTGGCTGAGTGTGTCTTTCAACCAACGAGTTAAGCCCAGCTCATCCAGCTGTGAGAATATGGGATCGGTCCTCCGAAAATCCCTTGTAACAAATCAAACCTTTCTAAAATGGTTTCAATACCTAGGCTGAGTGGGCATCAAGACACTTCTGGTACGATAACCACTACAGCTCGCTTTAGTGGTTATGGTGCTTTTTTGTTCCTTTAAATTATAGTAAGTAAATGTCTGCATGGTTTCTAACACAAGAGCATAAGGATTTACTTTGCTTATATGTCATACTGTCAAAGATTCATACACTTTGAAAGCTTGCATTTTGTGTGTGGTTCTACAGTCTTAAATCTTGTTGGAAAATCCAATTCACAACATACATGCCTCCTAATCTACCATAAATACAGTCTGTGAGTAGTGACATTCTGTTGCCTATACATCCGTAGATAGATACCCACCACTGCACCAAATAATAGATGTGTGTGTCCACTGTTAGACACAAATATGTACATAGCTGTTTGGGCAGACAGACAGATGGAATTGATTTATTAAAATTATAGTGTGCTTTGTATAATTATAGTACCCTTGTAATAATAATCATCATAATTAATGGGACCTATTTATTTATACCACCCCTTTGGTAGAAATTGATTTTAGATTGCTTCATAAGATGGAGTAGGAAGCTGATGAGTTCAGGGCAGGCAAGCAAACATACCTCCCAACATTTTAAATGGAAAAAGAGGGGCACTTTTATTTTAGGAATACGAATGAGGATGTGACTGAGAGTGGTGTTTTTCTTGAAAATTTTAGGTAGCGTAATAATTTATTTAATTCAAATATAATTTGGAACAAGAGCAGTATACCTTATTTACACAGACTGATTTCTAAACACGTCTGATGTCTGACTGTGTCTAAGTCAGCCCTCGTTGTGGTATGTTTAGCTCCACCTCTTTTTTTATGGTTTCTGCGTTTTTTTCTGCGTATATGAGTGTGTCTACCCTAACCTGAAAAACTCATATACTATCAAAAATACAAAATGATGAAGCTAATATTACTGGAACACAATGCTAGCTTGGGGTTCTGGAAACATACATAAACCCCTCTGTCTCAGTGTTTCTCTCTAGTTATGTACATAATGGATGAATTGTGTGTGGGTGTGCATTATCTGTGGGTGTGAATGTATAAATATATTCACAAATATTTAACACCATCTACACACATTTCAAAGATATCTTTAAAGGGCTTGTGCATGAGTGGGTGTGATAAAATGTATGGGGGGGGGGGGCAAATAGACTTGGCTGGGCCTAGGTTTAGCAAAATACCTAAGTTCTGGTACACAAATGACAGTGTTACACAGATATTGCAATGGAGTATAGCCTGTGTATGTAGATATTAGACATTCCTGTCTGATACGAATTGCTTTCTGAAAATTATTTATATTACACATGCATACACTGTTAGGATACTTTATGACTATGTTTGGCCTGTCTGCTTCTGAGAAGCTCATAGAGTGGTACAGAACACAGAGTGGAAGTCTTGGAGAAAGCCCTGGGAACTTGGATAAGAGAGAGACTTAGAGAGAGAGACTAATTCTTTCTCACGCTTGCGGCGGGGTAGGCATTGATATACTGTGCAATGACCCTTAGCTCATATGTAATGAACAGTCATTATAGAATAAAAAGCCTTTTGTGCCAGCAAAATAATCACACAGATCGTTTCATGTTAGAAGAAGCACAGCCTTTGAATTTTAAACTCTAAGAGAGCCTGCTCAGTAGATACAAATTACTTCCTTTTCCTTAAAATGATGCATTAGTATCACATACTATTCCGTAGTATCACTATGACAGCACGTTTTCTGTTCTCTCTATTGCTGCACCATTTTTATGATCTTTTGGGTTATTTTAGAAACAAATGCAGAGACTCCAAATGTTTCCAATTTTGTATAGTATACAATGCTTTACACGCTTTTATAAAAATACATCATATCACCATAAATGTATATGAATGTATCAAACAGTTGCACTGAAACTCAGATCACATTTTATCCTACTCTATGGTCACAAAAATACAACTTGTCAACTGGCGTCTGCAGACTAAACTCAGGTTGTCCATTAGAGGCCCTAATCCCTGGGATCTGAGTACAAAAATTATTGACCTAAAATAGGCCAACTCTAGTACGTTTGATTTGCTTTGATCTAGAAAATATTGATCACAATATAACCAGTCACCATCAAGATATGATATTGTAAAAATTCTCAGTGGCAACGTGACTACAAGTTAAACAGATTAAAATAATTCATATTCAAGACACAAACTGGGTTACTAGTGATCTCCTACTAAAGTGGTGGCTTGCTGTGCTAAAAGCAGCATATTTTGGTATATGGACTCAACTTACAGAACAGCATCTCAAGTTGGCAGCATTAGGATAACTAATAAATGACTTTTTCTACAGTTTTTAATGGACTCCACATTTTGTAAAACACATTTTTTGTAAATGGAACTATGGTGTTGTTTGTGATACATTTTGCATAATAGTGTATTATACGTGTCAGCAGTTAAGCTGTAGTGAGTTGACATCTAATTTGGAAAATGTTTGAAAAGGAATATTTAACTGACATAATAGTGCAGGTTGAGAAAAGGTTGAGAAAAGACTCAAGTCCATAAAGTTGAAATGTCTGTGTCAACGATTGATCCAAAAAGCATAAAACCCTTTAAACCCTTTTCCAATTGTGCCACAAACAGGGAAAACAATTCCCCTTCATTCAAAAATAGCAGTCAGATATAGAAAGATATCTACTTGGATCAACATGCTGTTAGCGGTTACCAGCTACATTAATTGAAGATAATGCTAGCGCAGTGTACTAATAATCTTAATTTTAATAATGACAGGAGGCGAGTATTTGCAATTTTAACGCTTAGGTAGAAGAGAGAATGCGGCGTTGGGTGTTGGACGAAAATAGAAAGTCCGAAACGTTGATTCGCGGGACCAGTCCGCCCTTTGTAATATGTCTGATAATGATGCGCCTGCCATGAAAGCTGATGATGCCACTGCCCCTCGCAGGAGCGCGCTTCAAAGGCAGATTTTATCCCGGCTAGGGAGAGGAGCCACTTTATCCATCTGGCCAGCGTGGTGGTCGAAACCGGGCCGTGTTGGTTAACATATAACCAATAGTTGTCGTGCTGTTGGTGGGTGCAACGTTTCTGTTGCCGCCACATATGCCCGCAGAGTCTTAACCACACAAAGTTGAGAGTCTGAGTTGAAGAATGGGTAGAATACTGATGACGAATCGGATTTAGTCTGCCGTGAGATATGGAATGTGACTCCCTCCGGGTCTATGTTGAAAGCATCTTTGTCAAACGCTTGGACGTCCGACACTCTCCGGAATGAAACCATGCACAATAGGAAGGTGAACTTGGCCAGCAGTTGTTTCAGCAACAATAGTTCGTTAGGTGGCCATTCCCTCAGGAAATGTAGGACGACGTCCACATCCCATAGATGTTGGTACATAGGTTGGGGGTCATCTCAATTTGATACTCCATAGTAGTCGACATATCAGAGGGTCTTGTCTGACCGCTCTCCCCTGGGACGGCACGTGGGCTGCCAAGATAGCAGATCTGAAAACATTGATGGGAATTGCCACCGTAGGAAGGGATGGCTGTCCTTGTGGATTGGGATTGATAAGTATGCGTCTTTGAGGTCTAGACGTGTAAACCAATCCTTTTCCTGCAGGAGGTCCCTCAGTAAGTGTATACCCTCCATTTTGAAGTGGCGATAGGTCACGTGGGTGTTCAATTCCCTTAAATTGAAGTTAACCGAGAGGAAATTCATGATATCTGAAACAGGGGCTGTAAAGGGATCCAGGTTCCGTCCCATGCACCAACTGGTCCAAGATCGCCATGTGGATAGGTAGCTCTTTTGCATTCCCGGGGCCCAGGAGTCCCATAGGAGGTCCTTAGTTGTTGCCGATAAGTCGTTGGTACACCATGCTCCCCTGAAAGAGTCCAGGCCACCAAGGTTAGGCGGCCATCCAACAGCATCGGATGTGGATTCCCCGCTGGGTCCCTGAGTAGATTGTCGTCATTCGGCAGTAGAATCGGGTTCTGGTAAGACAATACGAGAAGGTCTGGGAACCAGGATTGGCTCGGCCATAGAGGAGTCAGGAGGGTTAGTCTTACTACTCGTCTCTCGATGTGGTGTAGAACCCTCGCTATCAAGGCGAATGGGGGAAAGGCATAGGCCCCTTGTGTTGGCCAGTGTTGGGTGAAGCGTCTACCGCCAGGCATTCCAGGTCTGGGAGCCAGCGGTAAAATTGTGGTACCTGGTGGTTGTTGCGTGAAGCAAACAGATCCAGTAGGAAAGGGCCTTTCTGTTCGTTTAGGTAGGCGAACACCTGCGGGTTCAATTGCCAGTCGCTGGTGTCTCTCCAGTGTCGGGAGTACCAATCTGCTGTAAGGTTTGACTCCCCTGGTAGATGTTCTGCACGCAACGTGATGTTGCGCAAGAGGCAGTAATCGAAGATCTCCTTCGTTAAATTTACCAGTGTTTGTGATCGGGTACAAGTGATTGATGTATCGTACTGCCCATGCGTTGTCCATCCGTAGAAGTATACAACAGTTGGACTGTCCTTTCGTTAGGCTGTGTATAGCAAAGGACCCTGCTCGTAACTCCAGGTAGTTGATATGCATCGAGAGTTCTTGGGTTGTCCACGTACCTCCTGTGGACGCTTCTCCATCCGTGGCTCCCCAACCCAATCGATTCGCGTCCGATTCCAGGACGAAGTCTGGGTGGTTGCCGAAGATGGCCCGACCATTCCAGGCTTGCATACAGTTGAGGCGATAGGTCACGTGGGTGTTCAATTCCCTTAAATTGATCACCGGCCTGAAATCCCCGGTTTTCTTGCAGACAAGGAACATATTGCTGAAGAAGCCTCCTTGATCGTGTACGGGTTGTATAGCGCCCTTCGCGAGTAGTTCGCGGAGCTCCACTTCTATGAGGCGAGCATCCAAGCTTGAGAGGTGTAATGGACGAGGAGGGTGCCTCTGCACGGGGGGTGTTCGCAATTTGATGTGGTACCCCTTGACCGTCTGTAGTATCCACGCATCTGTGGACAGTTTTGCCCAATTCTGTGAAAAAAGAGAAACACGGCCTGCAATCAAGGTTAGTTGAGGCATTGATAAATGTTGGTTTCTTACCTGTTGGGAATCTTGCACGGGCACGTCCGTGACCACCACATCCTCTATCTGTGCCCCTTTGATAGTAGGGGTAGTGTTGTCTAGAGTTGGTTTCCTGATAACCTTGTTGCGCGAAGAATTGTTGTGTTTGTGCCATGCGAGGGCCTGATGGCCAGAATCGGCTGGTGACACGTTCCCGCTGCCGACCAGCCCTGAAAAAACACCCCTTGCGGGGTTGCCTCGGAAGACCTTGCGCATGGATGTGCGGGCTCTGTTGAGCAAGGTAAATACATTTACATGTTTATTTAGCTCTTTCATAAAGGCCTCGCCAAAGAGTTTGCCCTGTGCCTGTGGGCCCAGTTCTTTAACCCCCAGATCAGCCATTTTGGGGTCTATACAGCGCCGTGTTGCAGAGAGGGCTGCATTGGTATTTCCAGGAAAACAGAAACCCCTTTGGGTCCATTCTCGGATATCATGCGCCCATTCGCGCACCATGTCCGCTGTAAACGAGTCCGCTCCGGCGTAGGCCTCGTCTACCAGATACATCAATCGGGCCATTGGCACCATCATGTCCAGGAGTGTGTCCTGTGCCCCTTTAAAACTCTTTTCAATGCCTCTGCGTGGGTCGCGTCCTCCTTGCTCCATCATGAGCTGATCGAACTCTGGGGTAAGGGCCACCTTGTCTGGCAGTGAAGGTCTGGGACACTCCGCTCTCATCCTCTTGCGTATCTATTTTTCCAGTGGTTTACGTATCCAAAAATGCATAAACCTGAGTAGATGCTCAGACAGAGCCCATTCCCCGTGGCGTCCAGGAATATTTCTTGTTCCTGCGTGGTGGCTGTGGCGGAGGATTGCGCCTCTCCTTTACACTGGGGCTCACCCAGGAAGGTCTCCTTAACAGAGGTGTTGGAGCCCCAATCGCCGTCGTCAGATTCTGAGGCTTCTGCCTGCCACTCATCCAAGATGGACAGGGAGTGGGGCATATCTTTCTCCTCATCCAAGGATATCTCCCCCTATATGTGGGAGTTGTCGTCATGGCGCGCTTACTGCGCTTCAGTGGCGCCTTGCCTTTGGTGGCGGCCTTTTTGAACCCTTCGCCCTTCCAGTGGCGTTTTCCCGGGCTCTCTGTCTCCTTAGCGGAGTCCTCTGACTCATCCGAGTCTTCCTTATTTTGGTGCTGTTTGCCAGTCGGTTTGCTAGTGTCAGTGACCGCTGGTATCACTTTCGCCATAGCCTTTTCTAGAGACACAGCTACCGCAGCATTGATCATGGCTTGAAGGTCACTTGTATTAATTGTGTCCTCCATTTTAGTTCGGGCACTATTTTACAGGTACAGGTATAGGTATAAGAGGTGAGGGACTGTGTGGGTGGGACCTGAATAGGCCGTCGGCCGTATTAGTATGACTCGCTCAGTGGCGTGAAATTGGACTCTTTCACACTGGGGCTCGCCCAGGAGATCGGAAACTGCTTGGACAGGTTCCGTTAGGCAGCACTTAGGGAAGTTCCCAATGGGGGCTCACCCCTTGCCAGGCTACTAGGGTATACCTAACTGGCAGTCCCACTCCTCAGGGGTAGTAACACCAACCTGTGTAGTTCCAACTCAGACTTCACCTCTGCAGTTTCATTTGAAATGTGTCCAAAATGAGAGCCTTAGCTTGCTGTGATTTGTACTCCTACTATACTTCACCAACAAAATGGCTGCCGCGGCTCTCGCGATAGACCCTAAGTGGCTGACAGGATAAAATCCCGCGAAAGCGGGAAGTCATGAACGCAATATTAAGTGAAGCATTCGGCAGAAAATTAAAAACTGACAAAACTGCCAAACGTCCAAGGTGTTTAAAAAGAACCGAATTAACAGGTATCGTGTCAATCTACACAAACGGTAAGCTTCATTTAGCCATCCGTTCGTGCAGAAAGCCACGAAACTGTGCAGTCGCACTGTTCGTGCTGTTATTAGCGCAAACAGGTGTAACTAGCCGAACTCAGGTTGCTTCGTCCGTTCGTGCCAAAGTGCAAGAGTTTCAGAGAGAAGCCCACTCCGTTCGCACAGATGGCTGTGCTGAAAGTGGCGAACTTAGCCACTTGAGGGGAGAGGGGGAAAGGGGAACGCTGCCGTCTCAGAGTGGATCTGAGGGGAGAGGGGTAGCCCCTCCAACAGCAGTCACTCCAGGTGATTAAAACAATTAGAGAATCCCCTGCCACCCCCAGGAAAAAGGTACAAGTACAATAAATCTTTACATTACAGTAAAATCTAGCATAAAAGTCTAACATGCATAACCATACAGTTAAACGACCACTATAGTGACAGGATACTCATTTTCCTGGCACTTTAGTGCCCTGAGGGTGCCCCCACCCTCAGGCCCCCCTCCCGCCGGGCTCTAGGGGGTGGAAGGGGTTAAATTTACCTCTTTCTCCAGTGCCAGGCGGGGGACTCTCCTCCTCCTCGGCTGAATGCGCATGCGCGGCACGGGCCACGTGAGCATTCAGCCAATCCATAGGAAAGCATTCACAATGCTTTCCTATGGGCGCTTGCGTCTTTTCACTGTGAAAATCACAGTGAGAAGCAGGGAAGCGCCTCTAGCGGCTGTCAATGAGACAGCCACTAGAGGCTGGATTAACCCTATTATAAACATAGCAGTTTCTGTGAAACTGCTATGTTTATAGAAAAAAAGGGTTAAACCTAGCTGGACCTGGCACCCAGACCACTTCATTAAGCTGAAGTGGTCTGGATGCCTATAGTGGCCCTTTAAGAAATCAGTACTCTGACCTGACTTGTGATGGAGCAGCAAAGAAAGAGGAAATGATTGGTTATGCTTGGACTTATATACTCTCTGACGCACTCAGATTGGTTCTTTCTTTTAACAGTTTTTTTTTCTTTGCTGCTATGGAGTTAGTAAAGAAAGTTAATGCAAATACGAAGCCTCCTGTCATGTTATAAAATTATTATACCCTGAAATATTCTGTTTTTTAAAAAAAAAAAAAAAAACCTGATTAACACAAATGTACCTCTTTGTTAAATTGATAGGTGGAAAGGTATGTTATATTTTCTTTACTGCCAGATTTCTACTATATTGATTACAATTTTACTTTAGTGACAGGACCACTTTAAAACCTCAAATTATTTATGGGTCTGTATGTTAGTTGTGCTTAGTAAAGCCAGTCATGTTCATGTACATGTTGCTAAAATGATATTGTATCCATAATCTAATAAGGCATCTCCTTCCTAGGTAAAAAAAAAAAAGTCAGATAAAATAGCCATTTGGGTTGTAACATAACTCCAATTTAAAGACTAATGCCTAAAACAGGGGTGCCCAAAAGGTAGATCCCGATATGTTATAGAACTACAACTCCCATGATGCTTTGCATGCTTTTAAAATGCCTTTAGAATGACAAAACATCATGGAGGCTATAGTTTTAAAACATCTGGGGATCTTTCTATAGGGCACCCCCTGGCCTAGTGGCTATTCAAATACTATTTCTTTGTAAGCCTTCCATCAAATGTCAGTGCATTACTGCCCTGTGATATCCTTAGATAGTTAGGGTTTCATAAAGGACATAAAAAGAAATATAATTAACATGTGACTTTGTTGCAAATGTACCCAGTAGCTCCGTCTATTACTCTGTTTCTTGCCTGGTTGTGGCCACCTGATATCTTTCTTGTTCGCAAGCCATAAGTGTGTCAAAAGACTTTAAAAAAATTGAGCTGCTGACCTGCACCCAAAAAGCAAAATGTATCATTTGGCACTAAACGTGCTGACGTTTTTTTGGCCTGATGCAATATCTGGCAATCATTCCTGTAGTGGTGAACGAGGCTGGTAATTAAAACAGTTCTTACATTTCTTGGATCAATGCTGAACAAATATAGAGAGCATTGTAGCTGAGCTTGTTCAACTAATAACTGCAAGCCATTTATCTTCAGATAAGAAACCTTAGTCAGGTTTGTTTAATATATAAATCCCAGGTGCAGAGTATTAGGCATACCTTGGATAAATCGTTTATTTCATCTGTCAGGTTTGTGGAATTACACTGTGCAAACAGTGGGTCTTTTTGAAATTGTTCTTTTTATAAGCTGCATTAATTCTATTATTCACTTCATATCAAAAGAACAGTTTTTTTTGTTCTTGATATTTCTCCCATATGTGTAGTATGTGTTCCTGATTAAAATATCTTACAACACAAGGTATATTTAAAAAAAAAAACAACAAAAAACATTATTTATTTACTACAATATAGTAAAAATTGTGCACATCTCAACTTCAGAATTAATTTTCTTGGTCAAAAAGCTTAGCAATTATAATAAAAAAACCATCAACAACAAACAAGCAAAACACAGCATACAACTATACAACAGCATAAGGTAGGACACTTGGCACTTTCTTAACAGCCTATTGAAACTACAAAATAATAGGCCTTATCATAAGTTTACAAAGTAAATAAAAAACATAAATCATGATTGCTTAGTGTCTGTCTACACGGACATGTTATTCTTCAATGCCATACTCATCTAGATGGATTATGGTGTAATTTTGTGCATGTGTTATCTAGCAACAGCAAAAAAAGAACATTAAAGGGTTGGAGACATAGGAAGTTCCTGCTAACCTAGTAAACATGTTTATTTCCCCTATTGAGGTTTCCCTTCTTAGTCATACGGAGATCTTGAGTTTAAACTCTACTTCCTTTAACTTGCAAGATGTATCAAAATATTTGAGGCCCAGATTTGGGTCTTGAATTATACATGCACTCTTTTTTTAAGGCTATTTTACTCGAGAAATGTATCAAATTTACAATCACATCTGGACCTGTTAAAATGCCTTACATAGTAACTTGACCGCTGTTGCTCATTGGAGAATAATACTGTACTGCTGCCACTTAAAAGGCCTTAATAGGCACCCAGAACACTTCATCTTATTGAAGTGGACTGGGTGCCATGTCCCCGTTGTTTTAACCCTGCAACTGAAAACATTGCTGTGTTGCAGGAACGGAATTTTTTGCATTAGAAGATTAAAGTGCCTTTAGTAAACACCAGAGGCGCTTCTGCCAAAATAGCCAAGTTAAACTCATGTGGGCCAGCATCCCAATTATTTCCTATCGGAAAGCACTGGATTGACTGAGATAGCCAAAAAGGCATGGCCATGCCATGGAGAGAGCACTGTGGTGATGGAAAAAAGGTGTAAAAAATGCATTTTTCCTCTTGGGGAGGGCAGGGGGGAGACCGCCTAAACAATGTACAATGCCCAAAAAGGAAGAGAGAATGTCAATGTTCCAAAAGAGGCTCATATTGCCTAAACATTGCACTCTTGGCAAGACAAAAAAAAATAAAGAAAAAATTATAAATAAATAAATGCAAAGAAATATATAAGGGTGTTAATAAAATATATAAGAGTGTTTATAAAATACCAATAGATCACACACAGAATAATATCACATCTATTGTAAATCAGATTAACATATTCAGACTGCTAAATCAATGCTTATACTGAATAAGTCTTAACGATTATATAGATGATCTTATCAATGAGGAGTTAATTGATCAAGATTTTACCTAAAGATTAATACCAAAAATTAAAAAAAAAATAAACCCAATCAACTTTCTTCCCTGTAATCTACATCTAATATTCCATAAAAAAATTTGTAAAAAATAATAATACTGCAATTACAATTTTTTTTAAAATGTAAAACATTATTGTGGAAACATTGAAAATTGTATTTAAAGTACACTCTTAAATTTTTGGACCTCACAGTACATGTCAATTCCGAATGTAAACTTATAGCAAATCTATACGGAAAACCCACAGCAACTTTCACAACTGGCATAGCCACCATCCTGAACCTATCAGAGAGGTATCCCCTATAGTCAGTATCTAAGGGTTCGCAGAAAGAGGCCAACACACTGAAATCTTTCTTCTTGGAGAAGGGCTACCCAAGAAGACTTTTAAAACGTTCCTTTAACCACGTGAAAAATGGAGAGGAATTGCCTCCTACTCTAATATCTGACATAGGGGGAGACAAAATGGTAAGATGTATCACAAGATTTGACACTAGCTGGGAACCAGTGAGGGACAAAATAAATACATTCTGGCCAATATTACAGATTATATTACAAGTGACAATACAACAAACCAAATAGACACCATGAAACCATATATGACAGCTAAAAGGGCCCCAAACCTTAACAACATATTCGTACATAGCCATTTCTCACAACCTTCACAATAACGTACATGACTTACAACCATGAAAGCTATTTTTTGTTGTGGCCACTGTAAAGCCTGTCAATATATCACCCCTACTAAAGAAGTAAAATCCTTTATAACCAGCCAAACTTTCAAATTACGTACCTTCATTAACTGCTCTTCGTCAAAGGTTGTATATCTGGCTAATTGTAAATGTGGGATCCAATACATCGGCAAACCCACCCAACAACTCCGCCGCAGGATCTTACTACATATCTACACCATTAATGCGGGAAGTGATACACCAATTGCCAGACACGTGCACAAGTTCCACAATGGTGAGGTATTAAATCTCTCCTTCTAAGCCATTGAAAAACTCATTAAAACTCCAAGAGGGGGCGACATCAACCCTAAATTGTTCCAGCAGGAATCAAGATGGATCTTAACTTTTAAAACGATGAGCCCCCATGGGCTCAACGAAGAGTTCAATTACACGGCCTTTATCACCTAATTACTATAGTTTGGATCGCTCAGCCCATTTGTAGCTCACACACATTAACATATACATTTGTTAACTTCTTATCATCTATTTTCATGTATATATGTGCTTTATTTATCTCACATATAGAGTATCTCACGACAGTAAGTACACCCCTCACATTTTTGTAACTATTTTATTCAGGGCCAGTGCAAGGAATTTTGCCACAGGACTGAAGTTTTATATTGATCACCAATGTTTGTTTTTTATATTGTAAGTTTTAAACAATACATTTTTATTTCTACTACACTTCATCCTTTGGAATCCAGTATCCAGAGTTACTGCCATACTTAAAGAAGGGTTTGGGTCCTCTTATTGACACATATGCTTTATAACTAACTAATTAAGGTGAGCAGTTCTATTGATTTATTTACACATATCAGTATTCCTGATCTACTACACCAGATTTTGGTCTTTGTCATTTCCAGAAGAAAAATACAGGAATTACCATTTAAAGGATCCGTGTTACCTTAACACACGCCTGTTTGAGTGATCTGAGCCTGTCCTGTTTAGGCTCAGAACCACGTGAGTGAATTCATATAGAATTATTTCACTCCAAGAGATTTTAAACATTCAATACTATTACTTTTTATCCCCCCCTTAGGTTACCAAGAGTTCCAAGGGAGGTGAATTATTTGCATTTCTTGAGCGCTCCACCTCTTAACTGAGACTGGTTCTTCACACCACGCAGTTAATCAATTTAATTTACTCTGTTTGTGCTAAACAGTGAGAGAATTGCACATTGGTGGTAGCAGCACTGCTTTATTCACGTTTTATATTACCATTATAAGCGCCATTATACACAATATCCATACTGTAACTTGAGGGTTGTATTTGAAAACCGAATGACTTCTGGACCACCCCCAGCATTCCTGATGATCCTGGCAACAGTCGCCAGGTGGTGTCGAGTGCTCACTGTTGGAACTCTCGGGTTGGAGGTCTTTTACTTGTGACTTATATATAGTTTAATTCCACTCCTTCTGCTCGGGAGTCGACACAGACTTATTTACTTGTTGTCTCCCAAACTAGTGACATTTGGGCATTGGGGTATTATCATTTGACCAACTTCAAGCAATTATTTATTTTAGGAAAAATTAGGCAGTACTTCTACCAAGTCCCTGTTTTAGGGCAAGGTATTCTACAACTATAGTCTTTTTAACTCTAGATCTCTCATACATCTATTTTTCCTTCTCAACATTTCTAATATCTATTCAATTTTATACTTTCATGTCCTCCTTGGAGTACACAATATTTGGGTGTACTTATATTTCCCTTGCTGCATATTTCTAACCATATTGAATAAAAGTTATATAAAGTACATGTTGTATTTGTAAAAGTTATATTTGCCTCACCAGATTTATTATGGGTGGACGCTTTCGGGGCTCAAATCCCGAGTCATAGTAGTGGAGCACATTCATTAACCACCATCTCTTCACTTATTAAGTGTTCTTGCATAGCAAGACCACTTAATGTTATCTCACATATATATTATTCTTATTATTATAGTCAAATTTACCACCCTAACTCCTCCCACAGTTTTTACACTACATAGACAGTAATATACTGAAACGTGCGGATTGTTCCCGATTGGATTGCTATTACTTTGTGAAACATTTCACGGAATGGTTCACAAAATATCGTTGTTTTTGTGGCAAATTGGTCCCATAGGAATGAATGGCGAAATGTTCAAAACTAGATAATATAAACATATATTAATCATAATAAAAAATATTAAGGTGCCAATTAAAGTACAACTATTGCTCATAAAAACCAAAAGTGATAGTGCTCAGCGTATCAAAACACCATCACATAAAGGGACAGTGCAAAAAACTCAAACACTTCTATGCTGTTACATGGTTAAAAGCAAGATAGATTTTGTGTTATAACACAACCTGTGACATAGACGTGCCCAGTTCGTTGCTTAACCTGGTTCTGCTCTATTGAAGCTTCCACTAAAAAAAAAGAATGGGTCAGTTAAAAGCCGTAAGCCAAAGACAGAATGGTATTGTTCATCGTTAATAAATGGCCTTTTAGAATCCATTTTTTAGCATCTGTTAAAAGGTATCCAATTCCACAACAGAACTGCTCCTTTCTAATTAGTTTTAATGAGTTACTTTCTTTCCTGGTGGCAAAATCTTATTTCCTGCCTTCTTCTTGAGAAATGACCTTGTGTCCTATGAATAACCCATGAGGGGCTATGTGATTGATCAGCAGCTAGCATTGTATTTGCTTAAAGAGATCAAATTCTCCATCTGATGATTTTTTTTTCTTAAAAATGTTCTAAACCAATTTTGTTAAAGAGATTAATAAAGCTTATATCAGTTTGTAAAATAGCTCAATTGGTTAATGCATCGATCATAGTTATTGATCAAACTTCAGGGATCAAGCGTTATTTACAAGGGGATCTGTTCACCCTTTCATCCATTCAAGATCAATATGAGTATCATTATGTAGGTAAAGCTAACAAATAGAACAAAGTTCTGCACTATTCGTATCTGTTTTATGTGTCTTTTTTGGAATATAACTACTACTGACTCCTCCTACTATCTAACTGTGAGAGTTTCAGTTAAAGGGACACTATAGTCACCAGGACAACTACAGCTTACTGTAGTTATTCTGGTGAGTATATTCAGTCTCTGCAGGCTTTTTTGCAGTAAGCACTGTCTTTTCAGAGAAAAAGCAGTGTTTACATTACAGCCTAGGGACACCTCCAGTGACCACTCCTCATATGGCTACTAGAGGTGCTTCCTGATATTTTGATATATTTTTTATATTGATAAACTTTTATTATATGTGATATATATATATATATATTTTAATCATTCTAAAAGTTTATCCAAAATATTAAATAATTTTATAAGCTTATCAAACAACATTAAATAGAAGACTAAGTTGGGACAGCAGGACAGGACCTGAAAATCGTGAGTCATGGTGCAAGTCAGAAGCAACTTTTGGGCAAATTGGCCTTTATTAGATACACCCCTGAAATGATATCTCTCAGACACTTCCTGGTTGAAGCAGACATATTGTGGGAAATGCCAAAGCATATGCTGCAGTAGACACAATGAGATATATTTGAATGCATCAACATTCCATAGAAAATTAAGATATAATATACCACAAAGTATCGTTTTACAACCTAAATGTCTGTATAAAAAGCACTTTAACCCTTTATCAAGAATATTGATTCTTGCATTTTGCTTTCATTAGATCTAATCTAAAGCATGAATAGTACACTTTTAAAAAGGTAAGTTAACAAAACAGTACCTATAGCAGAAAGCTGGAAGGATTCCAAGGGTACCGTGATTTGTAGTGAGTTATAGAGTAAATTTAAATGTTTAAATTTAACAGGCCCCGCACAAATTAGTACAGCTCTAGTCAAACTTAAATCACATGCATGATATGGCAGGCAGTGATTACACTACAAAAGTAAAGGACGTTTTTAAATGACATGTTTATTATTTAAGATCTTTTAGGTAGTTGGAGGTATAACATTTTTTTAACCAATCTTTTGTTTGTAATTTGCATGTATTGTAGTCCCATCGTGATAAGGGACTAGACAAATCATTTTATATATTGACAGTCTTGGCAAGTAATCAGTTGTGATGGGGCTTACTTGTTAGTTTGCAGTACAAACTATGATTCATTTTGGCAGAGTAATGCTCTCTAAGGCCGACTTGCCTAGCCAACGATGACTTTAGCATTACAGCTGTGCATCATGAGAACTGTAGCAGTCTTTAAAAAGCAAAATGCTTAAAATAGCAATTTTATGGCAAATAGCTTACTGGCTGAATGTTTCCCTTTATTCTACCCAAATGTTCTCTGGTGTAAACAAAGTATGGTATTATGGAGCAGCAGATCCAGTGGCATGAGACTTGGACTAACAATTTGTAATCCTTTACTACTAGTCAGGCCTTAAAAGTTACTTGTAATTCACAAATGTAGGATACCACACTCACACCTGGGAATCCAGGTGCTTATCAGGGCGTGGGTTGGCAAAACCCAGTTTAGTAGATAAAATAAATTAGGTCCAGGCACTCAGGATTGCCACAGGAAGGCAGGTTTATTGGAACAAAAAAATACAATGTTTGGGCCTTTTTGTTCCAATAAATCTGCCATCCAGCAGCAATCATGAGTGCCTGGACCTACTTTATTTTATCTATTAAAAGTTACTTGTGACTTCAAGCTCCAGGGGTGAATTTCTACTCACCATGGCTAAATATGCACTTGTCACTGGCTATTGGCAACTGGAAACTTTGAGCATTTTACTGTAAAACATATATTTACTCCAGAGCAAGAATTATTCAGCGATGTCAAGTGTGAATTCCTACTGCCCGTGAGCATCCTCGGTGCTGTTGAAAGCAGCAGTTTGTTGAATGATTAAATTAAGTTTGGCTCATATACGTGGCCATCAGAATTGGGATTACAGCAAGGGAGCAGACAGCTACATGCTTTCAGTATATGTAAACAACTTGTGGCTCAAACAACTCAAATGCCAAACTTCCTAAGTCCTCCTTCTACCACAGTGACTGTGACAGTACTTGGTGAGAAAGTAATTTTTCTGCTCTTGAGGGTATGCACAGGAGCTGTGTAACTCCCCGACACTGCAGAGATTAAAGTGGTACTGTAACTGTCTGGGGACTTTGCCAAATTTGCATAGTCCCCCGACGATGACATAGTCGCTGGGGGTTCGGTGGTCGAGGAGCGCAGGTAAGATTGAGATTACTTACATGATCCTGTCCCTTGTGGGTGCTGCTATCTTCCTCACTCCGTTCTTCTTCAGCACAGCATGCACGAAAGTACAACATTGAGGCATGTGGAAGATCCTGCGGGATCCTCCATAGATTCAGCCAATTCCCTACTAAGATTGACTCTTAGACTCCATCTTGAATCTAAGAAAGTCAAGTGTAGGAAAAATGCTGAGACAAAGTAGTCCCTTTTAGTCTTTTGTGCACCATTTTTACCCTTTTTTGATTATTATTATAATGCAAGAAGATTGTTAAAGTCTGCAACAATCAGAATGACACTCCCAGACAGGTCGACAATTTTATAGGAGAGAAATTGCAGGTAAGTTCCTTTCTCCATCACCTCTTGCATGTAGATTTGTAAGGAACATTGAAAATAGAAATGTTATTTACAGCAATGATAATAATGAATTGGTCTTCAAAATTTACTGCAGTAAGCTGAAACAATTAGCTACATTTTTACAATTTAATGTGTATATTGTGTTAGTATTTAAATGTAGATACATATTGTTTCCATTGTATTTTATCATGCTTCCTAAGCCTGTGCTGCTGTGTCACCAACATGGCACTTATAATTACACATATAGAATTCACAGGCTGCTGACCAAGGCATCTTAGGAATTGTGGAATGGTCTGAGTCATTTGGAGGAAGGGCTTCTGCACTGTTTTGGCCGAAAGTCTGTCCCAAAGCTGTGCATTGCTTTGCATCTCTTCCAAATAGTGATGGAAGCTTCATGTAGCCAGAGCAGCTTCCAAACACTAAGAAAATACCATTCATGTATTATTTTGACATCTACATGTGAGTACATTTGACATCACATTCGAAGTCAGGGCTTCTCCAAATGTTTTCAGAGTGAGGTATCTAAAGAAAAAGCTAAAAACCCTGCTATGGAGAGAAATTCCAGAAAATATTGTTATATTTACAAAAAGTATAATTTTAATAGTATATCACATTATCTATATAATATAAAATAATTCAACACACCTGTGATATTTTATTTTTTTTAGATATATTTTCGAAGTTCTCATTTAGGCAAAAAGCTTACAGTCCATTTTCAATCTCAGTTCAATACATCTTTTAAACGCTACCCAATTATTGTAGAAATACAGATACTAGTATATAAAATGTCATTTGTACTTATTGATGGAGACACAGTACAATCCTACTGTATTTTGATTTGAATGAAGACTGCAATTAAACAGCAAATCTAATGCCAGAGAAACAAACTACCAAGTTTGAATCTTTTTTTAAAAGGTCTGGGTGTGTTCCCTTTGACTTAATATTTCTATTTCTGTACTGCTTGGCTTTCTGGGTGGAAATATTGAAACCCTTAGAACATTCTGCTACATTCTGTTACTTGCATGCAGATAATAGTGAGAATTATATGGCTAAAATGTACATTTTATTTTTAAAAATGTATTTTATTTGAATTAGCCAGTGAACTCTTAAAGAGAACATGCCTCCTAAAACTAACCCTACATTATAAGAGCATGGATAACTGTTGGATTTGTTGAAAACACTGACTGGCAGTATGTGGATTAAAGGTATACTTTAAGCACCATAACCACTACAGTGTGTTGTAGTGGTTATGCCAGGAGTTCCCTGGTCCATCCTATCGCTTTCACTGTTTTCAACACTTCTCTGGGTTCTCTTTGCACCCACAGTGTGGCGGCCACTCTTCACAGATATTGCTTCAGTGAACACCCAATTAACATTATTAATTTAATCTGTCATTGGTTGGCAGTCCTCAGTCAATGAAATCCATCTAAACTTGGACAAAATTAAAATTGCTTAAGTGGAAGGGGCTGGACCGTGTGCACCCAGGAGACCCAGGTAAGTTCCAGTCTAGTTGAAAACAGTTTGACTCTTAATAGAGGGATAGTGCCAGGGCCTTCCTTGCACCATAAACACTACAGCATGCTAGAAACATTAACCATTGCTGTTTCTCGTTATAGGCAATGTTTTAGATTGACAGTCAAAGAACAGTCCATATGCACCAAAACCACTTCATTAAGACAAAATGGCTTTGGTGCTTAAAATGTCTCTCTAAGACATTGCAAATAACAGTTTAGTAAAAACACCATCAAAACCACGTTACTCAGGAAAGAAAAAGAGCAGTAAATTGGCTATACACAATCAACATAAAAATGCAATATATACTTCTGTTGCGCATTGGAAAAGCTAAATCGACACTATAGGCACCCACTGAGTGTCTAAATCCTTATTTTTGTTCTGGGTTGGATACCAGAAATTGGCCACACTGTATCCAGCTTTGCACCAGTGGAGTGGAATTGAGTTCAGTCCTTTGTGATTCGATGCTAATGATACGAAGAAAATTAACAGCTAAATCACAATACATGCTATAGGAAAGATTCACGTCAAATATATGGCATTGAAACCCTAAAGAACATATTGGAGCATATCAAACCATATCAAAGAGCAATCAAATAAATGAAAAGGCTAGACATATGACGTAGGCAATACCGTTGTTCTTTATAAGAGGTAAAGTGCATGTGTCATTAATACAAATAATTCAAACGGAAAATATTAACCTCCAAAGCTGCATGGATATCTATTTGGCATTGCACAAAGCCAATGTTTAATAGATTGTATACACTGTCGCTATCACCTACTAAGGTCAATCACATGGTGAAGTGCGCATTAACAGGGTGAGCCTTTTTTTTTTACCAGCAATATGTAGTTGTTATAGTGACAAATTACACAGTGTGTTTCTGTGCTTTACCAGCAAATAGCTAATCTGTGACTAGTCGGAATAATTTGAGCAAAAGTTTTTGGCGGTCAGCCAGTAAAAACTAGTGACAAGCTTGGAAACCTGTCTGTAAATAGTAGCCACTACTAAATAAGGACTGTTGTTAAGAGCAACAGCTTGTGACTGCTATATACAGTGTTGGAAACAAGCCATACTACTGTAAAATGTTTCACTAGATAATGCATAATCAGGTGTAATTTACACATTCGCAGTACGATTGCAGAGTGAGAGGACTATGAGTGTTAGGTGAAGCACCAGGTTAAACCACTTCAAAATAGTTTAACAGGAAACCAGTTAATGGTGTTTATAGACTCGTAGAACTATATCCACTACAATGAGCTGTAGTGGTTATGTTGCTTCGAATGCGCCTTTAAACATTTTCAAATGTTCTTCTTATTATTAAAAATCATTCAGAAACAGCTGATGTCTATATAATTGCTCTTTGAAACATGTTATTCAAAGTAGTCTCAAACATCAAATATTAACAAACTAAACTGATATGGTGTTTTTTTATAATTCTCTATCACAATAATAACTCCAACAGAAATGGACCATGTTTTTAGAAATATTATTTACTCTAAAAAAGACAAAGTAAGTACGTTAGTAAGTAATAAGTAAGTTAAAGTAAGTAATGGTTATTGATGAGCTCTGAATGTCTGTGAACCTTAATTATTACTAGACTAGACAATCCAGTTATCATTAAAGGGTTACTCAGGGGTGCCCAAAAGGAAGATCCCCAGAACTACAACTCCCATGATGCTTAGCATGCCTTTCGAACGCTTTAGAATGACAATGCATTATGGAATCTGTAGTTTGAAAACATCTGGTGATGTACCTTTTGGGCACCCCTGACTTAACCTAACCATAATCATACCTAACCAAAACAGCAAGCTGGAGTGGTAATGTTCCAAAGGCCCAGGTTCTTGACAATTTTTTTCTTAAAAGTATCTAATTCTGGAGATATATACCTGTTTTTTTATATGTGTAGGGCCACCTACCTGAGCTGTCAATTAGCCAGCTGAAAAGCCCTCTTCGTGGCTGGAAATAGATGCTTGAGAAAGACTGCTCATGGTTTGGTGCATTACACATACAGTGTCAAAGTTTCTACTGCCTGACTCTCAGGCAATTTAACTCTCTACATCATTGTAAAAAGTAAAAAAAAAATAACATTTATTTTAGTCTGGTTTCTGACCTATTTCCATCCTAAGTGCATTGTTTAGAAGGTTAAACCCTGCCCCCATAAAGCCACTTTTTTGGGAATCTGTAAAACTGAATGCAAGAGGTTTACTGTCTTGGCTACACTACATCTCCTATCATGCTCAGTGAGATTCTGTCCGAGTTTGGTAAGCATTTAAATATTCATCTGATGCAATGGGATACTGAGGCAACCACTTACCGAATAGCTTATGTGCAATATAACTCCAAATCAAGTTGCATCCTTTTGTTTTTGCTGGCTGAGTCTGATAAGAATTTTAGTCCACAATAGATTATGAAGCACAAGTCACCATTTTTGTGGACATAAAAATTAATTCGTAAAAGTGGCCATTGAACGAATACAGCCCCAAGGTATGGTTTATTTGATACAATTCCTTAAATCTCAAAAATCCAAACTATTTCTATGAGCAACTATGGTGTGGTGATTTGTCAGCAATGCTTACCTGTAAGAATCATTTAAGTGCTCAGCAATAAAAAGGAAGTGAGCCCAGGGAAAACTGGGCTGGATCTTTATGAGATGCAGAGGCCAGTTCTGCAGCAAAACAAAAGTAAGTTTTTTGGGGGCTTAAATATTTGTACACATTTAGTAAATGCATTTTGTGCAGCAGTTATTTATTTGCAAAAAAATGAATTTTTGGACATAGTTTCCCTTTAATCTCTACCGGATGCCTTGTGAGTCCTGTTTTTCTTTGGCATAATTAATACTTTGTGTATCATTGAAGTAGGCTTAACCACAGTAATTTGGGTCATGTTCGGGAATTTTCTGATTAAGATCTAGACATTGAAGGAAAAGCACATTGTATGACTAACGTCCTGTCTTTACTATTTGGCAGTACACAGCATTCCCCCGAGAGAGCAGATTTGGTTTCCCAAGTGCATTAAAAAGTAGCCAAAAATAATGTAAGGAATAATAACATAATTGTTCAAAATAAGTGTCTGGACTAAAAAAAAAATCCAAATTAAGCAGAAAGAGATAGCATTTCTCAGAAGATGCACTTAGAAGCTATCATTTAAAAACACTTCTAGTGACACTTTGTGACCAAATGTGACTTTCTCACAGTGGAAAACATTTGTCTTGCTTAATGTTTGCAATGTAAGGAAGCTGTGCTCATTAATCTAGACCTGAACGGGTTAAGACCTCTGACACATAAACTTTTATAGAGGAATTAAATATAAAAATGTTTCCTACAGCCACATCTATATTGAAATAAATAAATACACAAATAATTACTTCCTCAATTAAAGGACGGCTGTTACAAGCTGACCCACTAGCATTAGGGAACATTTGTATGAGGGATAATTTTATTTTAGGGACACTATGGGGCAGTAATTATTTAATGCATTATAAAGAAAAGAAAAAGAAAGATACTTTAGTGTTTCCCTTGGTGTACTCCCGCACAATCAATGAAGAAACTCTAATCCCATGAACCTCTGCTAAGAAGAGTTTAAGTGGTATGTAGTTTATCCCCAAGAGGTGCTATGTAAACTGATAGGAGCTGTACTATGGTATATCAGTTTACCCATGCATCTGTTCACTGTTCAGTGAACTGGGCTATGTTAGTCTTTTGATAGAACCACAGTTCATGGAGGTGTGGTCCACACATATCAGATGTCTTTCCTGGAGGTAGAGAGACTTTAGTCAAAGTTGTGCACATCACACTCAAGCCATGGATATAATTAATATATTTTCAGTCCCATAACAAGGTTTCTGGCTGTCTGATTGACAGGAGGCAAAGGTTTAATTATGTCAAGGAAATATATGGTAGTGTTTCATGTACAGTCTGGGTCCTTCATGCTTAGAAAAAACTTTTTATAAAATTCTACTACGCAAAGGACGCAAGGGCACAAAAACATTTTGATCCTATTTTGTTTCTTAAAAGGACACTATAGTCACCCAGATTATTTCATTTATGTGAAGTGGTCAGGGTGCAGTGGTCCTATTCCTTAAAGGACCACTATAGTGCCAGGAAAACATACTCAATTTCCTGGCACTATAGTGCCCTGAGGGTGCCCCCACCCTCAGGGTCCCACTCCCACCGGGCTGAAGGGGGAGGAAGGGGTTAAACTTACCTCTTTCTCCAGTGCTCTCCTCCTCCTCTCCGACCTCCTCTCCTCCTCTTCGGCTGAATGCACATGCACGGCAGGAGCCTCGCGCGCATTCAGCCAGTCCATAGGAAAGCATTCACAATGCTTTCCTATGGCTCTGGAGTCTTCTCACTGTGAAAATCACACTAGAGAATCCACTAGAGGCTGGATTAACCCATTTATAAACATATCAGTTTCTCTGAAACTGCTATGTTTATAGAAAAAAGGGTTAATCCTAGCTGGACCAGGCACCCAGACCACCTCATTAAGCTGAAGTGGTCTGGGTGCCTATAGTGGTCCTTTAATCCATTTATAAAGTACAATGTTTACATTGCAGGGTTAAATCCACCTCTGTTGGCTTTTCCATTCACATGACACAGAAGCCCGTATGCTAGCATTGAATACAATGGTTCCTATGAGGAAGTTTAGATGTGTGCTCGATTGCACATCAGATCCATAGTTTTGCTGGGTTAGACTATCTTGGTGGAGGCTATATCTCCTCGATGGCATTGTGGGAGATGGAAAGACGTGGTCCTACATAAAGAGCGGATTAACTCGGTTTGCTCTGGCAAGCCTATGAACTTCTGCAAAATAGCTAATGTTTTTAGAGAAATGCAACTCACAAATTTGTCACAAATATTAGGAATTTTGAAACCAAAAGTAAATATTTTTATTAATCTATGCAGCATATTTCACTTAAACAAACGGAAAATAAAACAAACCAGAAAACCCTCAAATCAACAATTTAAAAGAGGAACATGAGAATTCACCTCCATTAAACATAGGCTTGCCAGTTCAATTCTTCTATAGAAGTTGGTACTGGAAAAATTAACTATATTTGTAAATTAGATGCAACTATTTATTAATCAGTCCCCAAAATATCATTGTTATACTAGAAGGAGTTGCTATTTATTGTGTTGTCATATTTACCCCTAACACTGCTCTGTCCTATGATTCTGAAAAATTAATCATGTGTGACAGGTGCACATAAGGATACACTGAGTAGAATTCCAGAGAATGGGTCCTTTCCCATCGTCCACGACCTGATGGATTGGATGGATTGACTAGGCAAGTATCTAAGCCTAGGGAATGCCTAGCTCTGTGGTCCTAATACCAAACCCTTCTTGTTCTGATAGAAAGTAACCCTCTCTCACTCTTAACCATAATAGGACCAGGGAATGTATCTGTTTTGGCTTTGGTGGCCATGTTCCGCTTTCCATCTGATGTATACACACTATGTCATCAAGAGGATTTTGTGAGTCTCTACTATGTAAAATGTCGTCAATCACAGACACCCTTGAATGGTGATTAATTCCAATTACAAGAATTGAGCAATTACATCCTTTGTGGCCCTACATAAATTTACACCTCAGCTCACTTTGTACTTAGATGATGCTGTAGTAGTTGCACATATCCATACAAAGTTGAGTTATATGACTTCATTTGGTTTACAGTTGGATTATCCTGTTATCTGGTTACTTGTTTCAGCTTTGATATAAACATTTTAATATTAATATTATTTACCTATCGGAAGGTATTCTCCTAAAGAGAAAATGTCACTTCCCAGGTTTTTTAATATTATCTTTACTTATCACTATAATTAACAAATTTGTATTTGTGAGGTGCGACAAAAATACTTAAACGTAGGAATCCACACCCATTTACCCTGTCATGCTTACCTTGGTTGGGGACACCTGGCAGACTAAAAGGAAACCTCTCCACACTCCTAAGCTTCCCTCCAGCAGTTTGAACGCCTGCCAATTTAGCTACGCCCCGTTTCATGACGCAATTCACGCACCGTCATGACGCTGATGATGTCACCGCAGCGCGTGCGTGCCAATGTCATTACGCAAATGATGTCATAGCCCACCAAAACGTTTAAACACAGACATTTTTGGGGCGTGTCTTTAAATGTAAAGATCTGGCCTATAAAAGGTAGATTCACCCATAGTTCTTTGCCCTGTTGTGGTTCTATCTACAGTTCCCAATTGTGCTTTGCTTTACTGTGTATCTTGTGTATTGACCTCGGCTATCTGACCATTCTCCTTTCAGTATTCCTGACTTGGCTTTTATACCTCGCTACTGTGTTTTTTGGTTCCCTTGACTCGGCTTGTATTTCTCGCTTCTGTGATTTCTGGCTCCCCCTACCTTGGCTTGTCCCCGACCATTCTTTATCTGTCTAACATTAAGTCCAACCATTCTAAGGCTTGGTATACATTCTTCTATTACATCTTGCTTGCTGGGTCTCTTAGGACTCCTGACACCCTACAACTGGATATCTTGTCAATCATTGTAATAAACTCTACACCTGGCAGTAATCATAGAGAAGGCTAGCATGGACATTGTACAATGTTTATATTTCTCCTCTCTATTTGCAGTATGTCCTCACTTTGCCTTGTCTGAACTGTAATTTATAAAGCTTTATTATAAATTTTAAAAGAAAATGGTGTAAAATCCAAAGAAGTTTCCCTTTAATTACCTTGGAGGACTCTTGGTAAAGGTAGGCCTCTCTAAGGTCATACATCTTGATATAACTCATGAAGGCTCAGATATCAGGTGGATCTAAGTGCCCATGCCAGCAGAAGAGTCTTTCTTTGTTTGTATCCTACAACAATTGTTTGGATTACTTCTATTATTTTCCAGATCGATTTCTATGTTTTAATTAGGATTTTATTAGGTGCACAGTCAGTTATTGTCTATTATTGTATTGTAGTTCCTTTGAGTTTGCTTTTTTTAAAAAAATGTTTTTATTTATCTAAGGATTTTAAGATCTTCAATCAAGGCAATAGACAGGTGACAGTGATATATTTTCTTTTAAAGCTAAACATTTGGAAAAATATCAGAGGGAGATATTAATAGGGGAATTGTGGAAGAAAATTTTGGGGGCATTTCTTAAAAAAAAAAATTGCACCCAAAGTGTATCGATTTAGGATCTTTGGGCAGTCTATCTCAGCTTAATACTAGTGCCATCTTTGATCCTAGATGTATTTTCATGTTATATATTTTAAATAATTAGTATGGCTGCAGATCACAACCATGTTTAGCTGTTTATAGCTATAATTTACTCAACCAACCTAAAAACATACTTTGCAAGTGGTGAGTAATAATCAAGCAGCATATTTCACTTCAACAAAAGAAAAATGCCAAAAAACCCTCAAGTAAATCAACAATTTAAAAGAGGAACGTGAGAGTTCCTCTTCATTAAACATAAGCTTGAAAAAATGAACCATACTTAGTTGCAACTATTTGGTAAACAAATCCACAATGTTCATAGTAATGAACAGGGCTAATAAGTAGCCCCAAAAGTGCTTCTCTGACTTTTGAACATAACACATTTTATGATCGATGCAGGTTTTTTTTCAACAGCTGGAAAGTAAACCCCATCGTGTCTTGGTAGAAAGTAGACTTGTTCGCCATGGAAAAATCTTGTTCGGCCAAAATTAAATTTACCTCTAACACTCGTTTATTTGATATTGTGGCTTTCCGGAATATAGTGCACTAAAAATGTTTGTGAAAAAGACTTGGGAAAATAAAAAAAAACAGCTCGAAAAGGTGCTAGACAGTGTGGGGCAAATTATTTAATTAATATAAATATTACATATATATTTTCAGTATACTCATAGGTATATTTTCCTGCTATTTGGTTCGCAGAAAATGTGTGAAAAATATATCAAATGTAAATGTAATTTATTTATTTTTTTACTCCTTTTTTTCCCTCTATTGGTACTTGAACTATGAATAAGGTAAACATTTAGCGCTTGCCACCATTAATTATCTTCTCTTTTTTCTATCAATCATCTCTTTGTTTGGCGCCAACAGTGGAACTCTGAATTGCAAAGCAAATAAACATGTTGGCCCATCGAGCTAGTCGTTTTCTCGGCTATACGTTCTTATTGCGATTTGGTACAGAATTTGTCCGAACCACCGAGTGGCCCTAAATTTGGACAAATTGCAATAGGTCTGAAACCAAATGCACAATTCTAGGGTCATTTGCAAATTTTGTGAAAAAAAGCTAATTTGGGAGATAAGGTTGTGTTATAGCAGAAAATAATATAAGCAAGCCACTTTGTACTTTGAGTTTTAAAGTGCAGATTGTATGAACTGATTTCACAATATAAATATACCCTTTATCAGATTATATTTTACTGGGCAAGTGGCCAAGGCTTTTGCCTAAAGAGCCTCCTCTAGTGTAAAGTCATCAAGATAATGAGTGTTTGGAGATACTGATGATAATATTTGTTCATTTTTGTTATATTACAAGGTCAACTATCATCAAAAGCTAATGCTACAGTTGGTATATTAAACCCGTTATTTTACAGTTAAGTTACCTCTATGAGCTATTAGACTGCTTGTGTAATAACAATACTTGTAGCTTAGTCCTTTGTTGTATTCTAACGATTGCCTAGATATTTAATATGGTCTGACAGTAAAGAGTTGGGCACAGTCTTCTTGAAGAGATATGTACAGTGAATAATTTAATGTTAATGAGTATGTCTTGCTTTTTAATAAACAGCAGAACGTGTCCACAACTGTGAATTAAAGAACACTTTAAGCACCATAACCACTACACCCAGTGTAATTTGCCGAACTGCTTTAGAACAGTGGCCGCATGCCCTACTTTTGGATTTTTCATTGGAGACAGCGCTGTATTTCCCATGAGGCTAACAAGGCATTTGCCTTGGGCGGCACTTTCAAGGCCCTGTTAGCCTCTCTCAGGGGGGGCCCAAGAGATGGCCAGCTGACCATCTCTTGGGCCCCCCTGAGGCTTTCATATGCTCAATTTGCAGGTGGGGGCGCAAGGGCGTACTCTCCCCTGAGCTCTTCCTGCTCAGATCCCTCATGCCCAGCAGCGATGCCGAGAGCCGGAATATGACATTACTCTGGCTCACGGCATAACTAAGCGGTGCGCAAGGTAGCTGAGCAGGAGGAATACAGCTCCCTCGCTGCCTCCACTGTGCAGCCAAGCAGCCCAGGAGCAGACAGCCCAGCAAGCTGCACTGGACCCTAGGAAAGAATCCACTCCAGCTCTCCCAAAGGTGGGAGTCTGGATGGATTAAAATAAAATGAAAAAAACTATATTTATATACTTTGTGAGTGTGAGACAATGAGTTTAAGTGTGTCAGTACCAGAGTGTCTCTCAGTGAATGTGTGTGTGTCAGTGTGTGTCTATGAGTATATGTCTGTGAGTGAGTGTGTATCTGTTAGTGAGTGTGTGTTTGTAAGTGAATGTGTGTGTCTGTCAGTGAATGTATGTCACTGTATGTGTATCTGAGAGTGTGTGCCTGTCAGTGAGTGGGTGTGCCAGTATGTGTCTGTCAGTCAGTCAAACTGCATGTTTCTCTTAAAGGGACACTGTAGGCACCCAGACTACTTCAGCTCATTGTAGTGGCCTGGGTGCAGTGTCCCTATTGTACTTAGTGCTGAAATGTAAAACATTGCAGTTCCAGAGAAACTGCAATGTTTACATTGCAGCACTTAGTCTCTCCACAGTTTCTGTCTACCAGACAGCCACCAGAGGTAGAGGGCTTCCTGGATTGAAACGGACCTTTGGTCCGGTATCTGATGCTGGACGTCCTCCCGCTCTGCATGAGGACACCAAGCGTCAGATCATTCCCCATATGGGGAGGTCTAATGTGCATGCGGTATTTGCCGTACATGCGCATTAGCGCCCGCTCGTCGGAAGAGGCTGAGCATAAGTAAATAAAGGGGATTTAACCCTTTATTTACCAGGGACGGTGGAGGCAGAGGGAGCTATAGTGCCAGGAATACAGCTTTGAATTCCTGGCACTATAGTATGCATTTAAACAGGTAGGGGCGGGGCATATTTAGATTGGGGGTGCCCGAGTTTTGTCATGCCTAGGGCAGCACATATCCAAAATACACCACTGATTGAAGTATCTGGAGAATCAAATTAGCTCTACTGAGCTGAAAGAACCGACGCATGGCCACCATGGTCATTGTATCAGCTAGCCTGTATCAGAACACTGGATGCATTGTGAAGGGCCCAACTCTTCTAACATGGCTTTATCCAGAGATGGTGCAAGGGCAATTCTGGAACTAATAGTCTCTACAGTAGGCTGTACAGCTTACGGTGCTTGGAGCGTTACTTTAATTCATATCTCACAACATTCGTAGGAATGAAAATGAATCACCAGTGGTCATGCTTACAGACATGTTACAGTAATGTGACTGTCAGAAAAGTCCAGGTGAGAACACAAACGCTAAAACTAAGGTGCTCACCCATTATATTTGTCAAGGTACAGAAATGATTCGGTTTAAAAATTAAATCCTTTATCAAGCCTGGACACAGCATGCATTTCACACATACAACAAAATACTGATAAAATCACATTGTAATTAGTGGATGCCATGATTGTGCATTTGGGTCGAGGGCGGAAGTGACTTTGAACAGAATGACGTCACTAGTATGTCAGTTCCACCACCGTCCCCAAAAGAAAGCAAAAAACATATTAAAGTGAAAAACATAGAAACAAACACCTACCCCATATCCAACCTGCAAGTACAAAAAAATCTTAAAAGAACACTATAGTGTTAGGAATAGATATTTAGCCCCCTGATCCCCTCAGATTACATGTGATAGATTACATGTGATAATGTAGTTTGAAATCACTATAGTGATGTTACATACTTAAACCAAGCTTGTATTTTAGACACAAGTGAAAGTAAATATTATGTCACACATTACAGAGAACAGTTTATATTTAGGCAAGCATTGTGTACATAACACGTGTTGTGTGTTTAAAAACCCAAATTAATTCAGAAACACGGCTGGAAGTTCATTTTTTGTAACATCTGGAAAAGAACCCTTATGAGATTCCTGCTTACATGCTCTCCTTCATATATTATTTCCCTCCTATGCAGCACTTACAGGTACAGTGCTTTAGAAAAACAAAATGTAGAATTAGAATTAAGATTCTGAAGATTTTACATACTACTTCTAAGAAAATGTCAGTAGAAATGAGTCCAAAATTGGCTTTGTATAAACTCTGGGTGACCTAGAGCTCCCAAGAAATTTTTTACATTACATAATATTTTTAATAGAGGTACTCTCACCAACATATGTTTTACAAAGTTCTCCAGCTCTTCCCATTAAAAATTTGGACTTGGTTGAAAAAATACACTTTCATGTTACTACTATTAATAAAAAAAAGGTTACTAGTGCACAAAAATGAAACCAACCACTTGAGTTTGGTTAGACATCTTTGGCAACTTACAAAACATATGTCTCCAAGAAGACCACAATCCTAATAATCACACATGCTTGGACTTCTATTTTCTTGGCAGATGTTTGGCTCATTTGGCTGTTATTAGGAAATGAGGTGCCTCTGATCACCTCAGTATTAGTGTGCTTCAGCGGAAATCCCTTCACAAGCAATTTTACAATGAGTTGATGTTTATTCTGTAATTATCACCAAAGCCTGCCTTGATTTCTGTTTATATTATAGCTATCGAGGGGCCTCCTTAACTTTTTTTCCGCCAATAAGGAAGAAAGCTTTGATCCTTAAATTGGCCCTCTGACTGAACAAACAAGAGCTGCAGATGACCAAATAATCCTTTTTTTAATCTACCCATGTATTTGGATGTTTCTGCATACAAATAAAACTCAGAAACTCTAATTAAATATTGATTAAAATGTATTAAAATAAAATAAGATTATACTATGTAGAATACATATTTTATACCAATATACAAGATATATAGGGTCACCAGATCCACCCATGTTTTCAGGGACACATACTTTTTTCTTACTTATGAAAACGGTTGCCCCGTGGTATGTATGATGCATATTCTACAGTATTCTTTATACCCTAATTACTTCAACTAATACACCTTCTTCTGAATTCTGCATCCTGCAGGGCATACTAAATATTAGGTCACTCACTTAAGATCATTGTGCATTAATTAATGGAGAACACACATCTGATTGTATGTAGTCTTATTTATTTTAAGTTTAATAAGCAATCTTATACTTTATTATATCGGAATATCCCTCTAGATATTCTTTTGTTACATTCTCTTTCAACTACTTTATTTCAAAGCTTTGTGTTGTGAACACCACTAGTACCACTGCTGATCCTCTATTCTTCACTATTGGCGTTGCCAAATGGGACAAACATAACCTATCATTGGATGTGCCTACTTGATTTCAAATGTTATGCAATCTTACAGAGTTATTCACTAAACTGGAAATCGCTTAGATTTAGGGCCAAAATAGCTGAGCTGGAAAAAAACTCTACAAAGTGAAACTTTCATTTTCACGTTTAATTCATTCTGATTTCCCGACAATTCTCACTTTAGTAACTAACCCTGATATGAGTTACTGGGTAAGCACCAGACTACCCAGCTTCAATGATGCCAAATATATGAGTGATCACACCTTGCACACGATCAGTTATCCATGGCATTGAGGGTAGCGGCTCTCACTCTGTGAGCCAAGGAACAACAAACTAAATCTTAGTTTTTCCCCTCTCAATGGGGAAAGGTGCTGCACACAAATTATCTCCTGGGTACAGCTTGGAAATAAAATAAAGCCATATTTATTAATCCTCTATAGAACAGCAACATGGGAGAGAACAGCATCAATGGAAAAAGAAACTTAATGTCTGTTGCGCCTGTTGTGGCCTTAGGGCCTCCGTCATACCTTGTTTGGATAGGCAGCATATTGCACTGGCACTCAAATCACTAACTGAGGCTGGAAGCTATTTTTTTGGTTCTAAGTGTGTAGGTCATGGCAACTGAGGACTCAGGAAGCTCTTATGAGATAGGCGGCATGTTTGTTTAAAAAGGGTCACAGATACATTGTTTGTACAACTCAAGGTGGTCCTGAGAGCAGGGATGCAAGATGCTGAAAGCACTATAGGTAGCAGGATTTTTCAAGGTTGGCACATCTTCCAGGGGTAGTAGAGTAATACATACTTTATGGGCTCACTAAACCCTAAACTTCATGTCTTGGCATAGCTTGTAAAACATAGAAACAAAATGGTAAGAACAAGGCACAGAATAATCGGATAGGTCATACAGGACACCATTAAAATATAAAAATATAAAAGCTATAATGAATTGATAGCCTGTGATAAATCATATAAATGCTAAATAAAAATGCTCTAGCTGCATATTGTGTGGTCTATTATCCAAACTTTTTGTAAAACCATTCCATACAAATAGTATTTAATTTTACTACTCACACATGTTTTTGGATACGGCACCCCTGACATGTTATGTATAAGATTTTCACTGCCCTTACAGTAATAGCAGAAAAGCTATGCTACATGGATGGATTCATCTTAATCCTACCTTGTTTGCCTCTTTAAAGACAAATTATTCTGTGTGTTCAGAGTGGATTGACTTGTGATGATCCATGCAAGGGAAGGATTTTGTAAGAATATTTTTTTCAGTACTGGGAATATTATATAATTTCTCCCACAGCTTCCACTTCCTCTGATACAAACTCGGATAACTGGAATATTAACTGCTCATATCCTGTGCTTGAAAATTTCATATCCTGTGCTTGAAACGTATTTCTCTCAAATTTTTACTGTTTTATAGTAACCACTTTATTGACTGTTGTGTCAATTATAGTTTCATTTGTTTGTCCTTGTTTAATGATTTTTTTAAATTATAATTTGTTTTATTTAAACATTGAAAAACTGCATTTTTTTTTAGATATTTCTATTCATTAGATTTCATCTCACATTTTTGTGATGTTCTTGTCATTCATTGAACCTTTTTTTACATTTTTGTTTTCAGCAATATTTGTAAAATATCGCACAGAAATCTGAAGAAAAAACAAAAGAACCAGGCAGCAGGGAATCCTAATGCACGTTGATTATTAACAGGATCAAAGCAGGTAATGAATATGTAATTAAAAAATACTTTGGAGCTGCTGAACTGTTTTATAAACTAATGACACAGCATATGGACAGTTTTAGGTTTATTTGATGAACGTAATGTGTTTTGCTAAACAGGTATGGTTAAAATTAGAAATAAATCATATGATAAAAGCAAGTTTGCACAGAAACCATCAATACTACCCTAGTAATGTAGGTAAAACATTGCTTTCTGTCCAGTAAGATTTGACATTAAAATTATTTTCAAATAAAAATCAGTTGAATCATTTTAAATAAGGTTGTCTCAAGACACATGGTTGAGGCTTTTCCTCTCATATCCACAAAGAATCCAGCAAAAAAATATATAGATATATAAATGATTTCATCTGACTGAAAGAATAGGTTGAATCTTGAGACAATTTTTTTAAAGGAACACTCCAAATGCCATAACATTTACAACGTGCACAATTGAGCTCAGGAGATCTAACAGAAACTCCTAGCAGGAGCTTCATACTTTCAGTCCACGAATAGAAAAGGCAGGGAACATGGAAGGGGCAGAGAAATGTAATATGTTATCCATACTACCAATGGGCTTTTTTGATGCATGGGTATCAAGAGAACCTTAAAGGAACACTATAGTGTAACGAGCACAAACATGTATTCCTGACCCTATACTGTTAAAACCATCATCTAGCCTCCCTGATCCCCCCATACCTCCCTAAATATAGTAATTTCTTACTTGTGTTTAAGTCTGCAGTTGCTGGCTCTGCCCTTGATCTGCCTGCTTGGCTGACATCATCAGAAATTATTATTATTATTATTATTATTATTATTGCGATTTATATAGCGCCAACAGATTCCATAGCGCTTTACAATATTATTAGAGGGGGGAATTGACTATAAATAGGACAATTACAAGAAAACTCACAGAAACGAAGGGTTGAAGAGGGCCCTTCTCAAACGAGCTTACGGTCTATAGGAGGTGGGGTATAAAACACATTAGGACAGGGAATAGAAGTCAAAATAGGTGGGAGTGAAGCAGCACTGGAGGAGAGAGTAGAGTGCTGCCCTTTGGGAGAGAGCAAGAGACAGGTATGTGAGGTATCGGTTAGTCTGGGAGGCCATAGGCTTTCCTAAAGAAATGAGTTTTAAGGCACTTTTTAAATGATTGAAGACTAGGGGAGAATCTGATGGCGGTAGGCAGGCTATTTCATAGGATGGGAGCCGCCCGAGAAAAGTCCTGCAAGCGCGAGTTGGCCGTACGGGTACGAGCAGTGGACAGAAGAAGGTCAGAGCGGAGAGGCCGAGAAGGGGCATACCCATGGATCTTTGAGGAGATATAAGAGGGCTGAGATTATTCAGTGCTTTATAGGTATGGGTTAGCACTTTGAATTGACTACTATAGGATAAAGGAACCCAATGTAAGGACTGACAGAGGGGTGAGATGTGAGAGGACCGACTAGAGAGGAAAATCAGTCTGGCGGCAGCATTCATCACAGACTGTAGCGGGGCAATACGGCTATTGGGAAGACCAACTAGGAGAGAGCTACAATAGTCCATGTGAGAGATTACTAGAGCATGGACAAGCTCTTTAGTAGCATCTTGTGTAAGAAAGGGGCGGATGCAGGCGATGTTTTTGAGGTGGAATTGGCATGATTTGACAACAGACCGGATGTGAGGCTCAAAGGTGAGGCCAGAATCAAAAGTAACACCAAGACAACGTGCTTGTAAGGATGTGCTGATATGGGTACCACCAATCTGAAGGGAGAGATGAGGATTAATATTAGGAGGAGGAAAGACAAGAAGTTCTGTTTTGGAAAGATTCAGTTTCAGAAAGCGGGAGGACATCCAATCAGAGATAGAAGAAAGGCAAGATGTGACACGTTGCAGGACATCAGAGGAGAGGTCTGGAGAGGAGAGATATATCTGGGTTTCATCAACGTACAGGTGGTATTTGAATCCAAAAGAGGTAATAAGCTTGCCAAAAGAGGCAGTGTAAAGAGAAAAAAGAAGGGGACCAAGGACAAAGCCTTGAGGGACTCCAACTGAGACAGGATGAATGGTGGAGGTATCATTAGAAGTGGTGACGGTGAATGAACGTTGGGAGAGATAGGAGGAAAACCATGAGAGGACAGAGTCACAGAGACCAAGTGATTGAAGAGTTTGGAGAAGGAGAACATGATCAACAGTGTCAAAAGCAGCGGAGAGGTCAATAAGAGTTAATATGGAGTAGAGACCTTTGGATTTAGCTGTGATGAGGTCATTAGTGACTTTGATAAGGGCAGTCTCAGTAGAGTAGAGGGGGCGGAAGCCGGACTGAAGAGGGTTGAGGAGAGAGTAGGAATTGAGGAAGCAGGCCAGACAGGTGAAGACTAGTCTTTCAAGAAGCTTTGAGGAAAAAGGGAGCAGGGATATAGGACGATAGTTAGAGGGGGAGGATGGGTCGAGACATGTTTTTTTTAAGATGGGTACTACAGTAGCATGTTTCAGGATAGCAGGAACAGTGCCAGAAGAAAGAGAGCAGTTGAAGATGTGTGTTAAGGAGGGCACAAGACAAGAAGAGAGAGATCTAATAAGATGAGACTGGACAGGATCAAGCGGGCAAGTGGTGGGGCAAGAGGAAAGGATAAGTGCAGCCACCTCTTGTTCAGTAGCCTGGGAGAAGGTCGGAAGGGTTGGAGAGGCATGATCCAGGGGAGGTTGAAAAGGTGAGGGGCAAGGTGGTGAGAATTATTTCCTTATCTGTTCAATCTTGTCAGTAAAGTAGCAAGCAAGACTACCAGCTGTAAGGTTAGTTTGGGGGGTGGCCACAGCAGGGCAAAGAAGAGAGTTAAAGGTATCAAAGAGACGCCTGGGATTGTGGGAGCATGAACGAAGAGAAGAAAAGTATGACTGTTTGGCAAGGGCAAGGGCTGTGCTGTATGAACGCAATATGAATTTGTAGTGTAGAAAGTCTGACTCGGTGTGAGACTTCCTCCAGCAGCGTTCAGCAGAACAAGAACATCTTTGCAGGTAGTGTGTTGATTTAGTGTGCCATGGTTGGGGGCGTGTCCTCCTTCCGGTGTGTATTTGGAGAGGGGCTGCAGCGACCAGGGCTGAGGTGAGGGTAGAGTTATATGAGGAGATAGCCAGTGAGGGACATGAGTGAGCAGGAATGGATAATAGTTGGGAATTGATATCAGTTGACAGCTGCTGGAGGTTTATAGAACTCAGATTCCTTCTGAGTTGAGGGGGGTTAGGTTGAGGTTGTTGGGGGAGGGGGCTATTGAGAGCAAATGATAGGAAATTATGATATGAGAGAGGAAATGGGGTGTTGCAGATGGTAGAGACTATACAATCATGAATGAAAATAAGGTATTGCCTGCTATATGGGTGGGAGAATTAGCCCACTGTGATAGCCCAAGGGAGGAGGTAATAGAAAGCAGTTTTGAGGCTGCTGAGGTGAGTTAATGGGAATGTTGAAATCTCCAAGAATTGCAGATGGAATGTTATAGGAGAGGAAGTAAGGAAGCCAGGCAGCAAAGTGGTCAAGGAAGAGAAGTGGGGAACCAGGGGGACGATAGATAACCGCAATGTTAGCAGAGATGGGTTTAAAAAGGCGGATTGAATGAATCTCAAATGATGAGAAAGAGAGGGAAGGGGGTGTGGGTAGAGGTTTGAAGGAGCAGTGAGGTGAGAGCAGAAACCCTACGCCACCACCTTTATTTTCAGAGTTTCTTGGGTTGTGGGAAAATTGAAGACCACCAAAGGATAAAGAGGCAAGGGTAGCAGTGTCAGAGGGAGAGAGCCATATTTCAGTTAATGCTAGTATTTGTAGGGAACGAGAGATGAAAAGATCATGCACAGCTGTGGATTTAGTAATACTGCAAACAGAGCGTGCATTCCAGAGGGCAGTGTGGAAGGAGGATTTAAAGAAAGAGTAGCGTGAGATGGGTATGAGACTGGAGTGATTGTTTGAGTTAGCACATGAAGGGTTTGCAAGTGTGGGACCGGGGTTTGGAGAAACATCACCAGCTGCTAGGAGTAGAAGGATAGAAAGGAAGAGAACATGGGAGCACGATTTAAAAGTTTTGTGAGAGTGTTTATATTTTGAGGATTTAGAAGGAGATGGTGGAGATAAGTTGGAAAGGTACAAGTGGAGTGCATGGGATGAATAAAGAGGGGAGGGAAGTAGGGTGGGAGCAATGAAAATTGTGTCAGCAGGAACAGGTATGCAGAATGACAGAGATATTTTGGCAATGAGAGAAGTGAGGGTGAAGATAAAGAATATGAGGGAGAACATTTTATAAGAAGAAGGATTATTTGAGCCAATCACAATGCTTTCCTATAGGATTGACTGTCAAGGAGGCAGATCAGGGGCAGAACCAGCTCAAGCCAAACACAGCCCAGACAAATCAGCATCTCCTCATAGAGATGCATTGAATCAATGCATCTCTATGAAGAAAGTTCAGTGTCTGCATGCTGAGGGTGGAGACACTGAATACCAGTGCTGCCCAGTGTGCAGCACTTCCCCAGGAAGCCTCTCTAGTAGCCATCTGAGGAGTGGCCAGTGGAGTTATCACTAGGCTGTAATGTAAATACTGTATTTTCTCTGAAAAGATAGTGTTTACTGCAAAAAGCCTGACGGGAATGATTATACAATAATTACAATAAGCTGTAATTATTCTGGTGACTATAGTGTGCCTTTAAACGTGCAACTTCAAAACCTGACTAGACTTAGTTTTAAAAGTTTGCTTTAAAACAATACTTTGTGCTATATTGTAGAACAGATTGGCTGTGTTGTAAATGTACCCAGTTTTTACTAAATGGGCAGTATGGGTCAATTGCAAATTTTTGCAACAGACTCACTATTAGTAGATTGCCAACTTGGCATTTTTTCTTAATAACAGTCATTGAAAGTAACTCTGCCCAGTTAGTCCCAAGCTGTACCTGTGGATAGACCACATGGTATTTAAATATGTTGCAACACAGTTTTTTTCAAGGTAATTTCATCCCCACAAGAAACAATACTTAATATTGTTCAGTTTAATTTATGTAATAGTTCAGTTTGCCTGCACGTATCGAAGGAATTTCCTTTTAGATCAGAATAAAAAATTGTATGCTTTTAACTACAAATAAGAAAATAATCTGATTTTCTTTACTACTTTTTTTTATTATTTTAAATTTAGTTTGTGCACCACTTGTTACCGACTGTTCCTTGCTATAAGCGTTTCCACGTTATATGAAATGTAGATCCGCTCAGTGGAAACGAGGCATAGAAGACCATAACAAAAAGTATGCCAACAAGCATGTTGGGGCCACATTCATCTGCAGAAAATGAAATACTATCAGAGTAACAAAAGTAGATTAACAAAAAAAGTAATGAGATGCTGTAATTAATAATGTTAATTATAGCAAAGAGGACCTTTCACCAGTTTGTTTGTGACCTATTTATCTCTTTTGTATCTCCAGTAAGCTGTACTGAAGCAGTTATAGCAGTGAATTGTGTAGGAGTAGAAACAAATTTATCCACACTGTACCTCGTGGTGATCTAGCCATCTTCCTAACATGCACTTTGTGTTGTGCATCAGTGTATGAATAAAAGGACAAAAGTAGAAATAATATGTAACTTAGCTCTTAAAGGGACACTATAGGCACCATAACCACTTCATCTAACTCTCAGTCTATCGGTTCCATATGGAGAGGAGCCAGGCTGCAGGCAGGCAGAGAATAAGGGACTCAAATTTAATGTGGAACTAGAAGACCCCAGGCACAATAAACACTTCATTTAGCTGATGTAGTTATGGTGTCTAGAGTGTCCCTTTAAAATCCAGCAAGCTTCTGGAAAGTGTTACAATCGCCAACATAAAATTTCTCTGCAGTTTCTGCAGATGATCAGTGATACATTCACATTTTAAATGCAGCCTCTTTTTGCTGAGTAGTACAGTAAAATGACAAAAATATATATTTTTTCAAATCTTTAATTCTCTCTTGTGAACTATAACCCGAATTACAGAATACTGTCCATTATCTACTATATTTATTGTGATTTTAATCCTCTATGTCTTGTTTATCCCACTGGGATTTCTGATGATGTAACAACACTTAGATTGGGTCTTACACTAGTTCTAAAGGCCTTCATTCATTCTTCTTCCTTCCCCTCGTATTGATCTGAGTGTTGGTAGTGGGGGGTTGCATCTCAATGGGATCCATATGTTTCTAAGCTTTCCAGGAAAATGCTTGATGAGTGACTGGATTAAAAACATACTTCCTGGTGCACAAGCCAAATGAATACATTAGGAAGGCAAGGCATTGACATATTGTTGGCAAATTTGTAACAATGTATATTTGTAGCAATTACGATTATCTCCCACCCTCAGACAGTTAAAATTACTGAATATACAGCTCTGAGAAAACAAAATACAAAAATAAGAGACCACTACAAAATGATCCGTGTCTCTGATTTTACTAGGTATAGTTATCTGAGTAAAATTGCCATTTTTGTTTTATTCTATAGACCACTGACAGCATTTCTCTCAGATTGCAAATAAAAATATTGTCATGTTGAGCATTTATTTGCAGAAAATGCGAACTGCTTAAAATAACAAAAAAGATGCAGTGCAGGCCTCGAATAATGCAAAGAAAACACGTTCCTATTCATTTCTAAACACAATACGAATGCGGTAACCTGGGAAGATTTCAGAAATCCATATTTGGTGGAGTTACCCTGCTCTTCATTTACTTGTAGTAATTGTGGTACTAACAAATCAACATTAAACCCTTTTACTGTTGTCAGATTGACATAGAGCACAATCTAAGATCTACATTCGGCTCTGCTGGATTGATGTTCCTGTACTGGTTTAAGGGACACTATAGTCACCAGAACAACTACAACTTATTGCATTTGTATTGAGAGTAGACTCATTCCCTTCAGGTTTTTGCAGTAAACACTGTCTTTTCGGGAAAAAAAATGCAGTGTTTACATTATAACCTAGTGATAACACTACTAGTCCCTTCACAGAAGGGTACTAGAGGTGCTTCCTGGCGCAGTGCTGCACAGTGTGCAGTGCTGCCATTTATTGTCTCCACCCCTCTGCATGCAGATACAGAATTTTCCTCATAGAGATGCATTGATTCAATGCATCTCTATGAGGAGATGCTGACTGGCCAGGGCTGTGTTTGACTTGTGCTAGCTCTGCCCCTTGACAGTCTCAGCCAATCCTGTGTCAATGTGATTGGCTCACAGAATCACTTCTGATGATGTCAGCTGTAAGCAGGCAGGTCAGGGGCAGCAGCTTCAGGTTTGAATACTTTATTTTACTATATTTAGGGATTCAAGGTGGTCATGGGGGCTAGGCGGTGGTTTTAACACAACAGGGTCAGGAATACATGTTTGTGGTCCTGGCCCTATAGTGTTCCTTTAAACCCAGAGGCTGTTATGGAATCAGAAGAAATATTTGCAAATATTTTGGTTAGATAATAAGTAAGGTAATTTTCTTATTCTGAATCATTGTGGGCTTTGGGTACCAAAGTAAAAAAGTAACTGATCTCTGTCAAACCACATCTAAACAGATTGACAAAAATGAGAGATTGTGCCTTTAGAGTTCCTACACCATAACCACTACAGTATGTTATAGTGCTTATGGTGTATTGAGTATTCTTTTAAGATATACAAATAGAATTAAACCTAAATAAGCCACAACACAGTCATGCACTACAGAGAATGCCTGTGGGCAGTACATTAGATATAAATCAGTCTGGCACTGGAATGTATAATAAATTACACAGAGCTCTGTGTTGGAACAAACACCTGTTTGATTCATTGTTCTTAACTGAAAAGACATGTCTTTGAACACATTATGTATCCTTATTGCAAACAGATCAAATAGCTTAAGGGTATAAAGTGGATCCATAATTGTGTAAATTGTTTCTAGCGAACTAAATTTAATCAACAGTCACATTCTGACTATATGCATTTTTAAAGTTTTTTTTGTTTTTTTCTGCAAAATATTTTTAATTTGCTGATAAGATTAAATACTTGCATAACTCACACAGTGGTTAAGTAAGGTTTCACAGGCATATTCTCTTGGCAGAAATACATCCTGTTCATCACAGAATTGTCTTGCGTTTACGTTGCTCTGGTGAATTGTATATGACCAATAATCTTGCATATAAGTTTATCTGGTATATATTTCTTTAAAATTATTATTCTTTAAAATTATTTTTTGGGGAATAAATGGTAATTGTTAAATATGCATACCTTGTGTTTACAAAAACAAAGAGTAGAATAGTGCTAAGTAAGAGGACGAGGAGGCAGCACACCTAAATGGGTAAATCTGTCCTAAAAACCCAATAAGGACAAACAACAATACAAGACTGTAGGGTGCGCCAGGGTGTAGGGGGTGACGTAATGCTAAATAAAACAACTGAAGTAAAACATATAATACGTGTTCAATAAGATGGTATAGAATCAATAATACATAAGAGCAAACAAGCCAACAAAGTCCAGAAAGAGTGGTATTCAAGAGGTAATCAAAGATGATTTCAAGTGGTAATCAAAGTTGATTACCACTTGAAAAAGCCCACTGTGGGTGAAACGCATTGTGGATTTAATTTTACATTTTTATTGTCTTAATAAAGGTTTTGTGTCTTACTACCAATATTAGTACCATATTCCTTTGCGTTTTCCTTTTTATCCCTGGCATCAAGTTTTTATCTCTCCAGTGAGAACCTCACAAAGCATCCCTGGTGGGTATTATACCACCTATGCTGATTACACTGAGCAGGTTATCTGCTCAGGTAAATGTGAGTATTATTCATTTATTTCTTCTCATGGATATATTTTATACAGAGAGCACTATCTGTTGTACCTTTGTTTTTACTTTTACATATCCTGCTGACAAGATATACTCTGGCCTATACCTCCCATCATATCCCTGAAGTGAGGGAACAATACCACTGCAAGCGCTTCACACTAGAGCTGGTTTTAAGCTCTATTCCATGTGAGTAGGCCATTTGAATTTTATTTTAGCCTTTATACTTTTGAAACATATTGGACTATTGGAACTCTTTTCTTCTTTTTTATGTCCCTGGACCTCAACTATCTGGAAGACATACCTACCTGGAGACAAAGGCAAACTCTTATAGACTTACCCTTACCTATATACTTCTTTCTGGACTTTGTTGGCTTGTTTGCTCTTATGTATTATTGATTTTATACCTTGTGTTTATCATTTTTTCCAGGCTGTCTTATTAGCTAACATTTTCAGCTTCAGATCCATGAAGTCCTAAATTCAGAACAGCACATGGATAACACCGCCTTCTCAGTCACATTAATGATGCAGAATTTAATCTTCCACATTATCAATGTCAGTTTCATCCAACCTGGATTGGTGGCAGTTGTCCTAGTGAAAGGTTTGCGCAGCCATGAACAAGTTACTTTGTCCTTTTAATGCATTACCAAAACTTCCTTAACTTTAGGAATTTATCAACATTTCATTCTGTACAAAATTTGTGTGTTTATGATAAAATTGTTCTTTTTGTTGTTTTCTATTTCTTTGTTAAGGAAGAACATTTAAGAAGAAAATGAATATTTCAACATGTCTTGGTTGTAATTTTTGAATGAAATGATCCAAGGCTATCTTCCCATCCAGTGGAACAGAAGGAAGAAAACATATGAATTTTCTCTTCCATGGATAAATATCAAAACAGGACCATGGATCTTCGAGACGTGCTGAGAACAATAAGGATGAAGGCCAAATATGCGCTCTTCTTGGGTTTTGTGGTGGTTCTGGTCATCATTGAAAAAGAAAACAAGATCATCTCAAAGTAAGACACTGGGATTCTGTTTAGGTAATGGAACACACTACACATGTATAGACAGCTAGTTAATGTTCCTAAATGCATTTTAAAGTATTGACTTATGATTACTTCTTTATATTTAATTGATTGCAGTTTGTAGCTGTATATTGTATGACATTTTATAAGAAAAGCCATTTCCAGGTATGGGCCAAGTTTCACTAGTTTTAAGATTTATGTTTCATTTGTGAAAACCTTTGGTATTTTGATACCTATGCCCATGGAGGGCAAGGACATTGTAGGGATTTAAAATCCAGTGGAAACACTGATTGATCAGCACAATTTCACCAGCTCTACATTGGTCTTCTAAAAAGTACTGAGCAACATGTTTTACGATAATGCATATGATGTCATTCACCATTGGCCCTCATAGGCTTTCAATGGTTTTATTTGGGTTTGAAATAACAAACCTAAAACTGCTGGGAGGTTTCTTCTCAATTGATTTATTATGAATTACTCTATGCATCGTAAAACTAAATTTTCTAAAATAGTATAAATTTTTTAACATAAACCTTTGTTCTTCTTTCCCACAACCAAAACTACAAAAAGGAAAATAAATAATATCCCAACCACACATGGCTGTGAATATATACGGTAATATATCTTGCTATTCAATTTATGGTGTTACTCTAGGTCAAAGTGAAATATTAGGGCAGTAACTGGGAGTTCAAAAAAGGGCTACTAAACTGGTTCATGGATTATAGGATAAAACTTACAAGGAAAGGTTAAAGGAACTTAACATGTATAGTTTGGAGGAAAGACGAGACAGGGGAATGATAGAAATATTTAAATATATAAAGGGAATCTACACAGTAAAGGTGGAGACTATATTTAAAAGAACGAGAACTACCACAACAAGAGGACATAGTCTTAAATTAGACACCACCGTCTGAACATCACTTTCACAGAAACCTCCAATGTCTTGACCTAGAGCATTTCTCCACTAATCTCAAAACTCCTTTTACCTATCTCAAACTTCACCTGTCCTAGTTCTACAACCTCCTTCTACAATTCCACCCTCTCCTCTCAACTAGACATCATGGCGCCTTGTACATTTAAATGCCGCAGGCACCCGCAACAACAACCCTGGCACACCAAGCTCACTCGATACCTCCAAAAATGCTCCAGAACTGCTGAACGCTGTTGGAGAAAGTCTCACTGTGCATCTGACTTTCTCCACTATAAATTTATGCTGAGCTCATACAGCTTGGCTCTTTCCTCTGCAAAAGTTAATTACTTCAATACCCTCATAACCACACTCTCCCGCGAACCCAAACGACTATTTCACACATTTAACTCTCTTCTTCGCCCTGCTGTTCCTCCTCCACCCACTAACTTGACCGCCTCAGACTTTGCAACTCACTTCACTGACAAGATCTCTACAATCAGAGAAGAGATCTGTCATCTTTCTTCTTCCCCTTACAATACTTCCCCTAACTTCACTCCCTCTGCTGTTCTATTTTCATTCGCACCCGCTACATTGGAAGAGGTTTATGCTCTGCTCCGGTCCTCCCGCCCCACCACCTGCTCCCTAGATCCAATTCCCTCGGATCTCATCCATACTCTGTCTTCTTCTCTTTCTCCACCTCTCACTAAAATTCTCAATCTCTCTCTCTCCTCTGGTATATTTCCATCGCTCTTCAAACATGCAACCTATTCTAAAGAAGCCCAATCTTGACCCTAACTCCCCATCCAACTATCGTCCTATCTCGCTACTGCCTTTTGCATCCAAGATCCTTGAACAAATTGTGCATGCAAAATTGACAGACTTCCTCGAGTCTAACTCTCTGCTAGACCCGCTTCAGTCTGGTTTCCGCGCTAAGCACTCTGTGGAAACGGCACTGACCAAAGTATCCAATGATCTACTCGCTGCAAAATCTCGTGGTCACTACTCTATCCTAATTCTCCTTGACCTGTCTGCGGCTTTTGACACTGTTGATCATCAACAGCTTCTTCTCATCCTCCGCAATATCGGTCTACAAGATATTGCTCTCTCCTGGTGCTCCTCCTACCTCTCCCAGTGCTCTTTCAGTGTTTCTTTCTCTGGCTCTGCTTCTTCTCCCCAACTCCTCTCTGTTGGTGTCCCCCAAGGTTCAGTCTTTGGTTCCCTACTGTTCTCCATCTATACTGCCTCCCTTGGTAAACTCATTAGCTCCTTTGGCTTCCAATATCATTTCTATGCAGATGACACGCAAATCTACCTGTCCTCTCCTGATCTCTCCCCGTCCCTCTTGACTAGTGTATCTGAGTGCCTCTCTGCTGTTTCTAACTGGATGGCTGCCCACTTCCTTAAACTAAACTTGACCAAAACTGAAATTCTGGTCTTTCCTCCCTCAAATGTTGTTACTCCTGTGTCTGTCTCCCTCCAAGTCAATGGTGCTACCATCAGCTCCACCATGCAGGCTCGCTGCCTAGGTGTTCTCTTCGACTCCGACCTCTCCTTCAAGCCTCATGTTCAATCTTTCGCCAAATCCTGTCATTTCCATCTCAAAAACATTGCGCGCATCCGCCTCTACTTAACGCCAAATGCGACTAAGGTGCTGGTCCATTCCACTGTCCTTTCTCGCCTTGACTACTGTAATCTGCTTCTCAGTGGTCTTATGTGCTGCCAACTTGCACTGTTACAGTCCATAATGAATGCGGCGGCGAGCCTCATCTTCCTGTCCGCCCGCACCTCCCATGCCTCACCCTTCTGTCAGCCCCTACCTTGGCTTCCTATAAAATATAGAGCTCAATTTAAAATTCTGGTTCTTGCTTTCAAATCTCTACATAATGCTGCTCCCACCTATCTACCCTCCCTTATAAGTATGTCCCATCTAGGCCCTTACGATCTGCTGAAGACTTACGCCTATCTTCTGTCCGTACTCCCACCTCTGATGCTCACCTTTCTCGAGGGCTGCACCGTTCTCAAGATTTCTCGAGGGCTGCACCGTTCCTGTGGAACTCACTTCCCTCCTCTGTTAGATGCTCACCCAGTCTCCACTCCTTCAAAAAATCGTTAAAAACCCACTTCTTCATAAAAGCGTATCAATTAAACTGTTAATAGCTCCTGACTGATTCCTCTTCTGCAACTGTCACTAGTCTAATACTATCCTTACCTTTTTGTGTCATTTTACCCCACTCCCTCTAGCATGTAAGCTCATTGAGCAGTGCCCTCAACCCCTCTGTTCCTGTGTGTCCAACTTGTCTGGTTACAACTACATGTCTGTTCGTCCACCCATTGTAAAGCGCTGCGGAATTTGATGGCGCTATATAAATATCATAATACTAATAATAGAGGGGCAAAGGTTTAAAAATAATATCAGGAAGTATTACTTTACTGAGAGTGTAGTGGATGCATGGAATAGCATTCTAGCTGAAGTGATAGAGGTTAACACAGTGAGGGAATTTCAGCATGCGCGGGATAGGCTTATGGTTATCCTATATATATATAAGAGACTAATGCAAGTATTAATACAATTGGGCAGACTAGATGGGCAGATTGGCTCTTATCTGCTGTCACATTCTATGTTTCTATGAGTGGATGGCAAGTTGTTCATTTGACATTTGATTGAAATTTTTAATTTTCTTTCAAATTATGTTATTTTTCTTCTAAAGTTTTGAGACAGATAGTATTTAATTATCTGTCCTTTGTTTCTAGAATTTTAGGTGCATGCTTTGTAATGTCTCAGATTTGTTTTTTATTGCATGACTTACGTTCTGGCATATATAAACCAAATTTTCTTGTAGAGGACATGTCAGTTAAGACAAAGCTGTCAGAACTTTATAGAGTATAGAATGGTGAATTACTTATCCTGGAAAAATAATTGAGTTAATATGCTCAAACAATCAACACAAGTATTGATGTAATAGATATTGCTAATGCAAAAATGGAAGTAGACCAAAAACTGGGGTACAGCACCCATGGTCTAACAGCACTATAACCAATATATTGCAGTGGTTATGATACATGCTGAGCCATTGGTCTTAGATTTAAATTGCCATTGTATTATTAGATTGATGCACTGCTACAGCTTTAACAGTGTATTTGGGCCAAGAACTTCCATCCTTGAAGGAATGCAGCTGTTGAACATCATACTTACATTTGCGCAGATAACATGAATAATTGTGTAATTAAAGTGATCTGAACAAGATGACATGAAACAGCTGCCTGGACTGACGTTTGTTGAATAGAAGATTAAAACATTTTAAAAATATTTTATTTATGTATCTTACTACACTCTGAACACACAAAATTTCAAGAATATTCTTGAAATTTGACCATAAACTGCAATTATGACCCTAAATCGTTTTGATGGGGGGTGGGAGGAGAGGCTTCTGGGAATTAAGAACAAACATCAATTCAAATAAACTTGATTCAATCCACCTATATAAGGATATTCTTATTGGTACAGCACTTTGCCACACATGTGCAATAGACTCCCAATACTTTCCTATGGAAATTGATCATCTCAACCATGGAGGCGGAAACAGCTGTGATGAGATCAGGAGATAAAAATCATTTTTTCAGAGCGATCTAATAGAGTTGAGGAGATAAACAGCCACACAGCCGTTATAGTGTCAGGAATACATACATAATAAAACCACCATCTAGTTCCCCTGGCGTCTTTTCCCCCCGAAAATGTAGTAAAATCTTGCTTGTATTCAAGTCTGCTGCTGCTGGCTCTGCCCCTGATCTTCCTGCTTGGCTGACATCATCAGGAGTGATTCCATCACAATCTTTCCCATAGGATTTGCTGAGACTGTCAAGGAGGCAGATCAGGTTCAGAGCCAGCACAAGTCAAATACAGCCCTGGCCAATCAGCATCGCCTCATTGAGATGCATTGAATCAATGCATCTATTTGAGCAAAGTTCAGTGTCTCCATGCAGAGGATGGAGACACTGAATGGCAGTGATGCACAGTGTGCAGCACTGCCCCAGGAAGCTACATTCTAGTTGCCATCTGAGGAGTGGCCAGTGGAGGTATCCCTAGGGTGTAATGTAAACACTGCATGTGTTTACTGTAAAAAGGCTCAAGGGAATGATTATACTCACCAGAAAAAATACAATAAGCTGTAGTTGTTCTGGTGACTATAGTGCCCCTTTACGTTTAAAGAAATTGTCACTCTCAAACTTTCATTGTAATACAATACATTTTAATTCACCAAATCAAATGCCATACAATGTCCATTTTATTTTCACTTTCTCATTCTCAAAAATAGAAAATAAATAAAAACAAGATAACATTATAGCTGGGCTTTTGTTTCAAAAGTGCAGATATGGTAATATGTGAAACTAATCCTGAAATTTTTGATCCAGAAATTCAGCATTTAGAAAGTAATCACATCTGAATTTTCACTCAAAAACTTTTTTTTATCTGGGCTAAAATATGTTCAAGTTCCATTAAAAATTATTTAATAAAATGTCCATAATATATGTTGTATAAAATCAGAGACAAGTCCTGAATAATTAGGTATGGATTCTTATTAAAGGTCCTCTCAAAAAATTGTACATATTACAGCTCATCAAGTCAAGAGTGTCCCTAGTTTATATAAAAAAACAGGGCTTTCCTGGCCCATAAAGTCTGTCAATCTGCTGCAGTTTGGCGACACCAGCCCCCATTGACTTACTGACTAATGGAATCATTGCTGTCATAAGCTTTAAACTGTAGTGCTTGATAAAAATATCAGCAGATTAAAATGTCCAAAATACATTATAAATATTCTGTCCTACAACTATATATTTTAGCAGAGTATACAGTGTTTAAATCTGACTGATTTTGCAAAACTCAAATAAAGATTTGAATTCCATGAAGTCACAGACGTACAAATTATATGCTGTGTTTTAAATTGTAGCTCAGATTGAATGGTTTGGCATTTTTACAGCAATACTAGAGCAGGTTCATCCAACTCAGGGGTTACGAGTCCACTAATGGAATATGAATTGCTGCTGCATAGCACATCCATTTCCGGATGTGATATAGACATATTTCATTTTTCAATGTATTAACCCTAGTTTAGCCATGGCTGCATAAAAATGCAATGCACTTTTTCTGGGATTAGTTGTTTTTGATTATCTTATCCCAACCATTTAGACTTTCCTGTCCCTTTATGTCCCCTCATGCATTTTTTTTGGTTCCCTTCTCTTGACCAGGGTGTATTTTTCCCCATTACAATCATAATGTTAAAGCACTTATCCCGAATTACTTTAAAATCTATATGACAAGTAATAGGGAAAAACGTTCTAAATACCCAACGTAATATAGTGGGAAAGATTTGTATAGTGAACAGTGAAAAAATAAATGCCCACAAGGTTTGTATAGTGTACATTGAAAAAAGAAATGTCCACTTTTGCCTGACCTTTAAAACAGTAACATTTTTCCAAGTAAAGGTTTAATTTTCTTAAAACAAGTCTAAGTAAAAAAAAGTAATTAATGTAACAGATGTTCCACTATACCTGGAAATGTATATACCTGCTGCTCTTTATTTGACTGCTAAATAAGCCTTATATAAAAATCCAATAAAGATTCTTCATTAGATCTTAATATCTTTATAACCTAACTTCTTGATTCGTTTTTTGAGTTGTATTTAAGATGTGGTGAAGGGTGTACATCGAAGAATTGTAGTGGAAGTAGCATAACTCCCCTAAATTTGGTGTTCATTAATTCCAAGAGACAAACTACAAGCTCCCCGGGCATTTATAAATACTCTATTTTGTCTTTTAGCGCTCCAATATATTTAAAACTTTTTTGCTTCATATCATATTGGTGATGCATCATTATGGAATTTAGCTGTCATGTCGAGTCCACTAAAAGCAAGGTCTAGAATTAAATGGCAAAATCGCACTATTTTGCTTATGGATACGCAAATATGCTCAACTCTAGCAGATCATTGAAAACTTACTCATATATTTGAATTGCAATTGGCTCAGTACATGACAGTAAAACATATACACAGTCAAATAAATGCACATAGTCACACACACACAGTTACTGGCAGTCACACACACATTAAAGGCAGTCACACACACAAACAGACAATCTCACACACGCACGAGTTCATGATGTCACACACACACACAGGTTCAGGCAATCACACACACAGACACTCATCCTTATATACTGTTAAGGGCAGTCACACACACAGACAATCTCAGACACGCACGGGCACAGGCAGTCACACACACACTTACACAGACAATCTCACACACAAATACAGGCAGTAACACGCACGGACATTCTCACACACAGTTACAGGCAGGCAGTAGTTACCTCTTTCTGTTGTAGGTACTGGGGGGAAATGGGGGGAGTCGAGGCACTGCACTCCCTGATGTTTAATGGGTTGGGGAAGGAGGGGCTCATTCATGTTTCCAACTCAGTGTGTAGTAGTAACCAGGCAGCTGGTTTAGGCTTCATTTAGCTTCAGCCATGTCACCTGTATCAATGCTGCAGTTTTCTCTCTGCTACACCTGGGTGGAGAATAGTGAAGTCATAAGGTCGAAGCAATTGTCTCAGCACATTTCAAATGTTGTATATTATTTTTTATTCTAAAATGGATGTTATCTACACATATATCAAAATTTGCCACAAACAAATCCCAACATGTAGTCATTAAGGAAATTAAATGACCTGTTATATTTTTCAGTACATAAGGACTTAATGTTGAGTGGCATCATCTGCACACATAACTAAAAAAAAGTAAATGGCCACTTGCAAAATATATTTATGTTAATACATTTTCCTCTAATAGTGTGACTTTTAGTTAGATATGGTTGTTTTTTGGGAGCTAATTATTGTGCTTTCTTTTTTCCCCTGCAGGGTATCTGACAAACTTAATTTGAAGCAAATGCCACTGAATCTTTTTGAGTTGAACAGCACAGACTCCAATGCTGAATACACAGACAACAGTTCCTTGGCATCTCTTAATAAATTAGATTCTGACTTTTTGAAATTTGGGAACCGACTGCTGAACGTCACTTTACAATTTGGAGGAAACACCCAGTTGTTTGAAGAAAATCAGAAAGCACCTCATCGACAGATTCTCCTAATGGCCACCACCCGTACAGGTTCTTCTTTTGTGGGTGAATTCTTTAACCAACATGAAAACATCTTCTATCTGTTTGAACCTCTCTGGCACATTGAAAGGACTGTGTCTTTTGACCCCACTGGGGCTAATGCAGTGAGTTCAGCAATTGTCTACAGAGATGTTCTCCAGCAACTTTTTCTCTGTGATCTTCACATCTTGGAACACTTCATCTCCCCCACCCCTGAAAATCATCTAACAAGATTCATGTTTCGTAGAGGTTCCAGCAAGGTTTTGTGTGAAGACCCAGTGTGTACTCCCATAGTAAAAAAGGCCTTTGAAAAATACCACTGCAAAAACCGTAGGTGTGGCCCTCTGAACATTGCATTGGCAGTGGAAGCTTGTTTAAATAAAAAACACATGGCTGTTAAGGCAGTACGCATTCGTCAACTAGAATTCCTTCGCACACTAGTTGAAGATCCACGTTTGGACTTGAAGATCATACAGTTGGTACGTGATCCCAGAGCGGTGCTTGCATCTCGCATGGTTGCTTTTTCTGGCAAGTATGAATCATGGAAAAAATGGGCACTGGAGGGGGCAGCCCCCATTCCTGAAGATGAAGTTCAAAAGTTAAAGGGCAATTGTGAAAGTATCCGTACATCAGCAGAATTAGGCTTGAGGCAGCCAGAATGGCTTCGGGGACGCTACATGCTGATCCGATACGAAGATATTGCACGTTCTCCTCTTGAAAAAGCCAAAGAGATGTACAGGTTTGCTGGGATTCCAATTACCCCGCAGGTGGTGGAGTGGATCAACAAAAACACTCAAGCTTCCCAAGAGAGCAACGGCATATATTCTACACAAAAGAACTCCTCAGAGCAGTTTGAGAAGTGGCGTTTTAGCATACCCTTCAAATTAGCACAGGTGGTCCAGGATGTCTGTACGCCAGCAATGAATTTGTTTGGCTACAAGTTGGCTAGTGATTTGGAAACACTTACTAATCGGTCTATCAGTTTGCTTGAAGAAAGGGTTAATTTTTGGGTTACGTAGTGCTCTCCTATTTATGGTAAATTTATGTACTGAAAAGGAACTGGTAGTGAATTGAGTTCCCGATATAAGTGAGATATGTTTAAAGGGAACATATTTGCACCTGCTGAGCCGCTTTAAAGCCTTGTGTGCGTTTCCTGATGAATTGCTTCCTAAATTAGGAAGCTCCGTTTATTGCAAACTCAGGGGAAGATGCTAGAGGCCAATTATCCAGAATGGCTTTAAAAGTGGATGATTCCTGCTGATGTATATAAACTGCCTACTTATATCCAGCAGCTAAATTAATGTTGGTCAGAAAACAAGGCTAGTGGCTTTACTTCCTCTCAAAGCTTCTCTACAGCACAATCAATATTCAGAAGTTGAATGGAGGATTCCCGCACTAATACACTCCCAAAGAGATTTCTGATCATTGGACCTTAGGTATATGTACAAGTGCTGTGCACAGCAACAAACATATCCAAACACATTTCAAGTGCATACAAACCACATTTTGTTTTTTAAAATGTAACTTTCATCATTTTTGTGATGTCTGTTTTGTTGCAGATTTCATTACGTTGTTGTTTTATGTTTAAAAAAAACAAGGATCCTTTATTCAAATGTATTACTTACTCTCAGATAACTTGTACTAGCCATTGCATATGTTTAAGACATTTGAATGCAGTGCATTTTATCTAGAGAAAATTAGTGCAGTGAACCTGAAGATAAGGCAAATTTGCAATAGGCTACAAGCAAGTTGTAGAAAGCCATTTGACACAAACAGTGGTCCGCACACATGCTTCTTGATCTATAACTTTTTAACATGTACTATTTTCAGAATGCTCCAAAACAAACAGCCTCTTGAGGCACTATATGTGAACACAAATGCTATTTTAAAGCAGAAGGAGCCAGGTTTTTTAGAGTCTTGAGAGGTGCCACCACCTGTTTTTAAATCTGGCTTGTTCTAACACTCCATAAAGTGTAAGCAGGCCTCTCACCTGTCTTCTCTGTTGAATGAGGACTGTAAATAGATAATGAAGGCTTTCTAGCAGAGCTGCATTTTAGGGGGTAGGGAGAGGGGAGCAGAGGGCAGCTGGTCTAGTCCAAATATTTATAATTGGTTCAGTGTAGTGATTAGTCTGTCATTTCATTTCCAAAATTAAGGGGTCTTGTAAGAAAGGTATTCATTCGATGAATGAGTCACTGCAGTTTAAAAATCCTGTTTTATAAGTAAAAAAAAAAGAGTGGATTAACCCTCTGAGTGCTATTGATGAAAGAGCCACCATTATACTGCACTGTACTGCCGTGCCCCCGCCTTTGCCGTTCCATGGGTTAAGGTAAACATGTAACAGAATTCACTGATTTCTCGTATGCTTAAAGAAGAACTCTCCATATTTGTCTGGCAGTCCATTGGTTGTTTTGTACTGTTTGCACACTCCTCTGTTGGCCACAGGTGAGGGGAAAATGTTGTTAATCAGGAGTATTGCTATTGGACAACAAATGTGTAAAGCAATTTCTAAAGTGCAGTTTTTGTTTCTTTTAAAAATGTGTCTTTTTTCCACCCGACATGTTGGTTGAAGGTGCACCTTTTTCTACTGTATCCATTTTATGCAAAGCTTAAACACACAATGCAGGAACCATGTGAAAATATTCCATAGTAAGGGCTAACTAAAAGTGCAGATTCTAATTTGCTATGTAGCGTCATCCTTTTTAACAACGCTTTTTAAAATTAATGCAGTGTAAATCACACAATTACCTTCTATTTCAGAATGTCATGTGCTGCTCTCAGATCTCTAACCATTATTTTACCTTAATTCCTGCAATTCTTTTCTATCAATATACTGGAAGAGAATTATATTTCAACAATATATTCAGAGCATAGGTTGTTTCTCCTGCTTTAGTCTTCGCGTATTACAAATATGTGCAACAAAGTAGCAGACCACAACTACATTGTCTTACCGGGCTACTAAAGGTATCCCGACCACTTTATGTCAGTGGTACTTTAGTTTTAATCCTGTAATGTAAAGCATTCCTGTTTTGTAGCTGAGGCTTATATTGCAAGGTTAAATATGTCTCTAGCGCAGTGTGTGTATCTATCTGTATGTCTATCAGTTTTTGTGTGTGTGTGTGTCTGTATGTCTGTCAGTGTGTGTGTCTCTGTATGTCTGTCTGTCAGTGTGTGTCTCTGTATGTCTGTCAGTGTGTGTCTCTGTATGTGTGTCACTATGTGTATCTGTATGTCTATCAGAGTTTGTGTATCTGTATTTTTATATGTAATTTTATACCTTTACTTGTAAAGTGAGGCACTAAAAACCTATATATCCGGCCCGAAGAATTTAGCCCATTGTTGTTTTGACGCCTACCAACTGCCAAATTGTGCAGGTCTGCTCTAGGGGCTGCTTATACTAGTCAAGCTCTGTTGTCACAGCTAACAATCGATAGGGTTATTATCCCTATTGAACATGCGTGTTTACTCCTTAATTTTCCTCTTTGAAGAGCATTGAATTGGACAATTAAAACCATTGGTGGTGGTGGTGGTGGTGGGGGGGGGAGAAATTAAGTGGCTGCAGGTTCTCTATTTCAGCACTGGAAAATGCTTAAGTAAAACCTTTTAATCCATTTTTATTTCAATTTAGGGATGGAGGGGATTGTAGATCAACTGCCATCCATTTTTCTTGCCAACTGAAGTGATATAAGAGCACAGGTCATGGCACCTTTAATTACCTCACATATGCTAAAAAAGGACAAGGAAGGTATATATATTTAGTTTAATGTTGTGGAAGAGAGAGAATATAGGGTGCCCTTTCACGGTTAACACATGTTCTCATGTCTTCATACCGATATGGAAACCTATTTAAAAAATCTAGACCCTATTAGATTGTACCACCATATGTTACTAGTGACTCTTGTTTCCTGCATTTGTGGCTATTTTTTTTATTTTTATGCTAAAATGTCAAGTTGCTCAAGTGGGTATTTTTATTTTTTATTACAGAAAACGTTACTGGTGAATGAGCCATTGCCTGTTAAATAAAAGAGACTGTATAGTCGTGATTGTTATTTATGTAATTGAGTATATAGCTTAGATATAGAAAAATAATTTTTATTTTTATATATTAATTTATTAACATATTTACAGCTGTTTAAATATGCAATAGTGCATTTAAAAAAAAATATTTTATTATTTCTGTTGAGCGTATTGATACACTTCTATATTAATTATTCTGAACTAGTACAAAGGAAAGGTCATAGGGTTAAAAAAGGACAGGGGAATTTGCTCCCAAAACCGGTGCTGTCTCTTTGATGAAGTGGCATTTGGGTTGTGTGTTTTAAACATGGTAAAAAAGTTAGGCTCTTAGGCGCACGCTGTAACAGCAATTCTCTTGGAAATTATATAATCTTAATTTAGGATATGAACTCAAAAGCTGCATCAGTGTAGACAAGTGAATCATTCATTCAAGTTCCCCATGAGGACAAAATGTCTGCTATATATTAAACTAATCTGAGTAAAAAAAAAAAAAATACTTTCTTTTTTTTTTTTTTTTTTTTTTTTTATGGGATCTGCTTGTGGGCCACCATTCCTTGTTCAGCTCTGTAAAATATATATTATTTTGTTTCATCATTTCATTTTTTTAGAGAGGAAGAATGTGCATATTGATTCTAGGACACACTTAACTTTGGGTAATTCTGACAAAGTAACTCGAAAAAAAGGGCTAATGTCAACTCCACGCGTAAGAAAAATTCAAGAAATAGAGAGCATCTATGTACATATGTGTGCATTTCTTTTTAATTTTTAAACAACATGGCCTACTAGATCTGGAAATGAGAGGGTTAAACCCATTTGCATTCCATAGTATGATATATGAAACTTTTTTTAAAGTAATTTCTTAAGAAAAGGCGCTGTATATACATGCTTCATTCAGATAATTTCACACTTCCTTACAGGCCATAAATTAGGAACAAGATGGGTTTCAGTACTTTAAGGTCTCCTCTATGCTATAATGCTGTCTGTGTATTGCTGACACCAAGACGTCCCTTAAGAATTACTCAGCTCTGAAAGGACAGAGGTAGAACATCGATGGTCTCTGTGTGTGACTACCTAAGTATTAAGGTGCAAATCTTAGGCTTGTTTTTAATTCATTTATAAGCATCATAAGATCACTCTGTTTTTAGAAAGTCACTTCATTTATACTATCAGAACAACTTTTTATACATTTTCTAAGGTTGTGTCCTCAGCATACCTCAGTATGAAGTAGTCAGAGCAGTAGGCTTTCAATTTAAAGGAAAGTTGCAACAAAAACAGTCATACGTTCATGTAACGTACACTTTTTTTGATTGAAGTACAAAATATACTGTAGCACTGTATGTGTTTACAATTATATATAGTTTTTATCTCAAACTACATCTTGTAATTTCTCAGTCAAAGTAGAAATATGTTCTAAACAAAAACGTGTAAAGAGAGATTTGTACATTACTAGAGGTAAATGGGCTTTTTTTCCCCTTTTGAAATATACAGTATAAAGACCCACTGTTCGACTAGGTCACTTCATGTCAGATCCATTGGTGTATTTAAAATGTACCTTTCATGGTACACACAACTTTATTTAATCTAACTGTACATAAAATTTCATCCATAAAGTATGCTTGCAGAATTGCTAGTTAATCAGTTATTAGGGAGAAAAACCTCTTTAAAAAAATCGATCCCTCCCCCACCTGTCGATCAGTATTTTGACTTAGTTGGTATAGACCTTTTCACTACAGAGGTGACTGCCAATTAGAGAAGAAGAACCTTTCTATGGCTGGTCCTTCTGCTTTTCTGCACAACAACCAGCGCTCATGCGCTGTGGTTGCTTTGGTTAACCCCTCCCTAGCCCCTCTGGCTTAAGAAGTATAGGAATGGAGTAATCTCACTGGCAATGAAGCCGTTATTATTAGTAGTAGTAGTGGTATTTATTTAGCACTAACTTACTCTATAGTGCTTTACAATATTGTTAAGGGGGGGAATTTAACAATAAATGAGACAATTACAA